CATGGGAATGATAAACGCCAACGACTTATCGTAAGTGGTTCCCTTTAAACTGACACAAATCATCTCCATCGAAATGAGAAACGCCAATGCCTATAAAACTGAATACCAAATACCAATGACTTATCATAAGTGGTTCCCTTTAAACTTACACAAATAATCTCCATGGAAATGAGAAACGCCAATGCCTATAAAACTGAATACCAAATACCAATGACTTTTCATAAGTGGTTCCCTTAAACTGACATAAAATTAAACACAAACTTTTAACTTGAAAATTATGCAAAAGTCACAAAGTTAATACACCATGATGAGAAGGGGAGGGGGCATATTATCTCCATGGAAATAACATTAGTGGAAGATCTAATACTGATCTATAAATCGTAAACTATGCAAAACATTCAAAGTCACTAGATCATGACTGAGGGAGCAGAGCTAAATAAGGTTCCCCATAAACTGACCTAATCACAAACTAATGCATTACAAATGTATTGACCCAGCCACAGCGGAAGTTACTGGAAACAAAATTTCTGTTTTCTACATCCACGAAGCAAGACAAAAAGTAAATACATTTCAAACATTTTAAGAGTTAGTGAAATAATTTTTTATTGCTCACTACATGGTGTAGGTTTTTCTTATTTGGGAAGAATTTGAATAGCTTTTGATTTACTCAATATTAAAAAAGGGATATTTGGTATGATTGCCAACAAGGCAAAGAAGGTGTTATTTAAATAACCATTAACCCAACAACACAAAATGTGCAGCGTTTTAACACAATGAAAACCGTTCACAGCAATCAGTTTTGTTTTATTGAAATTGAGCATAAATTAATTGGTGATCAGTCTGTCATCAACACCATCTGAGTTAAGTTTTGGTATTGAAATAAATTAAAAAACTGTAATTCTACAAGGGACATCTAGGTCATTGCTCTTAATTATTTAAACTAACCAGTTGTGGTTTTTCAAATATAAAGTTTTAATATAAAATAAATGGATACATTAGAATTACAAATTACAGAGAACAAAGAGACATGGTGAGAGATTATTTACAGTTAAGAGTCTAATTTTGTACTAGTTTAAAAGGGGGGGGGGCAGATTATGCAGTCTGCACCAAAATCTTTTCCTACTAATAGTGTGAAGACCACTTTTTCAACATTTTTCATATGCGTCTAAACAAAGTTTTGCAAATACTTATTAGTCAGAATAAAATTTTACTAGTCTGGGGCATCAGACTTATTTTATGATTAAATTAATAAAAACTAATTTCCAGTTGTTTCTTTGCTTCTGATTGTAGGAAGAATTAATTTTCTTTCCTTTTATAACAAAAAAAACCATGGCAGATGTTTAAAGACTGTTCATACTTGTAGTATGGGCAAACTTGCAGTATGGCTGTCAGATACAACTATAGACCAAATAGCAATGTGGCTGAAAAAATCTTGCATCAAGTAAACATAGAACAATTACCTTTGGGAGTTCATCATGTAGCACCTGTCTCATATTATTTAATTTTGCAATTGTAATTGACATAATTTAACTGTGTTCAAACAAGTGAACAAGACAGTGATAAGGTGTCATGAAACAGAAGTTCCTTCATGGTATAAGTTCTGAATGGATAAAATATTTTGTAATATTTTTTTTCCACTGGAACAATATTACAGATTTTGTTCCTTATGGAATAAAGGGTAAAGAATATTTGTTCCAATAGGAACAGATACATTTTGTATTATGGCATTGCTTCCAAGGGAACTTCTGTTAAGCGGAACAAATATATGTTGACATACCAGGGTTTAAGCTAGGATTTTGAGGGCTTTAGTCACTTTTGCATGATAAGAAAACTGACCTTTCTTGGGAAGCAGCTTAACATGATACTACATGCAGTAGTACTAAAGTAGTAATGTATAGGGTTTAATGCATGAACAAAAACATGTCTATTTTCTTTTTCAGTATTTCATTAGTATACATGATACAAATTAAAATATAACAAACTAAGATTAAAACAAAACATCTGTATTTCTTCAAAAGATACATATTGTATGTTTTTGTTTTGATTTGTATGTCTCAATGTGATTAATATAATGAATTTATTGGTCAATGTTTCTGTCCTTTAAATTTGCTTATGGTCTGCATATGCTACAGAATAGAGACAAGAGGCTCTCAAGAGCCTGAATCGCTCACATGTAATTTTTTGCCTAAATCTTTCATCAATGATTATTTTTGCTTTTCAGTATATATTAATGAATGGCTTAAAACTTCCATTGAAATGTTCTTTGTATCTGTCATATTTTCTTCAAAATCAAAGAAATGCATTTTACCCCTATGTTTCATTTTAGCCATAGTGGCTATGTTTTTTGAAGTACAAGAAAATAAAATACAAAATTTATACTAGATACTCTGAAACTCATTCAGCCCAAGTTTGGCTGAAATTGATTCAGCAGTTTCAAAGGAGAAGATTTTTTAAAGTAAGCAAACTAAATGAACAAATTGTGAAAAATTGATTTTAAAGGGCAATAACTCCTTAAAGGGACAATTGACAATTTTGGTCATACAAACTTATTTGTAGATCTTACTTTGCTGTTTACAGTTTATCTTTATCATTAATAATATTCAAGATAATAACCAAAATCTACAAAATTTCCTTAAAATTACCGATTAAGTGGCAGCAATCCAACAATGGGTTGTTAGATTCATCTGAAAATTTCATGGCTGACAGAGCTTGGCTTGAAAAACATATTTACCTCCATCAGATTAGCTCTAAATGCTTTGGTTTTTGAGATATAAGCCAAAAATTGCATTTTACCCCTAACTTCTATTTTTAGCCATGGCGGCCATGTTTTTTTACGAAACAGAAAATAAAACACAAACTTTATTCTAGATACCCTTAGAATCATTCAGCTTAAGTTTGGTTGGAATTGGTTCAGTAGTTTCAGAGAAGATTTTTTTTAAAGTTAGAAAACATGATAAACAAATTGTGTAAAATTGTCCTTAAAGGGCAATAACTCCTTAAGGGGTCAATTAACAATTTTGATCATATGAACTTATTTGTAGATCTTACCTTGCTGAACATTTTTGCTGTTCACAGTTGATCTTTATCATTAATAATATTCAAGATAATAACCAAAAACTGCAAAATTTCCTTAAAATTACCAATTTAGTGGCAGCAACCCAACAATGGGTTATCAGATTCAATTGAAAATTTCAGGGCTAATAGAACTTCACCTAATGAACACTATAACCCCATGTCAGATTTGCTCTAAATGCTTTGGTTTTTGAGATAGAAGCCAAAAACTGCATTTTACCCCTATGTTCTATTTTTAGCCATGGCGGCCATGTTATTTGACGAAACAGTAAATAAAACAAAAACTTCATTCTAGATACCCTAAGCATCATTCAGCTTAAGTTTGGTTGGAATTGGATAAGCAGTTTCAGAGGAGAAGATGTTTGAAATAGTTTACACCAGACGGACGACGACGGACGCCAAATGATGGCAAAAGCTCACCGTTCCTTTGGAACACTGAGCTAAAAATGTTTAAAATAAAGAATAGTGAAAATTAACAAAAAAAGAAGAAAAGAGAATAATGGTGCTTAGATATACAGAATAGAGAATATTTGTATAAAAAATAAAGAATTCAAAAAATGATGACTCAAACCCCTTCCCCCAACCCCCTAATTTGCACCATTACTCAAAAGACTTGCTAAACCTATAAGTCCTATAGACAGAAGTATGTAGACAGATCATGAGTTAGTATTTCAATACTAGGAAAAATTATAATTGAGTTATCTTTCTTGTATTTGGGTGTCTGAATTTAACATTTTAACGTAATTTAAGAACAATGATGTGTTTCAATAAGTTCATTACGTTTTTTGCCTTTCTGTCAATTACGTTTTCATCATGAAACTACGGTAAACATGTGGTACATGCATACATGTATGAACAATTTAGTACGAAATGACGAAATGCAGACTGACCAATTCTATTTGTATGAATTAATTTTGATGATCATCAATGACCCATCGGATAATAGCTTGGGGTCGTAAACTTATCAACAGGTAAAATTTTGCATACTTTATTTTTTTTACTTTAACAAAATTAAGTGACGAAATTGATCAGAAATACTTTTGTTATTTAGAAAATCGTTTCTTAAATGGCGAAAATGATGGACCTTAGCAAAATCACTGCACAGGAAGTGCACAGGATGTTCATTTGGCAATAATTGTATGTTTATAAATCATAACACCCTTTAACATCACTAAGTTTTATATATAATATAGAAATAAGAAGATGTGGAATAATTGCCAGACAACTCTCCACCAGAGACCAAATGACATAGAAGTTAACAGCTATAGGTCAGTGTAGGTCTTCAACAATGAGCAAAACCTGTATTGCATAGTCAGCTATAAAAGGCCACGAAATAAAAAATGTAAAATTATTCAAACGAGAAAACTAACAGCCTGATTTATGTATAAAATAATGAAAGAAAAACAAATATAATCTACAGCAACAAACCACAACCACTGAATGAAAGGCTCCTGACTTGGGACAGGCACATACAGAATGTGGTGGGGTTAAACAAGTTTGCCCAGTCTTCTATCTCTAACAGCACATTTTATTTTTGTTAGTAATAAGTAAACATGTGTCACGATCTTTTCATCAATAGTCATAGAGTTATACAGATTAGTCAAATATAAATATATCTTTTAATAGGGATGACACAGTTTACATCATCTATTTGAATGATGGAAATTATGGAAAGGTCATAATCTAGGTCGACAATTTGTCACGTAATCACGTTGTGCTGAGTTTTCTACAGTATAAAGAATGACATATGATGCATAATGATTTTTCCAGTATCTATGCAATGAATTCAATATAATTCATTACTGTAAATTGTAATATAATTACGGTAGTGTTACATGTACCTATATCACCTGAACTTCACTGTGTGTCTCATCCAATTTTCTTCAATTTAAACTGTTCATGCTTTGTTTGTGCTAATTATACATTACCTGGCTTGTTCTAAGTCGTATGATGTAGATAATTAGCAAACTTGTTTCATTTGTGATAGTAGAGATTCACAGATTTTACATAACCCTGGCCTTGTGGCTTAAATCGTTCCAATGACCAACGGGCTAACAAAAATTATCACCGGATGTGAGATTTCGGATATTTATAATAAAACTTATCCGAAAGTAGCACGTAATTTTTCCGAGTTGCACTATTTAAGGCTCTGGCGGGATATTTAAGTGTTATTCAGCCTCCTCATGGGGTTTTTGATTATGTGATTGCTTGGCCGTTTTTATAGTGATTATTTTATAACCAGAGCAAATATTTCATGATCATTTAAAATTGAGAATGGAAATGGGGAATATGTCAAAGAGACAACAACCCGACCAAAGAGCAGAAAACAACTGAAGGCCACCAATGGGTCTTCAACACAGCCAGAAAATCCCGCACCCGGAGGCGGGCTTCAGCTGGCCCCTAAATAAAAAGGTGTACTAGTTCAGTGAAAATGGACGTCAAACTAAACTCCAAAACATATAAATGAACTAAAATTAAAAAAACATACAAGACTAACAAAGGCCAGAGGCTCTTGACTTGGGACAGGCGCAAAAATGCGGCGGGGTTAAACATGTTTTGTGAGCTCTCAATCCTCCCCTATACATCTAGCCAATGTAGAATAAACAAACACACAGCAATACGCACAGTAAAACTCAGTTTAAAAGAAGTCCGTGTCCGATGTCAGAATAGGTACAAAAGAAACTAAGCAAAATGAAAATGACACATAAATTAACAAAGGACTACTAGCAGTTACTGACATTCCAGCTCCAGACTTCAATTAAACTGACTGAAAGATTATGTCTTCATCATATGAAAATCAAGCACAATCCCTCCCGTTAGGGGTTTAGTATCATACCATCATAAAATATATGAGAAGAACATAACCCGTATCATGCCAACAACTGGTTTTAGAACAATTTGATTATCTAAGACTGTATTTTTATATTATTTAATTATCTTGTTTAAAAAATGATTAATGATTATGTGATTTTATTGGCAAAAAAAATGTGATTATGTGATTACGCGGACACCCCCCTGAGGGGCCTCGTTATTTAAGCCTCTGATCTTTTATATCATCGTTGTTTTTATCTCTTTTTTTTTACTAATTTTCAATGGAAGCAAGCAATTTTTTCTTGCATTCCATGTTATATTTTTTAATAACATTGAAACAACCAACTTACTGGAACCCTCCCCTCTCTTCATATATATCTATATCCTAAATTGAGGTAAATTATATGGCCTTCCAAATACCGTTTCGATCCCTAACATCACTGAAGAGACATAAATTGTCGAAATCCGGATATGGTGTACACATTTTTGCACCTCATGTTTGCGGTATACCATCTTTTCCGCAAGTTTATTGTTTTCTGTTTGGTATTAAATTAATATGTAAGATCCATTTTTTACATCCGGTGATCAATTTATTTGGCAATCGCCAATGGCAGTAAGCAGGGTTTAAGAACATCAGTTGTTCGACCTGTTAGTCAAATGCGTTTTGTTAAAATATACTTTTTCACTTTTTGGTCTTTTTGAAAATGTTGTTTGTGCTGTATTTAGACCCCTCTTACAAGAAATTTGTTTTACATGCACACGTATAAAAATTGCGGTTTTTATCCAACGCAATCATAGGTTTGAACGTTGTTTTCAATTTAGACTTGTTTAGATATATATATATAAGAAAATTAATATAAGATAATGACGGTTTCAATTCATCACTTTTACTAGCGCTTTCACTGATTGTCGGCTCTCGGGCTGATATCATGACCTAGGACTGATAAGGGGTCTGATATGAAAAATGCCATGTTATAATCTATATATATATACACATACACACACACAAGTACAAAATATGCATGGCCAATGTCTAATCAAAAAAGCAAACAAACTGAAAGTGTATCAAAAGAGAAAAAGATTTTAAAAAAATACACCTGTGTCAAACCAGGGAAATATGCACTCTGAAAATATACTGATGGACTTTACAAACGCAACACAAGATTATTCTTTTTTATTCCCGTTTTGAAATAAGCAATTTTTGTAAAATAAATTTACATACATAAATTTCAATCATTTTTTTATTGTCTAAATAAAGTTTGCAGTTCGAAAGTTGAATTGCTGCCGTCATTTTTAATGTTCAAATCATGAGGTATGCACTGAAACCCTGGTTTCCCCCTTATTAATGGATGTGTCATCGTCGAAGGCAATGAATGACTGTAACCAACACCAAAATGATTGTCAGAAAGGTCAACCAGTTCTGTTGGGCATGTTTTGAGTTCTGTTTTGTACCTTATGAATTTGCCTCTGTCCCATGCATTACATTGTCTTTTGGCAATAAAGCCGTTTAAACTTTAGGACTTTGTTTTTCTGTAATCGATTATTTGGCATTTCAGTATATGGGAAACATTTTTGACATAAATCTGTCTGTCATGCCATTCGGGGACTAGGTTATCAGTTGACGTTGCGGCCGTAAAGATGCCTCGCAATTGATGTTGCATAATCAAATTTTATTGACGTGGCGTTGTCACTACATGTTGATATGGTCATGGATGGTCATACACAAATCCCGTCTGTCTGTTTCGTTGTTGTAAGGACAGTAAGACGAGTTTCTGACGTGAAATTGTCTGATAACAGCACGTTCACGTATTCCTGCCTGCAATATTCTTATGACGTGATTCAAATTTTCAATGCTTAGTCTCGACAATATGGAAATGTTACATTTTTTTAATGATTCAAGTGGGGGTATTGATTGAAAGAATTGTTTCACGAAAAAAAACTTTAAAAAAATCAATCATGGGTTTCAAATTTCGCTTTAAGAAATTCGTGCGACGTTAATAATCCGGAATATTCAATAACCTCAGGTAAGTCAGGTGTTGAATTTTCTAAACTTAAAGAGGTATGGTAAACAGGAATAGTAGTTCTAAGATGATCAATCATGATTTGGTCAAAAAAAAATCACCAAAATGTGTGTTGCATTTCTAAAGTCCATCAGTATACAAAATAAGGAACTGCCGGTTTTGTATGATTGCCAATGAGACAACTATTCAACTGAATCCAAAGTGAAGCAAATTTAAGCAACTATAGTAGTCCGTACGTCATTAAAAAAAATGAGCAAAACCCATACCATATAGTCAGCTAAAAAGAGCCCCACATGACAAAATGTGAAACAGTTCAAACGAGAAGAAGACAACTCCTCGTTTTATTACAAAAAAAAACTAAACTGAACAAAAATTACAGACAGCACAACCAACGACAACCACCGGTGACTTACATACAGGCTGCTAACTTTGGACAGGCACATTTAGATTGGTTAAACATGCTTGTGAGCGCATTTAAAGTGGTTAAACATGTTTGTGAGCGCTCAACCATTGATCCCCTATTCTTTTCTTTTTTAAGTGCCGACCTAGGAGTACTCCCAGTTAATGGAAACTAGCTCAAAGCCAATTACAATTTATAAATAAATCATAAATAAATGTTGCTCGACGCGGTCTTCAAAGATTTATCGTCGTTTTTCGTCTTTTAGCTTCAATTATCATTGATTTTTTGAACGTTTAGATTCAATTGTTTTTCTTTCAGATTCAGTTCTCTCTTTTTTGGCAAAATTCAGACAAGTGACAATCAAAAAATCAAAGAAAACCTTCTATGGTCTATTATAGCCTAGTGGTTAGTCAGTTGCCTTTGTCATTTTCATGTTTTATTTGCAATATTTTTTGGAGGGGTGATAGGAGGATTTTTTGCAGATTGAATATTCATTAATATCTGTTGCTTCGAATGCTTTTTTTTTTTTACTTTTGTACATAATTAGTTCTTGCATTTTGTGTTGCAGAATATTTACTTTCATCCTGTCTTGGACAAAATTATTTATTTTCAGTTATTTTCAGGCCAAATGAAATGTTTGCCGCCTAATGAGATCTCTTTGGTAGTATCTCAGTGATGAAGTCACTCACGTTTAACGTGCTTGGTCATATAGCTGAGACAGACTACTATAACAAATATGATATAATGTTAAAGTAGTCTATTAATGTTAAAGTTATAGGTCACGGAAAAGAGCAAAACAAAAAATTGAATTCACAAAAATTTATGAAAGTAAAAAAAATGCATATTCTCGGGATTCGTAAAGTCCAATGAATAAACTGATTATAGCCATACACTCCCAATGAAGATGAGCTGTGATAAGCCACTCTGAGCCAAAAACAACACACACCCGGCGTGACTCAATGATTGAACAAAAACAGCCGATTATTTATATTAGCAAAACGTCTCTGTTATCAACCATTTGTGAAATATAACCTTTGTCGATAAGTCTTGTAAGCCATACAGAAAGATTTAAGATACATTTCCTAAACTCACTAGATTTATAGATAATATTACTGCAAAAAAAAGCTGGATACGTAATTTAACATCTTTATAACAAACTGCGGCAGTTTCACAATAACCATAGTTTGTGTAAGGATATTTATAAAATTTCGTTCTAGTTTTGAACTTTCATAGAATGGTGAAATTTTCCTTTTCTTGTCAAAAAACAAAATCAAAATATATATTCACAAATTTGTACTGAGTAAGTCAGTCAGTCGGTCGGTCGGTCGGTCGGTCGGTCGGGCGGGCGGAAGGGGGGCAGGCAGGCAGGTAGACAGGCAGGCAGGCAGGCAGGCAGGCAGGCAGGCAGGCAGGCAGGCAGGCAGGCAGGCAGGCAGGCAGGCAGGCAGGCAGGCAGGCAGGCAGGCAGGCAGGCAGGCAGGCAGGCAGGCAGGCAGGCAGGCAGCCTTTCAAGGTGTCCTTGATTCAAAGAGTACATTGAAGATGAAGAATTCATTTAATATCCGCAAGTTTGTGCTTGGTTGATAATTTTAAGTTCAAAGATTTATAAAAGAAATTTTAGATCTAGAGGTACAGTGCAAAACCACATATGTAGCTTAATTGTCTAGCTGAGACAAACAGAACTCATCTGCACTTGAAAATTCAACTTCCAGCTATAAAATTTCCATATCATATTGTAAACTTTCCCGATTCATTGGTCTATGAAAATGTGGAGAAACCCAGTAAATGGGTCGACATTGTAAAAAACTGGATTAATAAATCAAGATTTAACCATCTAAATTTGCCCCTAATAATTAACAAATTATCCAACAAAGGGTAATTGATCAGGCTCAACACCACTTTTAACTAATGACTCAATCCAAAAATGTAAAAAGCTAATTTTTTATATTTAAAAAAAAAATCTGACAGATCAGTCCTCAGTAAATGTAAGCTCAGTGTCCATTCCCTGGCAATTGGAAGGGGATGTTATTGTAACCGATTAAAAGAAAACAACGCTTTTGCCTGTTTTGCTACCGCGAGGGGAAAAGTATTGAAGATGAATACCATTTCTAATCAGACTGTCCATGCTATGCCTTATTAAGAGGCACATAGCTATATTTAAAAAATAAACACATATTTAACCTGCATGAAATTGCATTCAGTAATATCACTGAAGCCTATGTCCACATGTCACAGTAAAGAAACCTTATCCGAAATTATTTTAAAAGTCCAAAACACCAGCGCAGTATCATTGAATCACGGCAATCTACAAATACAAAGATATATTAATAAGTATAACAACTGAATTTATTATACTTCATGTCAAAATGCCATATTTTGATTGGCTAATACGAGGGTGTTATTTTACTCTATTACCCTTCATGGAGACGCTTGATCAAGTGTGCGCTTTATTAAATACGACTCTATCCAATGGCAAATACTCTATTACCCTTCACGGAGACGTTTGATCAAGTGTGCGCTTTATTAAATACGGATGGTTGTTATGTACAAGACGTCATAATTTATTACTTTGAATTTGAAATTTAATCGACAGTAATAACAGAACATTCAGTATAATAAATTAAATAACACATATCTGAGAGGGTGATAGAGCAGATTGTTACCCCTCGAAAAGACATTGTCAACCTTGGCTTCGCCTCAGTTGACAATGTTTTCTCGGGGTAACAATCTGCTCTATCACCCTCTCAGCTATGTGTTATTTATATAATAACTGTAAAACCCGTTTTTGGTGTTTTCCGGCAATAATTTATAGAATATGTGCCTAAAGAGTTATTTGTATGTCTAAAAACGAATAATTTCATATAACGTAAAAAAAAGTGTAAAAATTGATATTCTAATATAAGAAATATTATTATTATACAATCACACAGTTGTGTCATTTTTTTAATTTTTTTTTAGCTTGCTTAACGACATTTCACCTATTTCCCTCTTTGGTACCTCGATTGAAATTACTGAAGGCTCCTTCAAGTCTCGTTGAAAAACTGAAATCTCGTATCTTAGCGATTAACACAAAAAGAAACATGTCTGCAATCAAGTCGCTAAATCCGAAAGCTGAAGTTGCAAGAGCTGCACAAGCCTTAGCTGTAAACATAAGTGCAGCGAAAGGTCTTCAAGATGTTCTTAAATCTAATCTTGGTCCAAAGGGCACACTGAAGATGTAAGAATTTTACTAAATTCATAATTTTTTTAAGAATCATGATCGGACATGTGGTTACCACATGGTTTCAGTATGAAGAATTTTCTAGAATCTATAAACAGAATGTCCCTATAGATATACATTTGTATGTCATTTTGTTTAAGAGAGTTTTTGTTATTTCTGGAATGCAAAATCTGTGAAAAAAATGGCAGTGATGATTATGTACATATCCCTGATTCAGCTATAAAAATTGACATTATAATGACAAGTGGACTTTTTTTGGGGGGAGGAGGAAGGGTATTGTTTCTACTAGTTTTTGTAATGAAAGCTTCAAAATCCTGTCTAGTCCTATAATATAAGACTTTTAGGTTCATATCGTTTGCATTCAACTGTTCAGGCCTCTACAATAACTTTTTTTTCAACTTGTCCAGTAGGACAAGTACAACCCAAAACTTACTTGTCCGAATGAAATTGGAACTTGTCCAAAACAAATCTTAATAATAACCTTTTTTGCCTAATAAGTTGATCCAAGGAACAAAATGAATTAAAACAACAGAACAGAATTTGATTTATATCTTTTGAAATACTTTTCAAAAATATGAGTCGAGAACAACTGAATCTAGTCATGTCACAGGGCTTAGGTTCTAGTTTTCATCAATGCCAAAGTCTCATCAGACTCTGCACATGAGGCACCGTCTGATAGGCCTGTCAATGTACACTCATTGGATTTGTATCCTGGTTGTTTAAGTTGAAAAAAGATATATGTTATGATGGTATGATACTAAACCCCTAACGGGAAGGATTGTGCCTGATATTCATATGATGAAGACATAATCTTTCAATCAGTTTAATTGAAGTCTGGAGCTGGCATGTCAGTTAACTGCTAGTAGTCTGTTGTTATTTATGTATTAATGTCATTTTGTTTATTTTCTTTGGTTACATCTTCTGACATCAGACTCGGACTTCTCTTGAACTGAATTTTAATGTGCGTATTGTTATGCGTTTACTTTTCTACATTGGCTAGAGGTATAGGGGGAGGGTTGAGATCTCATAAACATGTTTAACCCCGCCGCATTTTTGCGCCTGTCCCAAGTCAGGAGCCTCTAGCCTTTGTTAGTCTTGTATTATTTTTAATTTTAGTTTCTTGTGTACAATTTGGAGTTTAGTATGGCGTTCATTATCACTGAACTAGTATATATATTTGTTTAGGGGCCAGCTGAAGGACGCCTCCGGGTGCGGGAATTTCTCGCTGCATTGAAGACCTGTTGGTGGCCTTCTGCTGTTGTCTGTTCTGTGGTCGGGTTGTTGTCTCTTTGACACATTCCCCATTTCCATTCTCAATTTTATTCAAATGCAATCAATAAAAAAAAGAAGATGATGTATGATTGAAAATGAGACAACTCTCTGCAAGAGACCAAATGACACAGAAATTAACAACTATAGGTCACCGTATTGCAAGTATTGTTTCTTTCTACATATGATCAAATATGATTTTGTGAATTTTATGGTAAATAATTTCTTCTTTTTTATTTAAAAAATATTTTTGTTAAAAAAATTACCGGTATGGTATTTATTATAAAGCAACAGAATAAGGTAGGAAAACGAGGTACTGATTTGTCTTGGTCCCGAAATGTCTCCTGCGTTTCCAAACTGTCTATTAATCATGTCTATTAAATATGTCTCCTAGGGTGCCAAACTGTCTATTAAACTTAGGAGCCGAATCGTTTCCGAGCTGGTGAAGAACTGTCTTGTAAAGTTACCTTTTCTACAAAGCGCATCGCTGATTCGGATCAGTAAAACTGGTTTCCGAAAATAGTATGCCTTTTACCTATTAAAAAGTACCTGACAAAGATCCAGTTTAAAATTATCGGTTTGCAAGTAAACATGTCAAATTAATACTTGTTTTTATCTTCTTTTCTTGTTTTTTGTTTATAATTACTTTGTTCATCAAAGTTGGATTAAATTTATTTTCTGCAGAATAATTTTACTTGTCCCGTCGGACAAGCTTAATCTAGCTTTTACTTGTCCGACCTTTTTTTCCTCTGGTACCGGACAATCGGACAAGCGTTATTGTCGAGGCCTGCTGTTCAACTTTTTTATCGGATATTTTTTTTTACTATCAATGACAATGCTGAACCATGAAGTCTTATTGGAAGTTGCCATTTTCTTTAAGCAAGTTCCCAACGAATTTTTGTGGGAGCTCTGAATGGCCATAACACAAAGTTTTCAACAGTTTTAGTTTACTATTATTATTAGATAATGAAATTGAAGGTCAAATTAAACTCATCATAGATACAAAGGATTAAAATTATGTCAGCCAGACACATGTTTTGTCTACAAAAGACTCATCAGTGACCCCAGAATCAAAAGTTTAAAAGTCAAATGAAATACAAAGTTGAAGAGCATTGAGGACCCAAGATTCCTTAGGCTTTGCTAAATACAGCTAAGGTAATCTATTCATGGGCTAGAAAATCCTAATATAGAAAAAAATCAAAGTATTGTAAACAGTTAATTTATAATTATGACCATATCAGTGATAATTCATGTCAACACTGAAGTGCTGACTTCATAATCTTACTTTTAGAAGGTTTGTCAAATGATGTCTTTGTGTAAAACAAAAATTACAGTCGTATCCTTAATATGATTTTTCTATTCCCTGTCTGTTTAAAGGCTTTAATCAAACTAAAACTGATTATTTTTTTTTATTGTAAAGTAGGTCTGGTTGATAGGACTGGCATAAATGTCTTACATGCAGGACCCAAATGTCTGCAGAAACCGAAGTTTATTTGCACAGTGATTTATATTGCAATTTATTTCTTGTGCATAGAAATTTCACTAATTTTGCTGTATTTATAATTTGACAGGTTGGTGTCTGGTTCTGGAGATATTAAACTGACCAAGGATGGAAACGTACTACTACATGAAATGGTAGGATTAAGATTTAATGTCACTGATCATAACTCTTAAAGTCAGCTTCACATCACTCATTAACAATTTCTAGTTGAAAATTTAATCAAGTTCTGACATGTCTGAGTTAAGCTCGATACTTTCTTTTTTGGTTATAAAACCATGCAAACATTTTTTATTTTAATACCTAGATGAAACATATTAGCAAAAATAAGACCGATTTCTGTATTGACAATTTGTCTGTTAATGTCATTGAATAATAAAATGTTCCATTACATCTTTGACAGCAAATCCAGCATCCAACAGCTTCACTAATTGCCAGAGTAGCCACTGCCCAGGATGATATCACAGGAGATGGTACAACATCAAACGTTCTTATCATTGGAGAACTCCTCAAACAGGCTGATCTTTACATCTCAGAAGTGAGTAGTTTGAAATAAGTGGTTTTTTATACGACCGCAAAAAAAATTTTGTGGTCGTATATTGGTATGACGTTGGCGTCGTCGTCGTCGTCGTCGTCCGGCGTCGTCGTCCGAATACACATTAGTTTTCGCACTCTAACTTTAGTTTAAGTGAATGGATCTCAATGAAATTTTACCATAAGGTTCAATACCACAAAAGGAAGGTGGGGATTGATTTTGGGGGTTATGGTACTAACAGTTAAGGAATTAGGGGCCAAAAAGGAGCCAAAAATAAGCATTTTTGTAACTTCCAGACATAACTTGTGTGTAAGTATATGGATCTCTCTGACATTGTACCACAAGGTTCCATATCACAAAGGGAATGCTGGGATTGATTTTGGGGGTAATTGCCTCCAAATTTTAGGAATTAGGGGCCAAAAAGGGGCAAAAAACAAGCATTTTTCTAGTTTCATGACAATAACTTGTGTGTAAGTGTATGGATCTCTCTGACATTGTATCACAAGGTTCCATATCACAAAGGGAATACTGGGATTGATTTTTGGGGGTAATTTCCTCCAAATTTTGGGAATTAGGGGCCAAAAAGGGGCAAAAAACAAGCATTTTTCTAGTTTCAGGACAATAACTTGTTTGTAAGTGTATGGATCTTTATGAAATTGTACTGCAAGGTTCCATATCACAAAGGGAAAGCTGGGTTGGAGTTTGGGGGTAATTGCCCTAAACGTTTAGGAATTAGGGGCCAAAAAGGGACAAAAAAACAAGCATTTTTCTAGTTTCCAGACAATAACTTGTGTTCAAGTGAATGGATCTCTCTAAAATTGTACTGCAAGGTACCATACCACAAAGGGAAAGCTGGGATTGAGTGTGGGGGCGATGAATCATAAGGGGGTTCAAAAAATTTGGGGGGGGGATTTTTTTTTCCTTTTTTTTCTTTAAAATTTTCCATTTTAAATTGGTTATTTCTGATTTATATATAAAAGCAAATAATAATGATATGGTTTGAATAGCATACATGTGAACCTCCCGACAGGAGTACAATAATCCTGTTTTCAGGAGTCTCCTCCCGACCTCCGGTTGAAGAGGAAAATTATAATCCCGTGTATAAAATTTTTCATGAATGAAAAATTTCTGCCCAACATATCATCTCAGGCATCTGGTGTAACTCACATTACCTGAAGTTATATTTTACCTGTAAATCAATTAACATGCATAATTATATGGCTTCACTTGTCAGCTTGGGTGTCAAACATACTGGTAATCAACGATTTTTTACCTCAGGCTAACTGCCGTTGTGTAACAAATACTGTGTATTTATTGGGTTACTTCCCTTGATTTATCCTGTTTTAAGTTACTTTCCTTTTAATAATGAAAATTTTTAAAAGAATATAAATAAAATATAAATTGAACAAATAATCATAAAAGGATGGTAAATAAATGATTTTAAATGTCTTAGGACAAATAAAAAAATAATAATTTGAAAATTATTTGAGGATTCTATACTTCCTTTCAAGGCTTAAATTGAAATTTATATAATAACTATGACCCTTGTTTTACATTTAGAATGATTTTCTGAGTATGCAAACAAAAGCTATTTGCAGATAGTTAAACAAATGTTCTGGTTGCAATAAATGTTTTATAGAATATGAAGTAAAAAATTTAAAGAACATACTGAAAAAAAAAAATGTTAGATTGAACATGTAAAATATAAAGATGGAGATACTTTATAAGTACAAGGGTACTATAAACATAATAAATTGGATGGAAAGTTGAAGAAAACACACTTTAAAAGACCATTTTTACAGCACACGGTTACATTTACGACAAAATTTATGTCGATTAAAAACCTCCTGATCTGAGTCCTAATCTCCTGACCAAAATTTCCCAATCTCCTGATCTGAGTTTCACAGTCCATCACATATATGAATAGGTAAATTAAAAAATTATAAGTTCTTAGACCACTTTCATTCTGTGTCAGAAACCTATGCTGTGTCAAATATTTAATTACAATCCAAATTCAGTGCTGTATCAAGCTTGAATGTTGTGTCCATACTTGCCCCAACTGTTCAGGGTTTGACCTCTGCGGTCGTATCAAGCTGCGCCCCAGCGGAGCATTTTATTTTATATTTCATTTTAATCTCAGTACTTTGTAATTTACTCATAACAGTCTGTTTCAAACTCTCTGAGCTTTTGCCCAACATTTTGGTCAGATAGCCATACCAATTACGTCTGAATAAAATATTTTTGTTGGATGGGGGAAAATGAATTTTAATTTCTTACTTGTTGCAGTCCCCTCTTATTCAGAGAGTTTCTAGCAGAACAATTCACATCTTTGCTTTGAATTGTAAAGCATTAGTTTTGATTGTATATTTGTTTCTATTCCTCCACTTGAATTCACTAAATATTACTTAAACAACTTGACAATCAGAATTTACTTTTTTATTATGCCCCCGCCGTAGCTGTGGGGGCATAAAGTTTTACCCTTGTCTGTCTGTACGTACGTACATCCCATAATTGGTTTCCGTTCTCTAACTTGAGTTTGCCTCAACCAAATGTTATGAAACTTATACACAATGCTTATTACCACAAAACACAGATCAAGTTTGAATTTTGGTGGCGTCACTTCAACCGTTCTAGAGTTATGCCCCTTTATAAATGGAAAAATTGCAAAATTTTTAATTTCTTCTAAATATCAAATATTTTTAAAATTGGAGTTATCTTCCTTTGTCCATGATTATAGTTGAATCAACTACAATCAATGCTTAATACATTGCAATGTTTAATTTTGACTGCCACTGATAAAACACAGATCAAGTTGAATTTGGGTAGTGTCACTTTAACCATTATTGAGTTATGCCCCTTTATAAATCGAAAGATTGCAACATTTTTAGTTTCCATTCTGTAACTTAAGTTTGCCCCAACCAAACATTATGAAACCTATACACAATATTCATTACCACAAAACTAAGATCAAGTACAAATTTTTCCTCAACCAAATGTTATGAAACTTATACACAATGCTAATTACTACATGATACAGATTAAGTACGAAATTTGGTGGCGACACTTTTACCATTCTTGAGTTATGTCCCTTTATAAACATAAAAATTGCTGAATTTTTCGTTTGCGTTCTCTATCTTTAGTTTGTCTCAACCAAATGTTATAAAACTTATACACAACGGTTCAAGAGTTATGCGTGTTTACAAATAGAAAAATTGCTGAATTTTTAGTTTCTGTTCTCTATGTTTATGAGACTTACACACAATGCTTATTACCACAAAATTTTTGGGTAGCGTCACTTTTACCGTTCTTCAGTTATGTCCCTTTATAACTATATGATATGCAAGCGGGGGCATCATCTGTGTCCACATGTGGACAATATCCACATTTATTTTCTAATATTTGCAACCATCATCTATGACCCAAAACCAGATTAGCAGTGAAAAAAAACAGTTGCTGGTAAAATTAGATTTTCCAGACTTGTGCTTACAATGGTACTTGTACAATATGTCCTAATTAGCAAACTCAGAATTTTATCAGTACTGGGGTTTTAGTATGATTAGAACCTGCTATTTCAGGTTAAAAAATGACAATTGCAAATTAGGCAAAATAACTTAATAAAAATAATGAAATTAAATAAAAAAAGTGATTTACAATTGTAAAATCTTTTTAAACAATGTTTATTGAATTGAAGCGACAGAATTCAGATTAATAAAATTGAGAATGGAAATGGGGAATATGTCAAAGAGACAACAACCCGACCAAAGAGCAGACAACAGCCGAAGGCCACCAATGGGCCTTCAACGCAGCGAGAAAATCCAGCACCCGGAGGTGGTCCTCAGCTGGCCCCTAAATAAAATTGTGTACTAGTTCAGTGAAAACATATTTAATTGAACTGTAAACAGTGGCATCACATGTTTTGTTAGAAACTGTCCCTGAACTGGTCCGATACATCATCAGACAGGGTCAAACAAATTATGTGGCTGTCGGATGTCAATTTTGTCTGAAAGCACAGTCAGACAAACAATGTTTGGCATACACTTGTGAAAGTCACTAAGTGGATACTAATGTTTCAATTTATCAGAATTCTAGACAATTAAGTTCCCGTACTTTTCGGTTATTAATTGGAATATATAGGTACCAAAATGTTTTAGACATTTGATTTATGAAAACAAATACAATATGTACTGTGGAATCATTATTATTCGTGGGATACCAATTTTTAGCGGATTTCGATTTCTTAGGTGAAGGTGAACCACAAATTTAAATGTTTAACCATGTGTGAATTTTATAAAAGCTTGTATGCTGGCTTTGGTAAGACTACAAAATCAAATATTCAAGAAAATAAAATTTTTCCTCAATTCAAGACAATTGGTACTCGTGAAATAAATTAATCCATATTACCCAATAGATCTTTAATAAAAAGTAATTTCATCCTAACAAGCTTGTACAATATAAAAATCTGCTTGGAACAAAATTCACCAATAGTCATGCAAAGAACCTAGTATAGATTCAGACAGGAAAAAATTATAAATATTTATTACATTGGTTGCAATGAATTACATTGATTTCCCAGTGAAATAAAAACAATAATTTCACATGTGAAATAAACGTGGTTATTTCACTCCTCTGACGTCATACGACAAAAGGCGTTGTCAAGACGTCGATAACGTCGGATCAAAACAAATTGTGAATGCGTAGAAAAAGATATAGTTCCTTTCGTTTTCTACTTTAATTTCATAAAAAAGCCATTTGCCAATGTAATAAAAAGAATAACTAATCAAAGAATTCAAATATCGAAAAATATTCAACTCGTGACCGAACAACACTGATAATTAACTCATGCGCTACACGCATTCGTGAATTAATGTGTTGTTCGGTCATTCGTTGAATATTTTTCTCTATTTGAATTCTTCGATTAGTTATTCTATAAATATTTTATCTAAAATTGTCTCTTTTCAGGGTCTACATCCAAGGTTAATCACAGAAGGATTTGAGCTGGCAAGAAACAAGGCCCTGGAGGTAACATTATACCCATTTGAATTTACAGGTCAACTTATTCATACAATTGATTGATATAAATATTTTGAATTTTTTGAAAATGATTTTTTGATAAACAGACTTGAAATACATTTAATGTGTGTAAAGTATGTTTGTTTATGTGTGTGTTTGTAAAGGAAATTTTATACCAGAGTGTTTTTTTCAATTGCCTTGTTTTCACACTTTTCTCAAGAACTACAGAATATTTAATCAGCAGCTTGACAGTAATAACTTGTGAAGTAAGAGTACTTTCAAATCTGTCTAGACACCTACTTCCTGTTTTTTGGAATAACGATTGCATCTGTGTTGCTGGCTTGATTGATATCAATAGTCAGCACTTTATTGCTCTTTTGAGATGAAAAAAAACAGTGCTTTGAACACAACATTCTATCCATGAACATTTAAAAAAAAATATCAATGAAGTATTTACTCAGATTTTCAAGTTACAAATTGATGTGTGGTGTATGAATCTAATATCAGTTCTAAAAATATCAAAGAAAGTTATATTTAAAATTGGAGTTATCTTCCTTTCAATGCTTAATACAAAACACACTGTACAACAATGGATTGTAATGTTTAATATTCAGTTCCCACTGCAAAACGAATGCAATTCTTTCTGATTCTTCATTACTCACAAGCACTCTGATTTCATACTTTGAATTAGGGAAAGGGGGGGGGGGGGGTCTTTCTCAGCAAGACAACACATGCACAACTGCTTGTTAATTTAAACTGTCCAAAGCTATATGGTAAGACAAAGGCAATATATTTTAACATACAAGTGTATTCTTTAAACAGTAAACATGACAAAAAAGTATGCATTAAAATGTGTAGCAGCTTAGTGTAGATGAATAAATAAACATGTGAAATATGCTTGTAGGTGTTGGAAGCAGTGAAAATATCCAAGGAAATAGACCGTGACACACTGATTCAGGTGGCCAAGACTTCTCTCAAGACTAAAGTGCACTCTGAACTGGCAGATCTTCTGACAGAGGTAAGAAAAATCAAAATGACTTACATAAAAATAAAGTTACAATCAAAACTATGTAATACAAAATAAATCAATTTATATCAATATCACCTTGGTGGTCTCTTGATAGTGTGTTGGCCGTCAGTGCGGGAGGTCATGGGTTCAAACCATGGCTGAGTCAAACCAAAGACTTTTAAAAAAATAAGTATGTGCTGCTTCTCTTCAAAGCATGCGGCATTAAGGAGTTTAGAGCAAAGACTGGTTGACTTGGAGTCAGATTAATGTGGGAAGGGGAGGTTGACATTTGCCTTTTTAGCTAGCATGTTAAAAACTCTGGCTCAGCGTGTCAGTCTAGGACAAAGCAGTGTTTAAACTTGTATCACATTATCAATGTTCTCATCCTGAATATTTGATTTGCCACTGGATGCTAAACAGCCATTCGTCCATCCATCTTATTTTGGAATTTCTTTTATAATAAATTGCTGACAAGTCAAATGTTTTTTAAACCCTATATTTGCAGGCAGTAGTCGATGCAGTATTATCTGTAAAGAAGGGAAATGAACCAATAGACTTACATATGGTAGAAATCATGGAGATGCAGCATAAGACCGACATGGACACTGTGTAAGTTTTGTCATCAAGCAGTAAATGTTTTGTCTGTCCATCTTGTTTGTCTGTTTGCTGTATCTTCTTTGTATCCCCAACATATCCGAAATCAGGAAATGCATGTCATTGAAACATCCAGAAAATCTTCAGTATTTGCTGTACAAATCCATTTAAAATATTTTTGATGAATAATTATTTTCAACTCGTCACAAGTACTTGAAATGATACTACAAACTTCATAATTCATAAGAAAAGAAATACTTGGCCCAGATAAAGACTTCCTCTAGATTTGAATCAAGTAGAGTCAAACCTGCTATATAGGTCTGCGACACCTCTTTCAAAATCTATCTTGTCAGGTGATCCTTTTTTATACGCCCGTTTACGGGACGTATTATGGTATACCGTTGTCCGTCTGTCCGTTCGTCTGTCCGTCCGTCTGTCCGTCGTCAACATGTCGGACATTAACTCAAAAATGCTTTCACCAATTCGCATAAAACTTTGGTGAATTGTTTATATCTATTGACGTGAGCTCCCTTTCGTTTTTTATAAAATTTAGATTTTATGTTTCCGAGTTATGGGGTTTTATTCATTAAAAAAAGGGGGATTTTCCAGTTTTCGGACAATAAGTCAATGATGCTTTCACCAACTAGCAAGAAATTGTGGTGAATTGTTTATATCTTTTGACATGAGCTCCCTTTCGATTTTTATAAATTTTAGATTTTACGTTTCCAAGTTACAGGGTTTTATTCATAAAAAAAGGGGGGATTCTCCAGTTTTCGGACAAAAACTCAAAAATGCTTACAGCAATTCTTATGAAACTTTGGTGAATTGTTTGCATGTATTGATGTAAGCTCTTTTTAGAATTTTATAAATTTTAAATTTTACATTTCTGAGTTATGGGGTTTTATTCATTAAAAAAAGGGGTGATTTTCCAGTTTTCGGACAATAACTCAAAAATGCTGTCACCAATTCTCAGGAAACTTTGGTGAATTGTTTATATCTATTGATGTAAGCTCCCTTTTTATTTTCATAAATTTCTAATATGACATTGAGAATTAATTGAACTTTATTTGTTTATAGTCTGACAACAGATATACTAAGTATTGCACAACAGCAAGAAATCTTTAATTGAATATAAATTCAATTCAAATAACCAATTTCAAGTTCTTTGACTACATTTATTCAGAAACCTATAATATGTCAAATATTTAATTACAATCCAAATTCAGACCTGAATCAAGCTTGAATATTGTTGGACCTCTGCGGGCGTATCTAGCTGCGCTCAGCGAAGCAGTTTATTTGTCCTGCTGTAGTAATACTTATGCATTTTGAACCTCAATTTCCAAGGTCACTTGTCTTATAGGATCAGTTTTGTCTGGTTCCGAAGGTATACTTTACATTCAGGTTTGACTGTGTCAAAATTAAGAGGTAGTGTCATATATTTATGATAAACAATGATTTACTTTCAGACTTGTAAAAGGTTTAGTATTAGATCATGGAGCACGTCATCCACAAATGCCTAAACGTGTTGAAGATGCCTACATCCTAACTTGTAATGTTTCATTGGAGTATGAAAAAACGTAAGTTGATTTTCAATTTTACATTTGTAATAAGTTTTGGATTAGCCTCGAGCTTCACTGAAGATATATTGATTGTCAAAATAAGGTAAAACTGGTACAGTTTATGTTATTAGTATATTAGTAAAATTCATTTTTGTCTCTCCTTGGCGGAGTCAAAAAGCGAGACATAGGTATGCTGTCGACGTAAGCGTCAACAATGTGTTAGTTTGTGATTAGGTCTAGTTTATGGTGAACCACTAGTGGTAGATCAATGATATTTGGTATGCAGTTGTATTAGCATTGGCACATCTCATTACCATGGAGATTAGTTGGCCCCGCCCCTCAGTCATGCTCTATTGACTTTGAAACTTTTGCTTAGTTTTCATTTATTAGTTTGTGATTAGGTCAGTTTATGGGGAACTACTAGTGGTAGATCAATGATATTTGGTATGCAGTTGTATAAGCATTGGCATATCTCATTTCCATGAAGATTATTTGGCCCCGCCCACTCAGTCATGAACTATTGACTTTGAAACTCTTGCTTAGTTTTCATGTATTAGTTTGTGATTAGGTCAGTTAAAGAGGAACCTCTAATGTTAAGTCTATGATATTTGATATGCAAATGTATTGGAATTTGCAAGTTTCATTTCCATGGAGATTATATAACCCCACCCCCTCATTATGGTTCATGGACTTTTACATAGTTTACAAGTTAATGTTTGTGTTTAGCTTTGTTTAAAGGGAACAACTTATGAAAAGTCAATGGTATTTGGTATGCAGTTGTATTAGCATTGGCACATCTCATTTCCATGGAGATTTTTTAGCCCTGTACCTTCAGTCATGATTCATTGTATTTGAATATTTGCATAACTTACATGTTAAAGTATTGCTATTTTAAATTCAACATTTGCATTATTAAAATAACAAATAGGCGAGACATATCTCTGTGTTAACAGTTTATTTAGTCATTTAAAGATATTTACAATAAACATAAGCTATAATGAGATTTTAAATCTGGACATAAAATGCAGACTATGAACAAGGTAAAACAGAAACATACAGATGTGACATAAAATGGATTAACCACTATATATGGTGGTAGTGGCCCAATAAATTGTCACTATATATAATTGCATATCACCATCTGCCAATAATAAAAATAAACAATGCACCATGACTGAATGCAGTCCTGAGTTGCCCTCTTTAAATAAATAGTTATTATCATTATTATTACTATACCTATTACTTTTATAGTGAGGTGAATTCAGGAATTTTCTACAAGACTGCTGAAGAGCGAGAGAAGTTTGTTCAGGCTGAGAGGAAGTTTATTGATGATAGAGTAGAGAAAATCATTGCTCTGAAGAAAAAAGTCTGTGATGGCAACAAGAAAAGCTTTGTTGTTATAAACCAAAAGGTAATTTGGACTGTACGAAACGAGGATTCACAGGGAAAAAGTAACAATTCATTTATGAGATAATTTCTCCTCCATTATCCTTTGTTTGATTAAATTTTCATAAATCTTCATTTAACTATGCTATTACATGAACAATTTCCTTTAAAACTATTCAATGATGAAGTTGTTTTGTAAAGAGAAATTATTTCAAAAATTTTGTCTTCTATATTTAAATGATTGTAAGGTAATTAATTGTGATACTTTGTCCGTTTGACAGTAGATGATATCACCTAGATATATATCATTGGTAATAATTTAAATACAGAAATGGTATCAGTAAAATAAGTCATCATAATTTAATGTCACAAGACTTGTGCTAGTGTTGAGAAAAGCTTGTGAAACTTCACAGCTTTAAAGCCCTGGGTTTTTGAGTTCTGTCATAAAATTTGAACACTTGAAGCTTAAGTTATGACCATGATGAAAATTTATTGTAGGGAATTGACCCATTGTCTTTAGACTTGTTGGCAAAGGAAGGAATCATTGGATTGAGAAGAGCAAAAAGGAGAAATATGGAAAGGTAAATTACTGTAGAACAACTCATTCTCGTGAGCAATTTGTTTTTATACGCCCGTTTACGGGACGTATTATGGTATACCTCTGTCCGTCCGTCCGTCGTCAACATGTCGGACATTAACTCAAAAACGCTTTAACCAGTTTGCATAAAACTTTGGTGAATTGTTTATATCTATTGACTTGAGCTCCCTTTCGTTTTTTTTTAATTTTAGATTTTACGTTTCTGAGTTATGGGGTTTTATTCATTAAAAAAAGGGGGATTTTCCAGTTTTCGGACAATAACTCAAGAATGCTTTCACCAATTTATATATTACAGGTTGTCGCTAGCTGTTGGAGGAATGGCCATGAACTCTGTTGATGACCTAACACCAGATTGTCTGGGATTTGCTGGTCTAGTATATGAGCAAGTTTTGGTAAGTTAAAAACAGATAAATCTATTTGTCTTAAAACGCAATGGTATAAGATAAGTAATGTACAAAGTGATGCTTATAACAAGTCTTGCAATTATTGTGGATTCATTTATTTTTGTGGATCGAGGAAAACTTACATTTTTGTAGAATTTTTATTTCAAGGTTTTGCCAAAGTCTGCATGCAAGCCTATAATGAATTTGTAATTTGTTGAACATTTAAATTGTTGGTTCACCTGTACCAACAAGATCCACAGATATTGGAATCCCCCGAATAGTTATGAATACACAGTATTTAGCTTTTGAAAACATTCTTGCTGTAAGTTGTAAGCATTAGAATATAGATAGAAGAGTCTGTGACATGTACATTCTGCAAATTAATATTACTGAAAAAAATGTATACTTGGGTGTTTAATTTTGTGGATAATCAAAAACATGAATTTTTATACTCAACAAAAATGTTTAACAGAATTTATAGATAGTGCTGAGGAATCAGAAAAAATAAGTTTTTACCTTTATATAAATTCATGTTGTAAATGACTAATTTTACAGGGAGAAAGCAAGTATACATTTATAGAAGAATGTAAACATCCTCAGTCTGTGAGTCTGCTGATCAAAGGTCCAAACAAACATACTCTTACTCAGATCAAAGATGCTATCAGGGATGGACTCAGAGCTGTCAAAAATGGTATTGAAGATGGTTAGTATATTATTTACTGTATTCTTTAAAGAGTTATTCTGTAAGTATATATTTTGGTGTCTTCCCAGTCTGTCCACAAATAGTGTGAATTACTTTTGAAGGTTTTGAAGCTGGAAAATAATAAGTAAAATTAGTCATCTGTATTGAAATGCTGCATAAAACACACTATGTATACTGTAAATATCAAATTTAATTTGTACAGGTAACTGAAAAGGAGCAACAACAAAAATTCCAAGTTTCAACCTGTATCAAAGGGGAAAAAAATAGTATATTTAATAAATTACTCATATTGTAATATTTGAAAGAATGGAATGGAATATTGTGTCAGTCCGACAGTAAACCATGTAATGGGCATTGATATTTTATTTTCTCCTTTGTAGACCTTTTTATAGCTACAAATGTTCTTAGTTCCACCAAACAGATAAAAACATATAATTATAATTCTAAGTGGGATATTCAGAAAAAAAAATGACAAAGTCAAGGCATGTATTATGCAGTGTTTTTTGATTAAATAATTCATGTGTTCTGTTTTAGTTATATAAGAAAATACAATAAAAATTGAGATAAAAGAGGATTCCAAATATATGGTTGAATATGTTGGTTTGTTGGGGTTTAACATTACTTTCAGCGACCATGATTATGTAATGGCAACCAGTTTTCATTGGTGGAGGAAGTCCAGAAAGAAGCCCGGAAATAATCGCCAATCTTTGATAGGAAAACTGGCAACCTTTGTCAATAAATTAAGATTATAAGTGAAAACACCCTGTGAAGAGCAGGCTTTGAACTCTCAACCTCAGTGGTTGAATATGCATTTGATTATTTCCTTGGTGAATTGAATCCAATTAAAAGTGATTGACTTATTTCATTTGTTCTTTTACAGCCTGTGTTCTACCTGGAGCTGGAGCATTTGAGATAGCTGCATACCAAGAACTGATGCAGTACAAAAATGAGGTCAAAGGTCGTGCAAGACTTGGTATGTTATTTATAAAATATATGCACTCTAATATAAGTTTGAAAAAAACCCACTAAATTTGTTACCCGTCATTCTGTTTATATAGTGACAGCATACTGTGGATTCATTTATTTACGTGTGAATCAATTTTCGTGGTTTGAGGAAAACTTGCATTTTCGAGGATATTTGATTTCGTGGTTTTGCCAAAATCTGTATACAACCTAATAAAGAATATGCATTTCGTTGAACATTAAATTTGTGGTTTTTAAATGCAACGAAATCCACCAAAATTTGTATCCAACGAATAATAATGAATTCACAGTATGTTTTGTACCTCGGTTGAGTTGGCTGTGTATATAGGACTGTAAAAGAAAAGTGTATAGAGTTACTTTTACACAAACCTTAAAAGGTAGTTCATATTATTTCACTCTGAAATTCATTGATAACAACAGTCACATACCTGACTTGTTACAACCTCTTTAATTCATGTGAAAGTAGTGGTGTTACTGTGGATTCATTATTATTTGTGGCAATCCACTAAAAATTGGTACCCACAAAAATAAACGAATTCACAGTAAATAAGGTTGATAATTGTAGAAAACTTCCTGTTCATACGAGGATCTTTTTCTGATTCAATCGATACATCTTTGGTGCATCAGAAATGAGAAACTTAAACATTCTGTTAGTACCAAATTCTGATTGTGCTGATATCACAATGGAGGATTAAAAATTGCTGTGTTGAATGCAAATCTATTGACAACATTTATTTTGTAGGAGTACAAGCATTTGCTGATGCCCTACTTATCATCATCAAGGTTCTAGCCCAGAACTCTGGTTTAGACCCTCAGGAATCTATAGTTAAATTACAGGAGGAATATACAGGTCCTCAACAGGCTGTAGGACTAGATATAAAAACAGGTAAAATTGATAGTCAAACTACCGGTGGGATGAATAGGTCTTTTAGCAGGCCTTTTAACAAGTTTTTAAGCAACAGCTTGCACTAATAAGGTGACATCAGTTGTATCAACAAAAAAATCTGTTAACAAAATTTATAATCTAGAAACAACAAAATTTGTTTAAAAATCGGGGGAAACAACTTGATACTTTAAAGGGGCACTAGCTGTCAAATTCATGTTCACCAATTTGACTCCAATTCTCATATTTCTTATATAACAATGTAAAACAATTATAAAAAATCTAAAATAAACAATTTACAGGGCATAGGGTCGATAATATGTAGCTTCGTTTTGTGTGTATTTTAGCCTAGACGCCATCTAATTAACTGTCGAGTTGACCTCCCGAAAACCACCAGTGCCCATATAAGGGATATAAACATAAATAAAGATATTAATAGATAGCGCAACTCGTGCAATTGGATTCTTCTAGGTCTATTTAATTTCATTTATAGATTAAGAATATATGTTAATCATCATTTTTACCTGTATAAGAATGATTTTTTTGAGGATCGAATCAGTCAATTAAATGAATTACCTTTGTTTACTTTCAATGTTGACATTCATTTCCTTTAAATAATCAAACATGCACACAATTCATGCGTTATCCAACTCTATCTAAGGGGTTAAATTGAAGTTCACATGAAAACGGATTCAATGAGGTCGAATTAGCAAGTGAATAATTCATCATCAATATTTATTTGCTTATTTTGACAAAATTAGACCATACTGGCTGCTAAAAGCGAATTATTATTTCACTATTCCACTTTCATTAATGATTGAACAAAAAAAATCATATTTTATATATTTTTTTATATCTCGTAGCTAGTGCCCCTTTAAAAAGCAAAAAAAAATGTTTATGACTTGGGGAATATTAATGGCACAACACTTATTTTTATACGCCCGTTTACGGGACGTATTATGGTATACCTCTGTCCGTCTGTCCGTCCGTCGTCAACATGTCGGACATTAACTCAAAAATGCTTTAACCAATTTGCATAAAACTTTGGTGAATTGTTTATATCTATTGACGTGAGCTCCCTTTCGTTTTTTATAAAATTTAGATTTTACGTTTCCGAGTTATGGGGTTTTATTCATTAAAAAAAGGGGGATTTTCCAGTTTTTGGACAATAATTCAAGAATGCTTTCACCAACTTGCAAGAAATTGTGGTGAATTGTTTATATCTATTGACATGAGCTCCCTTTAGAATTTTATAAATTTTACATTTTACATTTCTGAGTTATGGGGTTTTATTCATTAAAAAAAGGGGTGATTTTCCAGTTTTCGGACAATAACTCAAAAATACTGTCACCAATTCTCATGAAACTTTGGTGAATTGTTTATATCTATTGATGTAAGCTCCCTTTTTATTTTCATAAATTTCTAATATGACATTGAGAATTAATTGAACTTTATTTGTTTATAGTCTGACAACAGATTTACTAAGTATTGCACAACAGCAAGAAATCTTTAATTGAATATAAATTCAATTCATATAACCAATTTCAAGATCTTTGACTACATTTATTCAGAAACCTATAATATGTCAAATATTTAATTACAATCCAAATTCGGACCTGAATCAAGCTTGAATATTGTGTCCATTTTTGTCCCAACTGTTCAGGGTTGGACCTCTGCGGGCGTATCTAGCTGCGCTCAGCGAAGCAGTTTATTACACCATCTTTTGATAGATACATGTAAAAGTTTATTTAAAAAACTACTTTTTTAGGTAGCTTAGAACACATAGTAGATCAAACTTCAGAAGTTAAACCAGGGTTTGCCAAAAAAAAAATAGATTTATTGTCCTGTAACTTTTAAATGTTGTATATCAGTAGGACAATCCGAAATATACCCTCACTATATGAGTTAGGCTATATTGCATTCACATTGTTGGTCAGTTTAACAGACCATTTGTCCAATCAATATTTTCATCACAATTTTCGCAGCTTCTACTGAACAGAATGACTTCATATTTTATCAGTTGCTTGATTGTGATGCACTTTTGGGTCCGTCAGAATTTTACTTCCTGTTTTCTGATACTTTGAATAATGAGTAGGTATGCTTAGGATGACAATTGATGCAAAGTTTTGTTTAGTTTGCTATGAAACAATAAAAATAGAATATTATTACAGAACAAAGTTAAAATCTTGAGACAGAAGATGTGTTAAAATGATATTATGGCACAAACTGAAAAAGGTTATCCTAAAAGTAAGTAGCTCATCCATAGTATTTTATTTTGTTGAAATAAAACTTCTTTGATAACTTTGTATTATTACATATTTTCAGGTGAAGCCCTTATACCATCAGATGCTGGAATACTAGACAATTATAGAGTGAAGAGACAATTACTGCATTCATGGTAAGTTTAGTCTAATTCTGTTGTATAATCACATATATTTATTTTTTTTTAAATTTATAACATTCCTTGATTCATATAAATGTGGAACTTACCTGACATTGAATCATTTAAACATAGCTCATCTTTTCTAACAGAATTATTTAAACATTGTTTGAAATCTTCTAACATTGAAACATTTGTGCAATTTTTATGCCCCGCTGTCATCTGAGGGGTTATTAAGTGTTACCCTTGTCCGTCTGTACGTACGTACCAAAATTGGTTTCCGTTTTCTACTTAGTTTGCATCAACCAAATGTTATGATACTTATACACAATGCTTATTACCACAAAACACAGATCAAGATCGAATTTGGGTGGCATCACTTTTTCTGTTCTTTAGTTATGCCCCTTTATAATGTTATATGCAAGCGAGGGCATCATCTGTGTCCCATGGACACATTCTCCATTTATTCTGACTTTAGATTATTTGAACATCCTACAGAAGGAGAGAAAATTTTAACCATAGATTACCTTTGGTTTATAGTGCTATGCATTTCAGACAATATTTAAGCTTAGATTTATTACAGATGTAAAGTTTCCAATTTACTGGAACATTCAGTATAACAATTATGTTTTTATGCCATGAATGCATTTTGTTTTCCTGTCTCACTCTGCATGTGTCTTTCCCATAATAGGTTTAAAATTTCAAGGGAGTTTACCTTAAAATGTGGTCTTATTGACTTGAAACTTAGTACGTATGCTCATTTTGATGTGATATTTAAAAAATATATGACAAATGAGGTGTTGGCTAACATTTCGGGGTTCACTGAACGTGGAAATGAAATATGGCCATGGTGTCCTATGGTCAGATATTGTTGTTTAGTACTGTGACAGCTACAAATTTAATTTTAATATCAAAATTTAATCCTTTTAATTGTCTTTTTCAGTACTGTGATAGCCACCAACCTGTTACTAGTGGATGAAATAATGAGAGCTGGAATGACTTCATTGAAAGGATAGCACTGATGATGGACAACAAATCTCATATTTAACTTATACATGTTTTCAAATGCTTTTGTACTAATAAAATCTGCAGTCATTAGATTGTTATACTTCAACCATACAGTAGTGATACAAAAAAGATTACAATTACAATAAATTTGAAGTGTTAATTTAGAGTTTTGTAATGTGTGATGTTGTGTGTTTTGCTTAGGGCTGTTTCAAAATTGATTGTGTGTTGGGGATGGGAAGCACTCAAATAATTTAGATGGTTGCATTTTCTTTGGAATTTTGTAAGAGAATAAGTGAAACGAAAATTTTATATTATGGGTGTTTGAGGTCTTAACAAAATGCTCCCCATGCATTTAATTCTGGAACAGCCTTTATTAAGATGTCTTTCAAAACTGAAACATAAAAGATTGTTATTATATTGCAATATTGTAAACAGGGAAATTTTCATGCAGGAGTTATTTAAGCTTATTAAATGCAAATATATCCCCCATGCAAATTGTTTAAGAAAGCAAAAACATTTGTATGAAAATGAATTTGTCGTTAACGTAAATGCATGAATTATAACCCCAAAGAATGTATGCATTGAAATCGCCAAATCAATCCCTGTTTACAGTAATATGATGTTCCCCTGGAATCCGTTTCTTGAAACTTCATCCTCCTTGTGGGTCTTGCCTCCATCACTAGAGAATAAATGTCTTATCCAGTGCCAGATCAAACCAGAAAACTTAAAAATTGCGATTTGGTGCTTTTAGACTTTGAACAGAACATTTACGATAAATGACTGGTAGGAGTCACAATAAAGTGCTATAATAGGATGACAGGACTTCCTGCATATTTCCCTTGTGAGATTGCATGTTGAAAATCAAACTTGCAATGCTGATATATGAATAAGTAGGATATGTTCAGATGAAATTAAAATGTTGATTGTCTTGCTAATGTATGCAATATTTGTGGTATGACATTAAAAATTGATCATTCAATCAGAAACTATGAAAAACAAATTTTAAAAACGTTGATAATACTTGGGTGCTCACTTTCTACCATTAGACTTTTACAAAGGGCTCAATGTTGACTACTTTTTTGGGGGGAAATTGTTTCCTTCAATCTTTGACAGAATCAATATAATTCACATTCAGATGACCGCTTGCTGCTTAAATCCAAACACAACTCAACATTATATGTAGACACAACAATGTATGGAAAAAATGAATTAAATATAAAACTAGAACTTGTTGCAATGCATTTTACCCAATGAAATTTCATAATCAAGTAAAGACTGATTCCATGTAAATTGTAAACTCTGGTATTGGTGTTGTCATATGAAGTTCAGACTACCATCAATGTTAGCTGCAGAATTGATCAGGAACTAGTTTTACATGGTATTTATTTGGATATATATATAAAGACTTATGTCTGAAATCAGGTCTAATAATGTTAGATCTGCACTAGTCAATTTCAGCCTTCCCCTAAATCCATGTTGCTGTGACATGACAACTCTGTATGCACTGTATCCAGCAACCTTAAAACATGTACAGTAACTCTTGAATTATTTTTCACCTGAATCCAATTACACATACTATCAACTGTTTTTTCTGAGACACATGATTCATATCTTCGGATGGTTTTCGTTGTGGAGTAAGGTAGTACACAGCAAGGCAAAACCTTCTAGTTCATAAATATTTAATTATGTGCTGATTTAAAATACATTTTGGTCCCCTTTCATCGAACACAGAGTAATATTTGCTACTCGACGTTAAGCAACTAACAATCGGTCAATCTAATACAGAGTATCAAAGCTTAAAACAAGTCTTGTAACTGTATTCTACTTCTCTAAAATATAAGCAGCCTTTTTTGCAGTAAAATATTGTGATACTTAATGCACTGAATAAGACTGTATACAAACTGACGAGCTGAAAGGCTGATATTAAGTCTATTAGTTGATGAAGCGTAAATTGATTGGTTGATAACTGATTGATTAATTGAAAGCTTGATTGGTTGACCTTGAACATAGCATAACCAAGAAAAGTCAAAAGCTTATATTGTTTAGAAAGAAAAAAAAAGGGGAGGGAGAGAAATATTTGCCAACAGGTATAAAATAGTCCAGTAGAGGATATATTTGACAGAAATTGTTAAATTAAGCTTTTTTGCAACTTTTACGATCTTGCTGTTTATGGAGGAAGACTTCAGCGCATTTGGTCAATATCCCCGAGGAAATATTTATAAACAGTAGTCTATCTATTGGACAATTACATGGAGGGTGGAGTTGGATATTGTTAGAAATATAAATGGAACTTTTTAACTGATGGCTATTATTTTACAAGTCAATTAGTGCTTTAAGTGGGATTTAATGCAATATATTCAGTTAATTGTTTTATTTATTAATCACATGGATTAAAACAATTTGGCTTATATTGTTACGAAAAATGGAAAACAATTGCATACAGGAAACAAATTTCAGGTTTGTTTAAGTTCAAAGTTAATTATGAGTCTGAACAGGTTCATGTCTGGCAACTTTTTGATTTATTTTCCAGCAATACCAGTGACATACACATAAAATGCATAATATAAAACGGGGTATAATCCTTTTCGCTATTTTCCTTTCAAAAATTATGATTCACCGAAATATATAAAAATTCTGAACTCTGGTCTGAAAGGGGGCCTGAAATTCATTTGTGACTATTCTTTCCGGCCAACAATATAATCTTGGATAACTTGCAATAGAGTACCTACCTCCGTATTTAACAATGATATTAAAATGATGTGGATGTATGAAGCAGGGTTGGCAAAATCTGGAATAATTCCATTATCCCTTAATGGAGAGGCTACTTTTAATCGTAATATGTTTTGTGTATTTTAGGAAAACATGATAACAGTTTAGATAACTGAAAAAAATCTTTGTGAAGTAAAACATATGAGGAATAGTTGTAAACAAATTACTAGTCCTATGTTCCTCATTTTTTGTATTATAAGAATATAGTGTGAAAAAGCTTTATCTAAGGAAAACTATATATAGACTTATACGGAAATTCAGAGTTGTAAATTGACAAATAAATGGATTGAACTTCTATTTGTTGCCAAAAATGGAAAAATTTAGAAAATTATTTGTGGACAAATAACCAGTTATATTATAATAAACGTTAAACAAAATGACACTTTTCACTCATGTTTTATTATTAATAAATTTGTAAATTTTTGTAGTTAATAAAGCAAATCTGACATCACTAATGAATTATCAATTAATATTTAACGGTAAGGTGCACTACGTTTAAGTCACCGAAATACATTTAAGAAATAGAAATCCACCCCTTTTTTCTTTAGAAAGAAATGGACATGGTCTTTAATAGCAAATGTTCAATATTAGTATATACTAATGGCATTACGTGTTATAGCATAAATATCAAATAATTATAAATGAAGGGTTTTAAATATTTAAGATGTAAATATTTGGACCACGGGAGCCTAACTTCTTTGTATTGACAGGTAAATACAAAGTTTATTGAAAGGAGACAAGCCATAACATGAAAACCGTGTTTATTGAATGAACACCTAAACCTATTTATTTATTCGTTATTTCAATCTGTTTAAAGGACGTATTGTTGACAACGAGACTGCATATGTATTGTTACCTGTTGATTGCATGGCATTGTTTAAAATCCGTTAGATTTCACACCTGAATTCAGTGGCATTTAAATATAGAATTTTATCTTGTGTGTGGATTTATGAATAATTTTGTATGATATTCAATGAAATGTACCTTAAAATGGTACGCAAATATAATTTAAATTGAAATTAGAACAGTGACATATTTGGATACTTTATAAACGGATGCAAGATGACGGATACAGCAGATCAATCGTTTATCATTGTTAAATACGGCGGTAGGTACTATTTAATACAATATCTTAATTAATTTCTCATTTAATCTCAAAAAGTTTTTTTTTAAATTAGCAAACAGTAATTTGTTAAAAAAGATACATTTGTTTTGTCTTAGTGATGTACAGAATAAATAAACCAAAAATGAATGGTAGAGAACATTAAAAAAGTATGTCGATGTTTGTCTTGGATACAGTATTGAGTCTAATAATGACTAAGATTTGTATTTTCAAAAAGAGTGGGCCGGAGGGGCTCGATGAACTGAAAAATAAGAGGGATGCATACACAAAAATTCAGAAAAATTACTAAAAAACATCCTATCGACCATTAAATGCCCCGTTATTTTTACTATACGCACTGAGGAAAAACCACTGACCCTTTTCATAGAAACTCGCACGAGAAAAAAGCGAGTCCTTTATAATATGTGTAACTCACACCTTGAATCTGACTTCCGACTGTATCTTGTTGAATGTAAACATGTGATTTAACCAGGATTTCACTTGAAGAAGTTAGGCCCATAAACGTTTTACGTATTCACATAGAAGTGAAGAAAATGAATAAACAATATTTTTATAGAGAAAAAACAGGCACTTGACTCTGAAAATTACCTATATACCTTAATGTAACAAAACGTGTTGTATTATGGTATATAGGTATATTTTTCAGAGGCAAGTGTCTGTGTGCGGTAAAAACAGCATTTTTGAATGCAACCCAACAACACAAAAGACAACTAGAGGTCAACAAACGGTCTTCAACAGCCAACATACGGTCTTCAACAGCCAACATGCGGTCTTCAACAGCCAACATACAGTCTTCATCATTAGATAAAGGACCCCAAGTTTGGGCAAGTTGTCATAATAAATTAAACAGGAGGTGCCGTTGATCTACCATCCTCATACATTGTTTACACTAAGAATTATACAACTTAGAGACAATCCTTGACTGCATGGTGATGTGTGTATATAGGACAACGTTTACATTTTAACATACTACTTGTTGACCTCTAGATGTTTTGTTGATTATTTCGGATCGTGTGATTGCTGTCTCATTGACATATGCACCACATCTCTTTTTATTCATGTGTTATTGAAAATAATTAATTTTACTTGAAGAAAAAACCACCTTTGCCTTTGCTGTACTTGTCAGTTTTGGTCACCCCCAGTTTTTGGTGAGGTTCGTGATGCTCAGTCTTTAGTTTTCTAAGTTGTGTTTTGTGTATTATACTGTTTGTCTTTTGGTAGTTTTTTTTAGTTTTTTAGCCTTGGCGTTGTAAGTTTGTTTTCGACTGATGAGTTTGGATATCCCTTTGATATCTTTCGCCTCTGTTTTTTCACATCCTATATAGAAAAAAGAGATGTGGTATGACCGCCAATGAGACAACTCTATCCACCAAATCATGAGACGACACGGATGTAAACAACCTATAAAGTTGTTCCTATGTTTATACTTCAGTTGTCTAGTCCCATTTAACTATTTTTATGCATATTAATTTTTATGTACTATTTAAAATGTCATTTATTGATATGAATTTACATGTATAATTTTTTCCCAGGATTTATTTAAACATTAATGAAACATGCTTAGTTTGGTAACATAGCTACCGATTAGATTGAATTTGTTTATGCGTAAATAATTGATAGTCCAACTTTTGAAGTATTGAGTTAATAGCCAAAACACACTTAATAAAACATGTTGTATCTATAAATACTTGTACAGGAAAACAAAGACAAGTTCGTTCAACAGACATGATGTACAATGCACATATTCGATCAGAGACACATATGCCAATATGTTATATTCACTAGATGCACTTGAATTCTTGATTAAATTAAAAGAAATAGTACTAATAAGAGAGAGAGAAACACAAAGAAATCGAAGTACTGTTGTCTATATATCTATATATTTTGAGTAATATAAAAACGCTACATGCATTAATATTCTTTGAGTAGGAGGAACGGTGTTGGAAGATTTTCGACATCAAATGTTGCTAAGCATTGTGACATGTACCAATCTATACCACTGCCGTTGTCTTGCTCTGATTTTTTATTGATTCTTTGCAAACTTGATATGGAAATGAAATCTGCAGTTTTATTATCGACTCTTCGAGTTCTTTGTATATTCCGAATGATCCTCGTCGTTCTTTTTCTATCACTGTAATTATCAGGCCTAACGCATTGATTAATATCAATTATTCATTTACATCGCGTTCACACAGACGTTTCAAATCTATTACCATTAAATATTCATTTTTTAACGTAGGCATATGGTGAAACACTTCTATGTTCGAATCTGTTAAGAAATGAGCACGGTCTTTTTGTCACATTTCACTGATTAGGATATGACCTTTATGCTTTATCTAGTAAGCCCCGTTCATGGTTGTTACATTTATTTTTAAATCTTAACATGGACAGACAGTAGAATCAGACAAGTAATTAAGCCCCTCTTGTTCTATATTGATTTTCCTGGGTACTACTTCAATTAATACTTATAATTAGCAAATATTGTTCATAATCGGCCAGTATTATCATACTGATACGATTCATTTAAAATTGTATTTTTACTAATTTGATTATTTACTTTGACCAGACTTAGTCTATCTGCCATGCGGAGAATTAAATCGATCTCATTTAAATTCAATTAAAGCATTATACTTAATGAACCAACACTGGATTATACACAGGGTTCAATTTCAGTCCAAAATACATGCATAAAAAGGCATAGTTATTTTTCATAATCTTTGGCTGATTAGAGAATACTCACGGAAAATAGAAACGAACTAGATTTTTTTTAGAAGAACGACCGATATTTTGTTTCTCACGCCGGCATATATATTTTTCAGTAAACTTTCCCAGGTTTGCTTAATGCAGTTTCAAAGTTTAAATCTTTAACCGTTTTCCTATAGGTCATGCTGTTGAAAAAACAACATTTAATTTATACTGAATTAGGTACACATCGCTGAATTTGTTCCATATTGAAATCAACTTTAGTTGAAAGTGCAATTCACCGTTTCTCAAAGTAAATTTAAGTTTTTCTCGATTATTTATTTTCCAAACTAAACACACTATATCATGGGAAAAAGAGAGAATACCAACAACAACCCAGAAAACAAATAATCGAGCAAAACGAAAAAATAAACATAAATCTGAAAAGGGGTCATTATTGTAATGTGCTCATGAAAAGTTTGCAATTTTTGCCGCGCTGTCTTGCTGTGTAAGGAAAATTATAATTAATGATAAGTCGGATGTTTATGTGTTATATTACACACAAAGGAATTACATGCATAGATCACAAAATATATCAAACGGTACAACAGACCATATTAACCACCAATACCTGACCCCTCCTGTGTGCACGTGTGTAATCCCGCCTCTTGTCTGCTGCCCACCAAGACAACTTGACTATATTCTTCTAAAAAGTTCCGATTAAAGTGGGAAAGAAAGATCACAACTTATAAAATTTGGTAAATGTGGGAATATCATGATATTCCAAACAATGATGCATGTGGGAAGATCCCAAACAGCTGTTGTCATTAAGGGAATCTATGGAATTATGCATGGTAAATGAATGTAGTATAGTCTTACGATATATAGCTAATTACAAAACTTATAATGCTCACTGTTTTCTTCAGATGGTGAGGAAGCTTTATTCAACCCTTGGTGTACCAGTCATACATTGATGGAATGGATCAGACGAAAGTGTAGATGTGACGATGATAGTAAGTATTATTTGATCTCGGGTGTAACTGCCATTATTCTTATGAAGCAAAAATCTTGCAATATGATTGGTTAATTACCCATGTACCGGGTGTAAATAACAACCAACACCAGCTTTGATAAAGAATATTTAAAATAAAGTTAATGCTTTTCAAAAGGAGATTGTGCCACTGTAGATCGGATGCAAGTGTTAATACGATGATCGACGTGATAATGGGTTAGATGAACGAACCTGAAACAATAGTGCGAGGGTGGGTTAGATCAGAGACATATAATACACTTTTGTATTACATGTCTCTGGTGATATGAAAGTACTTATACATGTACAATAGTCCGAGAGTGGGTTAGATGAAAGAATTGATACAATAGTGCGAGAGTGGGTTAGATGAAAGAACTATTACAATAACGCGAGAGTGGGTTAGATTAAAGACCTGCAATAGTGCGAGAGTGGGTTAGATGATGAAAGAACTATTACAATAGTGGGTAAGATGAAAGAACTATTACAATAGTAGGTTAGATGAAAGAACTGTTACAAAGTGCGAGAGTGGGCTAGATGAAAGAACTGATACAATATTAGTGCGAGGTTTGGTTAGACGAAAGAACTGATACACTGATGATAGTGCGAGGGTGGGTTAGGTGAAAGAACTGATACAATAGTGCTAGAGTTGGTTAAATGAAAGAACTGAAACAACTGTGCGATGGTGGGTTAGATGAAAGCACTGATACAATAGTGCGAGGGTGGCACACAAAAAGTGTTTATACTTAATCGTAAGATTAAATCAGATGAAAGTTATGATGCAACGATGAAAAACTGGATCAGAATGAACAAGGAGAACAATAAGCTTTATTTCAAGGTCGGTTCATAAATAATGATGGACGAGTTGGTATGACAACGTATAACGGTACCATAAGTCAATATATCTGTACGTTATCAGGGACAGTCTATACTATACTTTAGTATAGACTGTCCCTGGTGTTATGCATGATGACTGTGATTAAATGCAATATAATAAAGCTGGTGTTTATTTATAAAAAAAACACGCATTAAAGAAGATTTTGAGTAGATGTAATAACTTTATATTTTAAACATGTAGGCGTGATAATTTTGTTGATAGTTTATAATTAGTATAACTTGAATGTTATACCGCTGATTTTACCCTTTCTATGACGTCGTACTGCAGATCTATGATAGAATTGACTCTCATATCTACCTTTTTAAATGTTAAGAAGTAAGACATGAAGAAGTCGATAAGAATTTAACAAAATTGAAAATATCATTTTATCTATGAAATTTATCAAGTTTATAGTACTTGGAAGCACTTTATACGTAAATACTAAAGCTTGACAAGTCATTCACTATCTAAATTGGTTATAATTTAATGTCACTTTGACAGGCAGGTTGATACTTTTCCTATTATAGATTTTTATTTCATTATGTGTATTCAATAATTATTTGATACGATTTGAATTGGGATTATATTTAGTGTGGTAATTAGACTGTTAATTGCTTCCAGATCACGCATTTCAACTGGTATACGCACGAGATGTTTAGGAAAAGTGTTTGGTGTCACTGAAAGCCATATGGATTGATTGATTGATTGATTGTTGATTAAAGCCACATTCAACACTATTGTGCTATTTCGTGGTGGTCAGTTTTTATTGGTGGGGGATCCTCAAAGATAACAGTACATTTCAGAAGATTTTATCGATTTCAAATTTTAAATCTGATCTTAAATATGCTAAAAATCTAAACTTTTTAAATTAAAGATTTCCTTTTTTGTCATGTGGTGTCAGAAAAATATATCAATAGATCCAGAAGTCATCTAATACATAAAGAAAACACCTACTTCGTGGAACCTAGTTTAAGTTTAATGGGATATCAACTTGAAGCGATAGAAATTTTGAATAATTTGCTAAAACAATGTAGCTTTGCAAAATGTACGTCATGGAGCTTGTTGTCTAGCTACAGCTATACATATGCCCCTTTAGATAGAAAAAATAGCTTTTTTGCACACAATCGTAAAAAAAAAATCGCTAGGCGATATTTTTACCTCAGTTTGTGGCATTTACTACCCTCTCTCTTTTCCTCGAATCTTGATACTGTTATTTGATATAAATGTATTTTTTTTGGTTTATTTTGTTTTGGCTCTGATTCTGGCTGAGGCTTATGGTGATATTTATATTATATTGTAAAGTCTTATTGTTGACTCAATTCACAACAGTCCCATAATTGTTGAATATTTACAAATTGTTCCTCATCTCTCTTTTCAGTAGTTATAGACCTAGTTGACTTGGAAGGTCAAGTAAAGAATTTGTCTGGACGCAGCAAAGAATACGCAAATGAACTAGTTAATGGACGGGAAACATATATACTTATTCGGGTTGAAAGTAAGTAAGGCCGTATCTGTATTAGATGTAATCGTCTCATGTCTGAGGGGCGTCAGATTACATCTGATTTACATAGTAATGCATAATTATTTAATCTTTTCTCTCGTTCTTAAAAGAGCAATTAATTTTATTAAAACAGGAATAGTGTCACTATCTCAAATTTTCCAGATGCAGCAACACTTTCAGAAGATGTTCCATAGTTATGGATTTGGAATGAAATCATAATTGCGTCTATTTTTTCTGTCTTCAAATTGATATCTTTTCACTATTTTTGTATGGCAATATGAATCCCTGTACTATTTTTTCTTTTTCTGATTTAATTGCCAAAACCTGAACTTTTTGCTGATAAACGATAACACTTCTATGTAATGATGAGGGTATCATTCAGGGTCAGTATTTCGGTACTGACTTATAACAAACCGTCTTTCTAACAATGTCCGTTTTTTGACATTTAAAATTTTCAAGAAACTGAGGTTTTAAGTCCTTTTTGCCCTTCAACTGTTTCGTTTCTTTAAAATATTTGGCAATTAAAGTTCCTGCATGATGTAGGTTAATCCAGAAAAGCGCTTCGGACGCATGGAATTCATTAGGATTGTTTTCATTTGTTAACGGACATACGATAGGTTTTAAAACTCGACGAAAGAAAGTTTTGTCGGGATACTGGTCTAAGGATCGATGGACAGAATGAAATTCAGCGCCAAAAACTTTCATTCGTACAACACAAATAATTTTGACAGACAAATTTATATATTTGTATGATATAATGAATAAACAATATGCGCTTTTTGCAAGTGTAATTTACAATCCAGTTGTCAAAAATCACATTAAAAACAATCTAAGGTTATCATCACGACAAACATGCAGTCATTTATATTACGGAAGTGTTAAATATTTCTAGTAACAACAATTTTTTTTACAGTAACATAATTTATTTTGAAACTAAAGTGGACGGTGTAATGAAAAACCAAATATTTAGTCTACCTTTTAACAAATAACGTCTTATATGTTTGACTTTCGAGAAATTAAAGATCTCAAAAGGCATTTTGAGATAAAACAAACAATCTTTTTCCTAGATACTGAAAAGGGCTGTTGTTCCAAGTAAAAATTTAATCAATCTGAATGAATTGTTATTTTATCCATTTCACGATACATTACAAGATTGATTTATTATACGTACAAAGACTTAAAATAGTTTTATTGGGGATACTTTTGTATGTGAGAAGTACAAAATTTTGACCTTGATTGTTAAGGACCGTTTGTCGTAGAATTCTTTAGATTGGACCAATGAAATATACGGGTCTTGATGGGGTTTACAGAATCGAAAATAATTGGTTAAACGTAAACATATATGTCTCTGTATTATATGTCTCTGACGTAAAAAATAGAGAAATATGGACAGAAAAATAGATGAAGAATAGAGAAATTGGTGCTACAAACTAAAGAAATGAATAATGTTAAAAAATAGTTAAAAAAATGCTGATTACAGAAATAAACGATTAAGATAATACCGAAATCATGTGCTTTCTGCACCTAGCATTTAAAATTGATTGAACAAATTTTAATGAAGAATTTTACAGAATAAGCATTTTAAGTAATAGAGGAAATGGTCCACAAAATTAAAGAATATAGGAACGAAGATCCCAGACCCACTACTGAACTTATACATGAAGCAAAACAACCATTAAAGTATTAAAAAGGGGGGGGGTATGAAACAAAACTTCCCAAGAAATACTGGGAAATAGCCAGCCATCATTAGAACAGCTATGTCACAATAACAACAGCTGACAGGTCTTCAATGATGAGCTAAAGAGGAGAGTAATGTTCACCTATAAATGGGAATTCAAAATATTTTATAAAAATAAGAAGATGTGGTATGATTGCCAATGAGACAACTCTCCATCAGAGACCAAATGATATAGAAGTTAACAACTATAGGTCAGCGGACAACCTTCAACAATGAGCATAACCCATACAGGGCATAGTCAGCTATTTTGCATGATAAGTAATGTCATTGAATTGTTTCATAATAAAAAAAAATATCTTTCTAACTGTATAAAGATCTATAGGTTTGATCATTTACACCTAATAAATTTTCATTTAAACTATGAAATTGATTTTAACATGAGAAATTATTGCAGATGACACGTACTACCAGTTACAACAAATTGAAAATCTTTATATCTTTTTTAATGTTCTAAGATTAGCAGATTTAAGTGTATTTACAGATTTGTGTATATAGTATAGATGAGGGTCTGGATGGGGTCCTTCATTTCTGTTTTCTTTTATTTATAGGCCATTTTTCTCTATTTTTTTTTTATTTTTTGCCCATTATTCTCTATTCTTAATATTTTAGCACCACATTATACTTTATTCTTTATTTTTTTGTACAATTTTTGTCTATTCTTTTTTTTTTAAGCCAATTATTTTCTATTCTGTAAACCCCATCCAGACCCTCATATAGTATAATAGAATAGCATTGAATTGATTTCTTATATTTTTCAGGATGTCATGATGGAAAGTTTTTGTATACTTCACTACTCAATAACCTAGAGGAATACAATTCTGATTTGATGGGTAAATATAATAGTAATCTATTAACTATTATGCACATCATCTTTAAAAAAGAAGAGATTAATAAATTGAAAATTTTATTTGTGTTGAGCCACATATCCTATCTACTGGTCTTTTGCTACATTATTATTTGTTGTTACCAATTTTCAAGAATTATATTGGTAAAGAAAACCACAAATACAAATTCAAATTTCATATGGACTTACATGCAAAATTTGAAAAAAAAAAAAAATGAAATCAAGTATCCATGCACATAACTTCATTTTTCCTTAATCCATTTATATTGGTACCAATGAAAATAAACTAATCTATTCTATTTAAAACAAACATTTTTTTGAATTAATAAATTTTTGTGAAATATCCATTTAATCAATAAAAAATATCCTCTGACTTAATACTTACACAATCTTTTTTTTTTAAATCTTTGAATATAACAGTGTATAAAACATTAGGAACTAAAATAACACAAGATATTTTATTATTTCCAGTTAAACTGAACAGCATGTCTCGACCACAGACAAGAACAAAGAAAAATGCCAAGAAAACTCCAAGCAAATCAAGTAAAAATAGGAATGAATCACCAACGAAACGGCCAGGCAGTGGAGAGAAAAAGAAAAGATGAAATCATATTAGCTTATGTAAATCTAAATGTAAAAAACCTTCCTTACTTTGAAGTTTAATTCATATGTTATATTTGTTTTGGTTTATTTTCAGGATGTTTATCCCAAACTTTTACTTTGCACTAAATTGAAGCATAGGGAGATTGTATATTTGCAGTACATTTTTTCTGTGAAAAAGTTAGATTTCTGTTACCATTACATGTAATTTGCTTCCATGTCCAGTAATTTAAGAGAATACATTTATGAAGATATATCTGTTACACACAACCAGAATTCAGGGACTCATACTTGCAGCTACATAACCACACACATTTTCAGGTTTTTTACTTTTTTGCACATTAATTTGGGAAAAAAATACTTATTATTTGTGTTTTAAAAATAGTTTTAATAATAGTTTTTTAAGTGCATCTCCATAACAGGTACTGAAGAAAGTTTGAATATGAAAATTGTTCTTTTATGAATACCTTTAAAATTGCATATTATTTTTATGTGTATGATTTCTTATTTAAAAACTGTAATCATGCAGAACGATAATTGCTTAAGTATTTTAATAGTTTGTCATGTGCATCTGTATAAAGGATACTGAGAATATTGAATATCAAAATTGTTCTTTTCATAAATACCTTATCAATTGTATATTATTTTTCAGTTATTTATAATTAAGAAATTGTATTCATACAGAAAGATTAGGTTTCTTCAGATATCTGATATTTGTAGTAAAAATATATTACAATTATTTCTTGGTACATGTAAATTTTTCTATTTTTCAACTTTAAATCACAACTGTACTTTATATAGAAAAGTGGTATAAATTTGGCCAAAAAGTTAGTAGAAGTTCATTGGGAGATGGAAAATGTTTGAGGGGACACACAGACAAACTAACCCAGTGACATGCCCAATATATGTACCATGAACCTGTCTTAACAATAGTTAAGGGGTATACACATTTGTTTTGCATACTGGAAATGATAAAGTCATGAAGGATAAACTTTATCTTTAAATGATAGAAAAGTTTTTGTCCTTAACCCATTTGTAAAATTTACTTTTCTAGTGCATAAAAACCTTTTATAAAACAATCACCTAGTATTTGCTAAAAAGGGAGATAACCTTATATAATTAGGGTAGATTTTGTACCATGACATTATAAAATATGCATATTTTTATTGTTATACCATGTTTTTTTAACTGTTAGATATATTTTGTCCAAATATTTTATAATAAAGCTGTTAAATCTAACAAGTCTTCCATTGCTTAGTGTTTATTGACATATTTGCAAGTTTAGCCTAAAACAAAATGGTGGAATATATTTAATTTTTTAACCAATAATCAAACTTTCTCATCACTGGCAAGTATCAAAACTAAAGGCAAGTTAAGATGGTCTTGTTTATATTTGTTGACAAAGTGTACAGCAAATGGGCTGAAGTGAAATAATGTTATCCAAAACAAAATAACATTTCTCAGATGGAAAAAAACATCAACTTAGGGAGCTACCATTTGATTTTTATGGGGGGGGGCTAGGATGAAAAATGTTGTTCTGCATTTATTTTTTAGTTTTAATCTCTGTCCTGCCTTTTTTTATTAGTTCATCCTGATTTTTTTTACATAAATTGTCATCCTGCATTTTTTTTTTGCCAAGTTGCTCATCCTGCCTTTTTTTTACTCAAAACTCCTGTCCTGCCTTTTTTCAAATTTCATCCTAGCCCCCCCCCCCCCCCCCCCATAAAAATCAAATGGTAGCTCCCTTATTCATTGTTGCTGCAAGAAAACAAAAGTACTTAAGGTTTGATGCATCTGAAGTCCTTTTTTAGATTTACCTTCATCAGGAACATAACTCAAATAACTTTTGGTTTATATAACCATTCAGATGAAGAACAACAATAAAAGAGTTGTTTCCTTTGACTCATGGTCATTTCTTAGTAAATCTTTGCATTGTTGTTTCCTTTGACTCATGGTCATTTCTCAGTAAATCTTTGGATTGTTGCTTCCTTTGACTCATGGTAATTTCACAGTAAATCTTTGGATTGTTGTTTTCTTTGACTCATAGGCTTTTCTCAGTAAATCTTTGGATTGTTGTTTCCTTTGAATCATGGTCATTTCTCAGTAAATCTTTCGATTGTTATTTCCTTCGTCTCATGGTAATTTCTCAGTAAATCTTTGGATTGTTGTTTCCTTCGACTCATGGTCATTTCTCAGTAAATCTTTGGATTGTTGTTTCCTTCGACTCATGGTCATTTCTCAGTAAATCTTTGGATTGTTGTTTCCTTTGACTCATGGTCATTTCTCAGTAAATCTTGATATTGTTGTTCCTTTGACTCATGGTCATATCTCAGTAAATATTTGGATTGTTGTTTCCTTTGACTCATAGTCATTTCTCAGTAAATCTTTGGATTGTTGTTTCCTTTGACTCATGGTCATTTCTCAGTAAATCTTGATATTGTTGTTCCTTTGACTCATGGTCATTTCTCAGTAAATATTTGGATTGTTGTTTCCTTTGACTCATAGTCATTTCTCAGTAAATCTTTGGATTGTTGTTTCCTTTGACTCATGGTCATTTCTCAGTAAATCTTGATATTGTTGTTCCTTTGACTCATGGTCATTTCTCAGTAAATATTTGGATTGTTGTTTCCTTTGACTCATAGTCATTTCTCAGTAAATCTTTGGATTGTTGTTTCTTGCACATCCAACCTGTATCCCTTTTCTCTGGAATTACATACAAAAACAGTAAAAATAAACAAGTATAACAACGGGTGAAATATTACCATTACTGGTTTTGACAATGTTTGTCTAAATGGCCCAAGGACGATAAACTTTGACAGTGAGAGTCAAATCAATTTGGATCAAAACATTTTGGACCTTTGTACTAAAGTTCTTTATCAAACCAGATCTATACAAGAAATGATTTGTTTGTTAAATACCTTTGGCAAATATCACATAAATATTAAAGATGAGTTTTAGAGTGATGAGACAATAAAATACTCATCTGTGATTAAGACTGAGGATTTCACATCATAATGAACTTGTTGAATTGTTTTACATCGTTCATTTCAGAGGCCTTTAATACTAGTAGCTTACTATGCAGTTTTGGTCTTGCTCATTGTTGAAGGCTGTATTGTGACCTATAGTTGTTAGCTTCTACATCATTTAGTCTCTGGTAGAGAGTTGATTCACTGTCAATCATACCACTTCTTATTTTAATATGTGTACATGTACTAAGTTTTTTGTTGATATGACCACAAGTTCATTGGAAACTACCTTAAACCAAAACTTTAACTTGATATGGAACTGATAATTGTACGCACAGACCAGGAAACATAGGACCATAAAAATATGAGTCAGAACACATAAAATGACAATAATTTCCATGTCTATGACTTGCTACAGCACAAGTGGTAATTATACAAGCCTGCAAAGAGTAAAATCTCCTAAAGATTTGGTAGAGTGATTGTTTGCTACATGTATAAAACAAATATACTGTGGTTTCTAGACTATTTTATCTTACCTTTTGCAGATGCAATTCAAAATTTCTATAACCAAGAGTCATAAATGTCTGCTAGCTTGACAGTATTTAATCATGCATAGAAACAATGTTTAGAAAATATATAGACTTTTTTACGAAAGAATAAGTTACAGTTAAATCATGGTAAAAAAGGAGGGAAAATGAAAGTTTTGATAAGTAGAAGTAGAGTTGATCTTTCACTCAGGAGGCTGAGGTCTAGGAAGGAATAAAACTTTTAATAAGAAATTGTTGCCAGGCTCTCAGCTATGAGGGGGAAGCTGACACTAACATATTCATGGCACAACAAATTTTCCATATTGAATCAAATTAAAACAAACAAAAGTAAAGCAAAAGGAGGATTCCAAGATAGTTGTTGTTTCAATGTGGAGATTGAAAAAGTAATATCACGTGACACTTTTCTAGGCACATGTCTAGATTTTTACACAGGCGAATTCAGCAAATGTTATGATTTAATAAACAGGAATGTGTCCATGGGACGCAAAGATGCCCCCGCTTGCATATCATATAAAGTTATAAAGGACATAACTGAAGAACAAGAAAAGTGATCCTACCCAAATTTGTACTTGATCTGAGTTTTGTGGTAATAAGTATTGTTTATAAGTTTCATAAAGTTTGGTTGATGCTAACTGAAGTTAGAGAACGGAAACGAAAAATTCAGCAATTTTTTCCATTTGTAAAGGAGCATAACTCCAGAACGGTTAAAGTGTCACCACCAAAATTCAAACTTGATCTGTATTTTGTGCTAATAAGCATTGTGAACATTTGGTTGTGGCAAGCTATAGTTAGAGAACAGAAACGAAAAATTCAGCAACTTTTCCATTTGTAAAGGGGCATAACTCAAGAACAGTTAAAGTGACGCCACCAAAATTCAAACTTGATCTGTGTTTTGTTGTAATAAGCATTTTGTATAAGTTTCATAACATTTGGTGGAGGCAAACTAAAGTTAGAGAATGGGAACCATCTTTGGGACGGACGTACGGATGGACAAGGGTTAAACTTAATGCCCCCTCTGCTACGGCGGGGGCATAATTAAAAAAGTTGATGACGCTGTTCTAATTTTACTTCCACACCCTGATGAAAACCTTTTGTAAGGGACATTGTGCATATGTAAATGTTTTAATGCAGACAATGTTGTACTGATCCCATTACTGCATACATTTCTGATGTTATTTCATGAAATGTTTGTGTATAAATGAAATGGGGCACTGTAAAATATCTCGGAATTAAAGAAATTCAAGCTGTTCTTGTGCTTTGGCCAACCTCAACTTTTTGCAAGGAATTTGAATTCATGCAAAAAGTTGTTATTGTATTGCCTGTGTAACGTTGCTAGAAATAAGGTTTACTCAACAAATACAAAAAATATCCATTTTTCAATTTTATTGTCTCAGTACAGACTTATATTAGTATTGATGTAAAAATGAGTGAATTACCCCAGTATGATAGTTTTTACTATGTTTTAAATGTGGAATATTCTTGTTATTGCACAATAAATAGGGAGCAAGTAAGCATTAACTTGATTAAATATAAAACAATAACAATAAATAATCAACAAGACAAATAAAATAAAATACATTTCACCATATAACAAAATAAAATAAATAATAACACTACATAATATAAGTACCCACACACTGTAAAGTCAGAAATTATTGCAATTTTTGAAGAATAGACAAAAATGCAAAATAAATTATTGCAATTTCAGGAAAAGCTGCATACATAAATATCTACCAGATATCAAAATGAATTCTTATTATTGGGATGTTCACCAAGCCGCATTTTTCGCATTAATAAATAAACTGTTATCACAGAGATATGTCTCGCTTTTTGGTTATTTCGATAATGCAAAAGTTGAAATTAAAATAGCAACACTTTTACATGTAAGTTTTGCAAATATTCAAAGTCAATGAATCATGACTGAAGGTACATGGCCAAACAATCTCCATGGAAATGAGATGTGCCAATGCTAATACAACTGCATACCAAATACCATTGACCTAAACACAGACTAATACATGTAAACTAAGCAAAATTTCAAATTCAATAAACCATAACTGAGGGGGCGGGTCAAATAATCTATTGTAATGAGATGTACCAATGCATACCAAATATCATTGACCTACCACTAGTGGTTCCCCATAAACCGACCTAATCACAAACTAATACATGAAAACTAAGCAAAAGTTTCAAAGTCAATAGACCATGACTGAGGGGGCTGGGCCAAATAATCGCCATGGAAATGAGATATGCCAATGCTTATACAACTGCATACCAATTATCATTAACTTACCACTAGTGGTTCCCCATAAACTGACCTAATCACAAACTAATACATGAAAACTAAGCAAAAATTTCAGTCAATAGACCATGACTGAGGGGTGGGGCCAAATAATCTCCATGGAAATGAGATATGCCAATGCTTATACAACTGCATACCAATTATCATTAACTTACCACTAGTGGTTTCCCATTAACTGACCTAATCACAAACTAATGCATGAAAACTAAGCAAAAATTTCAAAGTCAATAGACCATAACAGAGGGGGTGTGGCCAAATAATCTCCATGGTAATGAGATGTGCCAATACTAATACAACTGAATACCAAATATCTTTAACTTACCACTAGTGGTTCACCATAAACTAGACCTTATCACAAACTAATACATTGTTGATGTCGTCGCCGCCACCACCGACGCTGGAAACAGCATACCCATGTCTCGCTTTTTGACTCCGCGAGACAAAAAACTCACAATAATTTATGAATTTACAGTACTGTTTATTCAGAAACATTTGGGATGTTCTTTTTATTGCAATGGTATGGTTAAGCAAAGTAAAACCTCAAATTTAAAATTCCATAATTATATGTAGGTAGTATTTCCTGATGTTGTAATTATTAGTCTCACATTTTTTATCATGGTTCAACAATAGCGATAATGAATGCACTAAACATGTTCTAATATAGACACCTGTATAAATGTATAATTATAATACATGTATGTATCATTAGAATCCATAAATTTGATTGGCTGACAACAATCGTGAGGCACTTTAATATAATATTTTATTTCCGTATAAAATACAACAACTATGATTGCACATGCTATCCGTGACAATGTTAAAAGAATGCATAGAAAAATTCAACAACAAAAAAGCACAACTTATAATTTCATGATTGTAGCATAGTTGCCTTTAACATGTTTAAGCCCTGAAGACCAAAGGGAAATATCAAATTGTTGCCTTACATGTGTTAACCAGTGTTCTTGCAATTGGCAAGTTCAGTTTGAATATCAGGAAAGATAAAAAAGTTATCCAAAAGGGCTATCTATGGCTATCAATATAATTCATACAAAACAGCTTACTTCAGGTGACTTAACCATATATTTACCTGAGCAATTTAACCTTCAGTTTTAATGCCTGACGTTTTTTAATAATGTTTCTGCAAGAACTGCTTGGTAGGAAATTCAACTTGAAGAACTAACAAAAGGATACCCCCTGAACCCCAACACTATTTGTCTATTGAAGTAAGTGAATTCCATTATTTACCAGGTTTTGCCATAAAGCTAAGCTATTATATGCTAGCAAAATGGAAACAAGTCCTCTTGATTCAAATACTATAAATTTATAAAAAACACTTTTTTCTTGAAAATAATTTCATAAAAATTTTCAATCATACATATTGCTGTAGTTTCCTTGAACGAATTAACACTTTTTAATAGGCAGTATATATATACATATAATTTCATAAAAAAAAATCCACACTTGTTAAACCTATAAAAATAATAACGGTAATAAACATTATACCTATACTTTAAAATGTTAGTATTTGTACTCATGTATACTTACATCTATATATAGATTCTACCACAGTACCTCATTGATAATGATATTATATCACTGCAGATAGTTACATTTTCATAATTTAAAAATAAGAGGCTTAATTACTGAACATTTTAAAGCTAAATGATCGAAACTGTTTAAATACATGTATCAAAACTGAAGAGGCAAGAGGGTAGATTCCTTTTTCTAATGAGGGTGGTAAAGGGTTATTTTCGTGCAACATGTTTTGCCATTTTTATTTCACGTGCAGCCATGAAAAAGGTTCATTATTCACCATGTTTCGTGAAATCGGTAAAAAGATCAATGTGCAAGAAATTTTTAATTGTTTGTTCATCGTGAAATTGCAAGTTTATTTCGCATTCTTCCGTGCAGATTCCCCCCCTTTACGCCCCTCTTCTAATGATTGAATAATAAAAACAAAACTCAAGTATAATATTCCAAATAGATTTGACAGGGAAATCATATCAATACATAATAAGTTGTTAATTCAATATCTATCAGATTTACCCTAAAGTACTAGTTAACATACACATAGGAGTTACAAAAAAATTAAATAGCTAAAAATGTTAGCTGCATTTAGAAATAAATGAATAATAGAGTAAACCAATATTGTAAATTTGTTCACAGGCAGTTCATATGGTCATGGAAACAAATAACCTAAAATATTATTACATGTATACATAAAAGTTATTTATAAATAAGATAAACACTATATGGTAATACGATAATCAATTACCTATCATTAACAGAAAATAAATAGTATAATTTGTACATACACCTAAATTTCATTACAACCTTTGAATACTGTAAACCAACTAATTTTCGCGATCGATTTATTTTCGCGAATTTCGCGAGTAGAAAAATAACGCGAATATAAAAAATCGTCCTGAGTATATAAAACTTGGATTTTTTTGTTATTTAACTACATCAATCAAATTTGAAAATCGCGAAATTAAATCGCCGCAAAATGGGCTGGTAATGGCTAAACGCGAAATAAAGTATCAGCGAAAATAAGTTGGTTTACAGTAGATCCAGTATCTAAGGAATGCAAAATAAATACTGTGGATTCATTATTATTCATCGGATACCAATTTTCATGTATTTCATAGGTATAACTGAACACCAAATTTAAAAGGTTCAATAATGTACAATCTTACTAGAGACTAAAATTCTGACTCAGGAAAAAATAAAATCAAATATCCAGGAAAATACAATCTTACTAGGGACTAAAATTCTGACTCAGGAAAAAAAATCAAATATCCATGAAAATACAATCTTACTAGAGACTAAAATTCTGACTCAGGAAAAAAAATCAAATATCCAGGAAAATACAATCTTACTAGAGACTAAAATTCTGACTCAGGAAAAAAAAATCAAATATCCAGGAAAATACAATCTTACTAGAGACTAAAATTCTGACTCAGGAAAAAAAAATCAAATATCCATGAAAATACAATTTTTCCTCAATCCACGAAAATTAATGAATCAAAAGTACTGAAAGCCAAGTAGAATCAGGTTTTGAAATAAAGTCACAACATTTACAAGAGTATTTCACAATTGTGGATTTCATAAAAATCTAAATAACAGAAAAAACATATGATTTAAAAAATAATCAAACGATATTAAAAATAAGTAAGTATCAGTATATAAATATTAAATTGTATAAAAATATGTGATATATAAGTTCACTTCATACATTATCATACATGAGTTATCTTTCTTACAGTTGATTTACAATATTTTTTACATAAACAACCTTGATTTTTTATTGCAGTTCATTCATCATGTTCATAAGAGTTTGTTGTTTTCAATTCCTCACAAAAGTAAAAAAAAATTAAACATTTTAGGAATGAAACTATTTTGAATTTGGGAAACTTCTATATTATTGTTACTATATTTTATGCATGGAAATAGCAGATTTTTTCTATAAAGGGTAAAATATCATCAATTTTTCTTGCAAATAAATGAGAAGGGAATGGCTTTGTCACAGTATGCACTAATCATATCTTTAAATTTAGCTACTAGGCAAAGTGTAATCAGTGGCGGATCCAGAAATTTTCATAAGGGGGACCTACTGACTGCCTAAGAGGGGGCCCGTTTCAGTCATGCTTCATTGATTCCCTATATAATCAACCAAATTTTTCCCACAAAAGGGGGGGCCCGGGCCACCTGAAAAACCCTCTGAATCCGCCTCTGGTAATAGTATAACATTAACAAATGTATACACTTTGTCGTCATTGTCTTTTCTATATTCAGTTCAGTTTTGTAACATTAATGCTGTATATATTATACAATGCATGTTCACTTTATTTTTGTATTTAAGGAAAGACTGTAATAATTTTTCTGTCTATGAAGAAATAACGTCAAAAATTTGGTGCATACTGATTAACCAGCATAGTATTTTTGGCAGAATGAATATTTTAGTCATTCCTTATAATCTAATTCTAAATTCCATTTTTATGGAGTAAATCATGAAAAAACGTTGATGACGTAGCTGATAGACAAAACAAATTTCAGCCAATCAGAAGACGTGTTACATCCAAAATTAAATTATTGATATATAAATTGTACTGTGGAGAAGACTTCATAAGTGAGTGAAATTTAATTTGAAATTATTACCTTAATGTCTTTAACCAATGACATATAGTTAACCAATCAAAATGATTTTGACATCACATGTTGATATTGAAAATTTCTGTGTTTGCTAAAACTGTTTCAACAAATTTTCCTCCGAGTCCATTTGTGGTTCATGAATTATTGCAAATGTACAGAAATATTGCATTATATTGAGAACAACATTAACATTATTTTATAAATATTGCATATTAACATTTTTTTATAAATATTGCACATTAACATTTCATAACATAACACCATCACAATTCCTTTGCTATATAATAACATTAAAATATGCGGAATTCAATGTGTTCATTTTGGCACCATATTCATTAAGGCAATCTTTTTGGAACTATAAAGTATTTATGTAAAGGTCAGAGGTGACTCTCTTGCAATGAAATATCACAGTATGCATAACTTTCATATATACAATATGGTTGTCATAGAAACTACAAAGGAGTATGGAACAATGTTACCCAAGTAACTAATACCACAGTAAGCATATAAGCAGTTTTGTTGTCATGGAAATGAAAAGTCTATAAATAGATGTCACCACTGAATTTCTTATCACAGTAAGCAAATAAACTAAATAGTTGTCATGGAAACTATAAATTACGGATTGATGTCACCGGTGATAGTTCCTGTTTCAGCCAGAATTGCCACAATGAGGAAGACAATGTAAACAACTATTAACAGTATTCCATATGGCTTAGACATACGAAACTTTGATAATGGCACCACCACAAGGGAGGTAAGTAGACTTATCATTAAAAATGATACTAAAACTACCTCCTCCACAGTTATCTTTATCTGAAATAGAACATAAAAAAATCATACTCTGAATTTTTTTTCCAAGATTAAAATTTTTTTTTTTATATTTGTTTTAAGTCCTTATCTTCATTATCTTGAGATGTAGCAATCTTGATATTTACCTCATTCTCTTCAAATGACATTAAAAAAATTAAATTCAATCACATAAAGATTAAAAGTTTTTAATCTGAATCTTAACTTACTTTGGTCCTTTGTATGTATCACTATTGAAACAAGACTACACAAGATGTTGGTGCCTGTATACCCCCCACTTCTAATTCAATTGAAGTTGACAGTACTTTTGTGAGAGTCGAGTAAGTATTTAGAGCTGTTTTCCTAATGCTTGTAGTTTAAAGGTTTGATTGGCTTGCTTGCTTTGCTTGTATAAATGTTTGCTCAAGCATTATAAATAAGATTGATATCTGCAATCAATAGATAGGCGGGGCTTCAGCTTGTTTACATTATACTTAAATGTTATTGGATGTTAAGTATAATGCAAAGTATAATGTATACAAGTTGAAGCCCCGCCTATCTATAGATTACAGATGTCAATCTTAATTACAATGCTTGAGCAAACATTCATACAAACAAAGCAAGCAAGCCAACCAAACCTTTAAACTACAAGCATTAGGAAAATAGCTCTAGAATTATTGGATCATCAGAAAAAAAGTGGTATGCATTAACTTGTTGTTTTTATATCATATATACTTACCTTATATGTACCACCATTTTTAATTGTACCTATGGTAAATGGTATCCCTATACCTAATAATAAATCTTGTCATAGGTCAAGGAATTTGACAAAATCATGTTTTACCAGGCCTGTAAGCACATAATGTTCAGAAAGAGAATGTAATTGCATGCTTGATAAGTATCACACAATATGTGTTAAGGTCAAACACCTTTTTTCCCTTAACTTTAAGAAAAATACTTTTAAGCTTTTTATGTTTTCTTTGATCTCTCTCAAATCATAAAATAACATCAGACTTCCAAAGTCACTAGAATGTTTCTACAAGTTTTTACAACACAGTCACTCAGTCTTTAGTTTTCTATGTTGTATTTTGTAAACTGTTGTTTGACTTTTAGTTGTTTTTTGTTTTTTGCCATGGCGTTTTAAGTTGGTTTTTCCGCTTATGAATTTGAATATCCCTTTGGTATCTTTCACATCCCTTATATGAAGCTTGTTTGTTTTTTATTTAAATTGTGTTATGTATCCATTAGAAATTCATACAAAAGTTGCATTATATTAATTGGCATAATAATAGAAGGATACTAAACAGTGGTCCACCAAAACAAGCTGACATTCCCATTCTAGGGAAACCTTGCTTGGCCATCACTGTATCGGCTATTAAATCTGTAAAATAAAACATCATTAAAAGTCATTTTACCATGGTTATTAATGTCTCTATATTATTCAGAATTCTTCTCTATATAATCTTTTAAACAAGGCTTATTTAGAAAATTCAAGAAACCATTATTCAGTACTTATTTTCTCAAAAAATAAAGATGCAATGACAAATTGTCAATTGTTTAAATGGAGGAGGGTTGAGATTTAAAAAAAAAAAAAACTTGTTTAATTCCACCACATGCTCATGTGATGGTCCCAAGTCAGAAACCTCCGCTGTTGTTGTATTTAGTTACAATATATAACTGAAGGGTTTTGTCATTAGGGAATTTGGTTTTAGGAATTCATAGCCCCAATTCTTTCTATGTTAATTCTGTAATTTCAAGCATTAATGGCTACTTTGGCTTAAGTTCAAATAAAGGTGCAGTCGTTTCATGTCAAAATTAATCTTATTCTTACTTGTACTGAACAATTCAACATACCTATAAATTGCATATTAGAGCGCACTAGTTTTCGGAAGTTTGGTAATACAAAAACAGGTACTTCTGATCTGAACAACAGGGCAAATGTGCCCTCCTTTTATAATTTCATAAATTTTTTTCATTATTCAGAAGAAACTTTCAACATGGAATCTACAGTGGTCCAAAGTCCTTAAGCTTTAATTTGATACCAAAATTACCCAAATATTTTACTTATTGACAAAGTTACTGCTATACATAGGAACTATTTTGTTTAAAATATGTACTACTTTTTTGTATCTTCTTTCTAACCGGCCCACAATTAGTGGTTCTATACTTTTAATGACAGATCCTTGACAGTCTCTGTTAATTTCACAACTTTTCAAGACTTAATTTGATTTGGAGTCTGAAATATTGAATAGACACGGGTCTATTGTTGAAGACTGAATGTTCCCCTCCAGAAGACCTTTGGATTTTAGTGTCAATAGGTAGACTTCTCATTAGGGTTTACCCCACCTCTCCTTGTATTATTATCTCAAAAACTGTAGGCCATTGATATGTAACAATAAAGAGACTATGAAAACAAAAATACTGTGGAATAATAATTACCTCCTATACTATTTCCCCAGGCTAATAAGGTTAATCCTAATATGGCATCACTAATGTTGAACACAATACCAAATGTCTGAAATGAAATGAAATAATACATTCGTGTAGTACATGTATAACAATACTTTAGGAGAACTATCTAACTATGACATCAATAACAGGAGATTTACCAGTAAATGTGAAACTCTTGACCACTTTTAAAAAAAATATTACATGTTGAGTTGTTGACCTCAGATTCTAACAATGTGCTTTGTCTAATTAATAGTAAATTAACTTTCTTTTTGATTCCAAAAACACTTAAAATAGTCTTTGTCTTTTTATTTTTAAAAGCATACTATTTCTGGGTATGTCTAATACGTAACATATAAGAAGCAAAGTATATTCCTTGACGTTTGAAGTCAGGTGGTAAATATCTTATCTGGAACTATTTTTTTGTCCCTCAATTTCAGAGGCAAATTTCCAGACACAAAAGTAAAAAAAACATGCTTCAAAATTGTCAAAATGTTTTTTTTTCTTGGAACTAAATCAATTATTTTTGGTCATTCCTGTACCACTTTTTGTGTTTTATTGATCAATGCATTAAAAGTACAAAAATTATATATAACAAAATGAAAGGGACTTGGAAACATCTAACTGCCATTGATTGTTTGATTTTAATAGATTAATGCAACTTTTGGCACTCTCTGCTTTATAGTGGCAGTCAGGTCTCATTGATGGAGGTAAATGGAGTGCCAGGAGAAAACTCATAACCTCAGTGTTGACAGGCTAGTGATACTGTAGACCACTAAAAAGAATGAAGGGTGGCATAACAAAAGCTTAATATAATAATTTTTTTACAATCTACAAAACGGGTCTTTAACATGTGGGAACCGAGGATTCTCCATACACTGCTGGCATTACTCAGTGGCTCATTATTTCAACTACATAATTTTAACCAACTAAGTTTCCACAATGTGGCTTCTCTTTTTTCACATATACAAAATGGGTCTTAATATATTGATTTGTGTTTCAGTCTCTATCTACACCACCCATAACTGACAGTGGCACATAATTTAAACCAATCAATTGCTCTATTAGCATATAAGACCCTCTACTTTGAGCAAAAAACATCTGAGGGTTAACTTTATTTTTCAATATCTCACCTGTAATATATTTACTATTTCATTTGCTATGATATAGATCCATACCACAGCTAAAACAAAACCCAGGTAGGCTAATGCCTGTAAATAAATAACATAATATAACACCAAAAATACATGACATACCAGCTTTACAAATCACAGGTAAGCTATTATGAAGATCAAATTAATTACTATTACAACAAATATACATTTTAAATTCGTTTATGTTCATGGCTTCAAACTTTTGTTAGATAATTCATTTTATGGTTTAAAAAACTTTTTTTCTCAATCATTTCAGTATTTTATTTTTCAATGTTTTCCAGTGATATTAATGACTCTTTCACAAACAATCTTACAATTATAACGAACAACAACAACAGTACTTTATTTTTAGAGGGTTAATACACAGTTAGCTATATAACTAATCTTCCCTGAGGCCCTCATCATATAAAAGCATAAACAAAAAATTATTGAAAAACAAAAATTGAAAACATATACATGGCATACATTGGTATAACTGATTGTAAGTTACAGTATACTAAGATGTACAGGACTTAGACATATTGTTTCTCGTAAGATTTTTGGTGAAAAGAGTCCCTGAGTTCTGAGTAAAATGTCAAAGATCAATATCATTTTTGCTTTTTTGTTGTAATGGTAAATGTATGTATTTTATTGTTCACTTTCAAAATAACAACACATTCAAAATCTATAAAAGAGTGAAATCTAAAATAAATTATATAAATACAATGCACTGGTCTGTACCCTCATAGTAACTTGAAAAACCATAACAATTTATTGAAATTCCAACCTTATTAATGAGGGTAAGAATGGGGTACCCCCATGACGAATGACGGTAAAATATTTGTTAAAATAATGTTAACAATAAACATTTTACATGTTTACGGTAGCTACAAAATGAGATTTGATGAATGATGATAAAAAGTTAAGGCTCATTTGACGTTAACAGTAGCGAAAAATGAACGTTTGACGCTTGACGATAAAGGCCATTCCTACCCTCATTAATCTACTGAATGGTAGATGTAACAGCTATTGTTGGATTCTTTGAACTCTTGATAAAAAATAATTATCCTACTTACTGGTTGATACACAGGCTGAACATCATTCTTTGATGTACAGAACACAACAATGGATAATATTAAACCAATTACCATCAACAATACCCATACAGGGAATGAACCTCCAATAGTCTCTAAACCAACTGAAAAATACATCATTAATTCACATCAACAATACCCATACAGGAAAAGAGCGTCCAATAGTCTCTAAACCAACTGAATTATTCATTATGCATCATGTTTGAAAAAATATACAATACCCATAAAAGTGTAGAGCTTCTAACAGTCTCTAAACCAACTGAAAAATACATCATTAACATCAACAATACCCATACATGGAATAAGGGTAAAAAAGTCAACAAAACCTATAAAAGGAAAAACTTCCAATAGTCTCTAAACTAAAAGAAATATAAACATCATTAATTTACATCTAAAACAGACATTTATAAATTCTGATAAATGCTTAGAATTTTGTGTTGACGGCAAATATCTTGTATGATTTCTTGTATTTATTTACATTTTATCTAGATTCAGTATTGAATTGGAGTTGAAATATGGTATGACCATTTGCTTATTATTGAAAAACGTTAACCAATATTTGCTGTAAAATCATACAGTCAAACCTGAGTAAACCGGACCCTGAATAAACCGGTTTCCTGTTCATTCCGGCCGAAAATTAAAGTCAGTTTTTTTTTCCTTCAAAGTCTTTGTTAAAATACCCTTTGTAATCCGGACCCTGCATATTCCGAATTCCGGTCTTATGATGCAGTCCCAATACTCTTAATTACATCAATTATTTCCTGTCAAAACCGGTTTGTCTAATTAATTTCAAATGATCGATATGCAATTAAAACATATTTGTTTATACAATATGGTTTTTCAGGATAATCAATTAGCCAGGTGTTAAACTGTGAACTTACGATCGTACAGTAGTGAGCTGTATTATTTATTAAAACTCTATAAACGTCTTAATTAAACTAAAAGACACGCCGAATATATCTCGAATTGAACTTAGGTTGTAACTTGAATATATTTTTTCAGATCGAGGAGTAAGAAATTTACATTGTATTTTCGAAATCCTGGGTTCCCTGTTATGAACCTCTAAACAAATGACCCTGATAATGAAGAACACCCGGATGACAACAATCAATGTGCAGTGTACACTGTACGATAATGTTTCGATCGTGGTGAGATTCCGTTTGATAATATTCAGGCTTTCAAATCGGCCATACCAACGTTGGAAATTAATGATCATGGAAGTAAACCAAAACTCTCGTGTTACAAACCAAACAACGCCAGTATTATGATGAAAATGAAAAGCAAAGTGAAAGTGAAATTGACAAGTTGGAGACTGATGCTACCGAGGTCTATTTGACTTACGAGGATATGTAAAACCAAGGATTTGTATAGTGACACTTACAAATCCTTGGTAAAACGTGGTTAAAATATATATTTTTTTAATTCTAGGAACAACCAGTTTCTAAAATTTTTACAGCCAATCAATATGAAGATTTAAAACAACGATCATACTAAGTTATTACGTTATTGCTCACTGTCCAAATCGGCCCTTTTTCATAGTCCCGTAGCCGGCCGGTTTATACAGGTTTTACTGTATTATAAATGTGACTAATTTTATATGTTAAATTATGTTTCATTGTAAGAAATTTCTAACCAACCTTTTGTTGCAAAAGAGCCAAATGTAAATCCAGTAAAAATCTGTAATGAATTTAGATATCTGTTCCATTTATGGTTTTCCTCTCTGTAATCTACTACTGGAATGGTTATAATCAAGAGAAAAACTAATGGACTCTGGAATAAAAAAGACAGTGAAAACAACAACAGATTGGACACTTACACTGTGGATTCCTTATTACTCAGAGGAAACTCTGGATACACTATTTAACCAAAAAAAAAAATATACAAGGATGTATATGGTCAGGTACACATCCTAACAAATAATAATGGTGGTCAATGCATATGTTGTGAAAATTGTGTATTTCATGGCAGTTTCTTATTTGATTTTTCTTATATGTGTGTGTTAGTTTGATTATTTTGTAAATTGTTTGTTTGTTATATTTCATTGCATTTCATGAAGGCCTCAGGGAAGATTAGTGTTATAACTAACTGTGTAACCCTCTTTAAATAAAGAATTATTATTATTATTATTATTATTATTATTATGGCCAATGTCATTTAAAGCAAAAACTTTTAAAATTGAGCCAAAAAGTTAGTTGAAATAATTTTTCTACAAAATACATGTAACTGCAAATTGGATATTCACAGAGTTATCTCCCCTATTTCTTGATTTGAAATGTCACCAGTGCAGACTTGTATTAAAAAGTTTTCTTTAAATTCACATTATATTTAAGTATTTTGTAGGTGCAAATTCAGGAATATTTTTATCTATTAAAGTACAAGATATACTGGAAAACAACAATTTCTTTACATATACAAAATTTCTTAACTTGAAAAGAGTTTGATTTTCCTTGTACTTGCACTCGTCTTGTCAAGAGTATTGTTTGGTTTTTAGATACCCCAAACAAATATTCTATGTCTCCTCTGCCTTGAAGCACCTAACTCAGATATTTCGATATACACGAACATAGGATATATAATCATGATAACCAATAAACTTTTAAATATATAAAATAATGAGAAGTGGTATGATTGCCAATGAGACAACTACCAAAATGAGTCCAAACGACATGGATTAATTTCATTCCAAGATCTAAATGTTTTATATTACTATCTAAATTTGGAAGATTATAAATAGCAACTTAAGCATTGACTCATCTTTGAATGTCAACTTTAATACAAAATATGCCTTGTTAAATAGTTCCTTAATGTCTTCAACTTTAACACCCCAAAGCGGAAGTAAATTACTGTTATTATTAAGGAAACCTTTCTTTAACATTCCCATGGGTTAATGAATTCATAACCACTTTTTAATTATCGTTACATATGGATAAGCCTTCTTTTTTTTATGTAGGAAATAGAAAAAAAACATGTAGCTTTAGAAAGTGTTTGTAAAAAACTACAAATCCCTGTCACTAATCAAAATACCTTGAATACTTCATATCCTTTAGCATACCACTTCATTTCTGACCACTCATCAACATCTATAGGGTTAATAGCTGATAAAAATTCTTCAAATGGAGTTCCTGGTTCCCTTTTCTGGTCTTCTCTTGGTGGTAGCAATGGTTTTCCTTCACCTAAATCTAAATTCCATTTATAAAAAATATTACTATGAATAATTAATTTTTCTCGTTGATATATCAATTTGAATGTTTGATTTGTATTTGAAACCTTCTTGAATCTTGCACTGTCAGCTTTACAAGTGGAAGAAACCATAGTGCATGGGTGAATTTATTTATTGAATGAAATAAATTTGCATGAAATTATGTTCATTTTTTCCTATTTTCGATCTTTCTGTGAATTCATTGACTTTTGCTTGTTTATAGTCTTTTGGCAAATATGTCATGCATACTCAGGATGATGATGGATGGCTGTTTAACATCCAATGGCAAATTAAATGCATAATTTAGGGTAGCTACGGAAATGTAACTCTTAGGTCCTTATGATATTCTTTGACAATTTGCGGAGCAGCTAAATCTAGGGTGAGAACATGTTTATGTGATATGAATAAATCCTGCTTTGTAGAAGACCAATACACAGGGCTCTTTTAACGAAAAAATCTTACAATAAAAAATGACCACAAGTTATATTGAAATATACTGACTTAGGAATATTTTTTTCTCATAAGATTTAAGTGAAATGAGTCCCTAATCCATATTTTTTTTAACATGTCAGTTCACAGTGTAACAGTCCACAAGAAAACATGTCACCCTACACTGACACATGTTTTAAAATTCATATTAATATGAAAGACAAGAACAAATCAAACAATCATTTATGTACAAGGAGGAAAAATATAGCAAGGAGGCAATCAAAAACCATAAGTTCAATAAAAACAGACAACAATAGGGCCAAAAAGAGAACTGATGTAAAGACAAATAATTATAACAGAAGAAAACTAAAGAGTGAGGGACACAAACGCCACTTGAAACCAGGGGAGAACAAAGGTGTTCTAGAAAGGTCAGTAGTTCCTGCTCCATTATAGGCACCCCTCGTGTTACTCATTACAAGCAAAACATGTGGTGATAAGTCACACACAGTAATGTCAAAACTGACGAAAGGAGGACAATATTATAACACATATTTCAAGGATATATTTAGTCATTTGTGACACAGGTATTTTATAATGACAAGCCAAATCATGATGACTACCGTAAAATTTTCTTAAAGGGATGAATTCAACCTGACCATTGGAATCCTTAGTTCAAAAACTTCCTTGTGAGCAGACAACTCTTTATCAACAAATAAATGATAGGAAAGAAAGTCCTGAAATATCCTATCACACTGGGGATGTATATTCCATATTCAAGCACTACCACAAACTGTTACACAGAAATGGAAAGTTCACATTAGGAAAATTGAAATCATCTCCTTTGTTGTAAAGTTAAGGTCTCAACCAACTATCATTGTCTACTGTAAATTCAGAAATTATTGCATGCAATTATTATTGCAATTTTGCTAGGATAGACCAAAATGCGAGAATAATTATTGCAATCACAGGAAAAGCTGCATACAAATATATGTGTCAGATTTCAAAATGGGAGTTCTTTTTATAGCGATACTCACCCTGTCACATTATTCGCAATAATAAAAACCTCTCAATAATTTCTGAATTTACACTATTTCTAGATATAGGACTTAACTGTTTCTATGATATCCTTCATCTTAGGTCAAATGGGATACTATGAATTCATCATTATTCGTGGGATACCAATTTTACTGGGTAAAAGTAAACCAAGAATTTAAATGTTCTACAAAGTCAAATATTCTCTAGTCTTGTATGCAGACTGGAAAATCCACAAAATCAAATATACCTAACGAAAATACAATTTTTCTTCCATCCATGAAAATAAATAAATCCACAGTAGGTGTAATCAATGTAGTTACCAAACTTTGATTTGTTCAGTGAGAGGACATCATCTATATACAGTTGTAGTGGAAAGTAAAGTTAAAGTCACATGTCAGCATTATTTCATTGATTTTAGAAGCTCTTGTATGAAGTCTGTCTCATAAAAATAATAGAACAAGTTGACAAAAAGAGGGCATCAGTTGGTTCCCATTGGAACACTGAGTGAAGATTATGTTGGTTCTGATGAGTGGGTCGAACAGAACAAAGGTGTGAAATTTGGACTGCAACTACAATAGGTGATTATGTAAGGCAATATGAACCTCAGAGAGAAATTGAAATAATCAGCTTAGTGTAAAAGTAGTGAATTTACCTTCACGACTGATCTCTACGGAATTAGGATAACTTTCATCGAGATTTTCTGTATCTTCAGGAGCTGTAAAATAAAAACATGATTAAACAGGTTTTCAGTTTGTTATGTAACTAGAGACAAAGTCCTTGTCATGCCAAAGTTCACCCAAAGAATCATAAGTATGTAGAAATGACATAAGAGATGCAAAAACTACACACTCTTCATTGTAAGATTCTGTGAAATTTCTACAAAATTTTGTCAAGCAGTTCAAGAGCATTTGTGTATAAAATGTGGGATAGAAAGACAAATAGAAAATCCAAACAGAGGAAAGACTGGACTTTGCAATCACTACATACCTCAAACTTCAGAAAGCAGGTGGTTGACAAATAGGATAATAAAATAAAATGTGGATAATAGACATACAGTATCATTAAACTATCTACACAGATAAAGGTCTCTCCTGTGAACCAGGTAAATTATGCATAAGTTTAAGTCTGGACCATGACTGAGTGGGCAGGGCCATATAATCTCTATGGAAAATCACAAACTTTTAACAACTGTTGAAGATGCTGACACCAAGGTTTGAAACAGCGCATCTTAGTCATGTTAGTCTAGCCCCATTAACTCTGTCAAGGCAAGACAAAAAGACACTCATGAAAATAAATTGTAAAGAGACATTCAACAGAACAAAAAAAACATATTTGAAATGTATCATATAAGTAATGTCTTTCAAGATTAAATAGGACTCAATGTATAATACAATATGGCTTTACTGATAAATCATAGTTTTACCAATGTCTATAGCTTATACATGTACTTACAAACTGTAATTTCTGCCAAAACTGTTGTTTTCTTCTTCTTTTGATAAAAATATCTACCTATCACTACAATGAGGACATACAGTACATACAGCAAAATATAACCTGAAAAATAAATAGGGACCAATCTTTATTTATTCTATTTGTGTGTTGTAAAAAGTTTATTTATAAGAAGATATTAGTTGAACTGTTTCATATTTAACAAATAAAGGTTGGTAACCACTAATTCCAATCAGGGCTGTTCCATAAAAACATGATATGGTACCTAGAAATGGCAACTTTTATTTTCCATTATGAATGGGTGTGGCAACGTGTTTAAAATGTATGCTGGTCTATGAAATTGCTTCTTTCGTTGGTTATCCTTATATCAGTTGATTGATTGGTGTTTAACGCCACTTTCAACACTATGAATCTATTTCATGGTGGTCTGTTTTTATTGGTGGAGGAAGCCAGAGTGCCCTGAGAGAACCATGACTTTCGGTAGGAAAACTGACAATCCTAGTCAATTAAAATAGGAGTCAAGTGCATCTGCCACGTGCGCAAATCAAACTCACAACCTTAGTGTTCACAGGCTAGCAATACAGTAGTTCAACTACTTAGACCACTCGGCCACCAAGGTCCCTTTTTATCAAAGTTTCTTCCATAGTTACAATGAACTTTTTAATGGAACAGATCTAAGCTTCACTTATGGAGTTATTGATTGTAATTGATTTTTTACTTACTTTGACTCCCCCAGGATTTGTATAGTCTTACTATATGATATAGGGACCCTTTAGGTCATTACCTATGGCTTCAATTTTTCCGATTTCTTTTTGCCATAAGACTGTGAATGTGAGAAATGTTGCTCCTAAATAAAATATGACATCCCTTAGAAATGGTCTCTGCATGGCATCAAATGGGCAGATGATTGCAATGGTTCCAGCAACAACAGTGGTCACAAATACACCAGCACCTGAATAATAAAAACATATTTGTTTCAACGTGTGTCATGAAAGATAAAGGATCAGGATGTCTCAATTATTTCTGCCCTCCTTAAAAAAATCTTTTGATTTAAATGCATGTAAAATAATTTAAAGTGGTACATAACACTACAGGGAGATAACTCTGTAAAAATCAACTAAATGTTTTAATCACGTTCTATTGTTAAGGAAATATCAAGCTTCTCAATGATCCAAATTAGTGTTTGTCAAACTGCTATATATCCAATGAAATTTTTTCCGATAAAGTGTGTGGTTCAAGTTTTTTGATTTTTTTTTATTTTTGTCAAAGGGCCAAAGTAAATATTTTGTCAAAATTTTATTGAAATTAAACAAGACAAATTAATATTAGTCAAGGTGTTTGGTACCACCTTAACTTAGTCCTTAATACTGTTTTTTTTTTTTACAGAACTTGGTGGTAATGGCAGATGTTTGGAAAGTCTCTGCTTAATTTATTCACAACTTTAAAGACTTGGGGTGATTTAGAGCTCGACATTTATTGTACAGACACCTTTGGTTTTTTTATGATTTCTATATGTCTTTTGGTTATTTGAGTTGTTGGGTTGCTGTCTCATTGACATATACTCTGCATTTCCATTTATTCATAATTATAAGGTCAACTATTTGGATCTGAGGTTACAATAATAATTGTAAATTCATATAAATTCATAAATATTTTCAATCATTATATCATTCCAAAAATTGCAATTAGATAGGTTTTGCAAAAATAAAAACTTGCATTTTAAATTTTGATAGCACTATTTGTATGCAGAATTTCCTAAATTCACAAAAATTTATCTCGAAAATTATCTGAATTTACAAAAATTCAAAATAACAATTTAATTTCAAGACAAACCATTTTACAATTTGTTTTTTATAAATAAATATAAATGCAGACATTATAAGATTCCATTTTTCAATATTCTTACCAAGTAAAGCACCAAAAGCCAGACCTGCATCCCCATTCTTGGCATTACCAACAGCAGCTATGGCAGAAAATATATCGGGAGCACCATTACCAAAGGCTAAAAATGTTACACCCTATGCATGCTTAAGGAAATATTAATAGATGTTATGATTGATTTTTAAATAATTTTCATTTCAAAATTTCACTGATTTGTACATAGAAATCAAACCATTCCATGTAGAGTCTTAATTTTTAAAGATAATATTGAACAAGCATTCTGAGAGCATTTAATGGCAATACATAACCCCTACCGGTTAAAAATTCATTGTACTGGAACAAAATGCTAACTTGATCTATAACTTGTCATGGTGTAAACTATATAACAAACCAAGCTATCAATATTGTTTATTAGCTGTTGGAAAAAACAAATAGATAAATTTTCAGACAGTAAACTGAAAACCTACCTTTTATATAAAACAAATTTTGGTTTTGAAAAATATCTAACATTGATCAAGAATTTTGAACTTAGAAGAAGTTTTACTAAATTACGTGTATCTTCTCATAGATTACAAATAGAATTAGGTAGATGTCAGGGTATTCCCCGAATTAACAGAATATGTAATAAATGTTCTTCCAATACTGTCGAAGATGAGGCTCATTTTCTATTTGATTGTAACAAATTTGAGGATGATAGAAATTGTATGTTAGCTAGTATTGCAAAATATAATTCTTATTTTAATCATATGAGCAGTCAAAGCAAAATTATCTGGTTATTTAGTGTAGAAAATGTTGAGTTACTTAAAATAATATGTAATTTTATATACAAACATCTTCCTTAGTGAAGATTAGTTAAAGGAAATCTATGTGTGTATATACATTTGATTGGACATAGAAAATTATATTCATCTGAATATCACAAACATACTAGCCGATTAAAAAAAAAAAAATAATTGTTAAGATATATTATTTATTCAAATGTTCTCTTATATCCTTGAGGCATCGTCCCCTGGTATCAACTGCATTCAAGTTACCTATGATGCTTCCTTGTTTGCTTTTGATACAGGTAGGAAAGAGACATTTACACACATTTTACATGCCTATGGCCCATAAGGTATCGCCCCCTGGTGTCAGCTGCCTTTAGGAAACCATAATGCTTTCCTATTTGCTGCTGACACAGGATGAGTCATGGACATGTTTAATTTCTACTTTCTTTTTGGCTATTTATTATATATTTAATTGATCCAACTTTTTGTGTACTATACATATGTGGATATCTATTTTTCTTTTTTTCTTTTTGGGCTGCTTGTTTGTTATCTATATCAACCACACTTACAATAAAATGCATTAGTATTAAAAAAAAAAACATACTATAGATTCTTTATCTACGTATTCTTTAAGAACTTAAATAGTTCTTGTTTAACTTTTTTTTTTTATCTCATTGTTTGTATTGTATTATGAAAAATTATTGATGTTGTAATGTTTATGCCCTTTGGGGCCCATAATTGAAAAAAATATCTTATCTTATAACAAATATCAAGTCAATATCTTCAAGTATGATGAAAAAAAGTGTGGAAAACTGATTTGCCTGACTGACGGATGGACAGACAGACAGACGGAACAGAGTGCAAACCTAAAGTCCCTTCGACTTCGTCGGTAGGGGACTAAAAATGGCTTAAATTTTGTTTCACTTTTTGGAAAGTTTTACAATTCATTAATGCAATATGTTGGTAAAATTTATTTTTATTGGAAGGTGTCGTACATTTTTAGGAAGTAAGTAATATTCACGATTTACCTGTTGAATTGCTCTGTGCAATATCAGTTGACAAGAATAGTAAACTACTTAAAAACAGGCAAGAGTCAACTCTAAATTTTAGTTTTTTTGCTGTGTTTTCAAATTGTAGTCTCATAAACATATAACTCACATGACCTTTGATTTACATTTATTTTTAGATTAATCATAAAGCACTATAACATAGCTTTGTGATCTAGTTTTTATTTAGATTTTTGACAAAAATATATGCAATATATATTGAAGTCAATTATTCTTTCTGTATTTAGCTCTGGATTATATAGACTTTCTACAGTTAGCAAAGCAGACTAGCTTGAATTAATTTTTTTGGACAGTTAGTGACGCCGCTTAGATTCTGTTAAGCTTTAATGCTATTAGCTACAGAGTTAAGGGCATACGGTACAGTTACAGGGGAGGTAATGACGTTGCTAATGTAAAATGTTATTTTTCGCAACGTCAAACTGTGACATATTGGGAAAAGATGCATTTTTCGTCTGATTTTTATCATTCAGACTGATTTAACTTGAAAACGAGTTCATGGATCCCTCTTTTTTAAAATGACATTAGGTTTGATTATGTATGAACATTATTCGTACCAATTTTTATGAAAAAGTCACTGATGAAATTTTTAAAAATTAGATAAATATACAGCAAAAAATGCTGGGTTTTTTTTCTAAAATCATGAAACTTTGATAAAAATTAATTATTTCCAAAGAATTTTTAAACAAATTTAGAGCATACTTATTCAAAGAAGATTTTCCAAATGTTTATACAAAAATCCGCTTGTGTTTATCTTTTGAAACAAAAAAGTTAGGTATGTCTATCCAAATAATAAAAATTTCCAAAAAACGAAACTTTGAGTAAATGTCTGAAATTTCGACCCCATTTCTCTCTTAAAGTAGCACATGAAGGTACATTTTTTATTACATATTTAAATTGACTAGGTGAAAAATAGATTGTATGAAAATTTCTGCAAAAAAAATCACTGTGGGATCAAAACTGTATCGTATGCCCTTAAGCTTGGGCCCAACTTTTTACAATTAAGTATGTATTATAATGCAATATGATTGTACATGTAACATCAATTTTGACAAAAGTAAAAAATATTGTCTAACAGATTCACAGGAAAGGATACTGCTATATTGTGACTTAGATGAAGAGTCTTTGATATAACTGTTAATGATGGACAGAAGCTGAAAATATATAAATATATATAGTTATAAACTATTGATAAATCAACTCTATTGTTTTTCTGAAATAACTTCATCTTGCTTTTGTTTTCTAAATATAATTATAGTTAACAGACTTATTGATAAATAAATTGTACAGTAAACTCCAGCAAACCAGATACTCAAAATGTCAACAAAAAATGTCCCATTACCATGTATATCATGTTGTTTCTCTGCATGGTTCACAATGTTTTAAACGAAATCTACTCTGAAGTACAGCAGCTAATATTAGATTGTAAGGTAGACTGGCTTCTATTTCAGAATGTTCAGCAGATTAAGGTTTATTGGTGTTTTTTCGGTACTGTAACCTTGCATTTAGAAACTGTGAAAATTCTTTATTTCTGTACTATTTTGTAATGTTTTATTTGCATCCATGTTTTTATTGTATGCAACATACATATATATAGAGCCAGATGTTCATATGCCAGGTTCCAATCAGAGCTTTGTCAGTGTTTGTCTTTTACTACATTTTAATGTTTATTTCTTTAATAATATTGTGCTGATGTCAGGTAATTGGTTGTCTTTATTAAACTGTATATATACATCTAGATGTCTCTTTGATTATTGTGCCCTTCAGGCCTTTCATTGAAATTGGGGATATTTAACATTTCTTATTCATCTCTTCATATCTCAACTGATATTAACACAAAAGCATAAAATTTCTTTGGGGAATACTTACTAATCATCAGCTGTGACAGCAAGTCCAATGAATAAGAAAACCCACCATACAAACTAGAAAATAAAACTTCATTAAAAAAAAAACCTAGGGGTGATACTAAACGTTTTATAATGTTCAATCGTGGAATTTTATTATGAAAGAAAAGGTATGACAAGCCAACATTTCCTTTTTTCAAAATGTTGATTAAATTGAACCATATTGAGGAAAAGGGTCCAATAATGCCCATTTAAAAACCTTGACAAGCCTCTGATTTTAAAGTTTGAAATTTTAACTTTCTTGTGGGGATAGATATCATAATCAAAATAGTACTAAGGTAGAATCTATAATTCTCTTTTTACATGAAGTTATCTAAATTGAATTTTTAAACAAATGGTCATAGAATTCTTTTACCATGTTAACTTGGATGAACTAATAGTCTGGTTGATAACAGAGAAACAAATTTTATAATAAATCCAGGTTAGGGGAGGGTTGAGTGCTCAAAACATGTGTAGCCCTGCCAAATTCTATATGTGCCTGTCCCAAGTCAGGAGCCTGTAATTCAATGGTTGTTGTTGGTTGCTGCCTGTCATATTTGTTTTTCATTTGTTGTTTTGTCATAAATCAGGTCGTTGGTTTTTTTTTGGTTGAATTGTTTCACATTTTGTCATGTCTGTACCTTTTATAGCTGACTATACATTATTGTATGGGTTTTGCTCATTGTTGAAGGTTGTAAGGTGACATATAATTGCTTAATTCTGCCTAATGTGTACTCTATTGCATAGTTGTTTCATTGACAGGCATTTTCCTACTCTGCTAAGATTATAGGATCCAATAATATCACTTTGATCTTCCTTGCATAATCGATTTTAAATTTTTGTACATTCAGCTTTGATAAGCAATTACAGCCCCTTGCTATTTACTTTATCATGTTTATGATAACATTAACTCATTTTGTCATTTTGTGAAGAACCTTGTCTTTGTGTGTACCAGAGACAAAAAGCATACCTTTAATAAATAAGAAACTGAAAGAAAGGTTTAGTTACATGTTCCTGTCCCAAGTATGGATACTCATTAGTAGTTTTCCTGTGTCATATCTTAATATTTTCATTATTTGGATGATTAAGTAATGAAGGCGACTCTTTAATCATTTCTGTCTGTGTAACATTTTAAATTATTCACAAATTTTAAACACTTGGGACGATTTAAAATCTGAAAGTTGAAATCTGTCTATGATTGAAGTCAGTATGTTGCCCTCCAGGAGTCTTTTTGTTAATTTTGTTGCTGGGTTGCTGTCTCAATGGCATATACTCCACATCTCACTTTATTCATATTTGTACCCTTTTTCCATTCATTCCATTGGTTTATATAGTCTAATGTTTGATTTTGTCAGGTTTTTTGTACTTCACCCTTTTTGAATTGACCCTTGGAGTTCAGTATTTTTGTAAATATATTTTTATCAAATTTATAATGTTCTATATATTTAAAATTGTAAGTTTTGGGGGTTTCACTTACCAAAATGATTAATGCCAGTGGCCTTAGAGAAGAATTAAAGTTGCAATATGTAAATTTCAGATAATCAATAAAACCCTCATCCAATGCACAATCATCTGTGTTCCTGATAAAATCACATTGCTCACTATGGTTTGTCTTTCTAACTTCTCTACACTGAAATGTATTAAATAAATGAAATTATAAACACCAAACAACTAAATATTGAAAAGGAACTATGGAGGACTGAAAACCAACATTAAAACTAATACTAATAACTGAACATCATACCTGCCAACTTTTCAAAATCTCCATGGGGGATTTTAAGGGCAAGACGATCTAATGCTCTCTTATATTGTCATAAGTGTTTTTAATCTACTTCTATATTGTTTGTGCTTAAATACCCTTTTAACTCATTTGAATGCCTGTTTTGTGGAGTAGAGTTTATATTATAAAGAATTTCAAAATTCAGGTCAACACCTCTCATGGGGGATGTCCCCCATCAATCGGGATAGTTGGCAGGTCTGGAACATCTGGGAAGGAATCGTTATCCGTTAAAAAAGTAATTTGGGTCTGTAACTCTGCTATTGTTTTATAGCTTGCAACTTGCCAGAAGTACTAGTTTTTACTCTGCCATACATTATTGCACATTTCCAAAGTCAAACATTTCTGACAGATTGCTACAAAAATTATTTGATCAGTGATAACTGAGAATATGCAGTACACATGGTACACAGATGTAAATCTTTCTTTCTTTATAAAAATAAGGAGATGAGGTATGATTGCCAATGAGACAACTATCCACCAAAGTTCAAATAAAGTGAATGTAAGCAATAATAGGCAACCATACGACCTTCAACAATGAGAAAAACCCATACTGTATAGACAGCTATAAAAGGCCTTCCTTTCGTGTATACATTACCCCAAACATGCCAAATGGCCCTTTTAATTCATTTTCATTGTCCTTGCTTTAAATATGTCCACTTTTCCACATTTGAACTGAAGTATGTCATCTATCAAAATATCCTAAATACTCTGACACTTCCTTAATTGCACTTTTCATAACTTCCTATTACAATCTTTGAACAGGAAAAGTTTATATTGCTAAACATGTAATGATTGCATTGAATTAATTATGAAAAAGTATATCAGTAAGCAGCAGATCATCAGAGCAGAAGGCCATACATTTGATAAATAAAAAAGGGTATCTCTAACATAATTTGGGCATCAACAAGAACTAAAGAACGTATACTAAAATATATTTACAATTTTGCATAAAAAGACAATTATAAAAATTCACACATCTAGTACCTCAGTATCATTATTTCCCATTAAACTTCTCATTGAAAATTTACTTTGCAGCAGCTGGTGGTTTGGGTCCAACTTTACAACAGTATGACTGTCTGAAGATCTCAATTCTGATACAATGTAAAACACTAAAAACATCACTGCTGCTATACATATCTTCGTACATCCTATTTTACTGGATGTCCTGGACCCCTCAGTTTTACTTTTTACCACTGTCATTTTCGATTTTGACCTAATTAGATCAAATTTGGTTAACTTTTATCACATGTTGACTTTTGATAACAGGATCACTTGTTTACATAGAGTTATCGTTCGTTCATTATCCCCTGCAGTGAAGTGTTGAATTAAGTTTCTAACTTACGGGTTAAAGTGAATATCTAATACATTATTGCGAACCCAATGAAAGTTTTCCACAGTGCCATCTCTATCTTGACCAGGTATTTAAACTTTTGCAAGTTCACCTGTCCTATTGAATGAATACAATAGCTATTTTTCTCTGTGTAGTTTATTCACTGGGACCTTTAAATTTCTTCTAAGAGAAATCTATCACTCATTGATTAATTTACCTGAGTAAAAATATTTTCTCATATATAGACAAAAATACTTTTTTATACTCATTAACTACGTGTGATGATGTATTTATTCAATATTAATAATATATTTTCATTCAGTTTAATATAAACATTGATTCAATCATAAAAAGTTGATTTCAAACAAAAGTTTTATCAATGTTCCTATTGAAATTTGATTTTTTTTTTGTCTAGTTATAGAATACATTTAAGAAGATCTTAATTTGAAACATCATTATTTTCAAGTTCTTATTCATGTCAAACAATTTTTTTTTTAAAAGGAACAATGTTGAAAGTTTTGTCAGAAATCAATTTTTTATGATTGAATCAATGTTTATATTAAACTGAATGAAAATATATTATTAATATTGAATAACTACATCATCACACGCAGTTAATGAGTATAAAAACAGTATTTTTGTCTATATATAAGAAATTTTTTTTACTCAGGTAATTTAATCAATGAATGATAGATTTCTCTTAGAAGAAATTTAAAGGTCCCAGAGAATAAACTACACAGAGAACAATAGCTATTGTATCTATTCAATAGGACAGGTGAACTTGCAAAAGTTTAAATACCTGGTCAAGTTAGAGATGGCACTGTGGAAAACTTTCATTGGGTTCGCAATAATTTAATATATAAATAGGCCCTTGAAAGCAAGAATTTTGATAATATCATAAAAATCCTTGGTCTTGGAAATTTTATTTAAACGTGAAAAAATGCCACAAAAACAATTAATTGATTAATTAATGTTTTTATTCAATTATTTATTCAAGTAATTACAATCCATTTCTTTCTTTAATTAATTTAATTATTCAATCAAGTAATTGCAATCCATTTCTTTCTTTAATTCAGCAATGATTAACCAATAAATCTGTAGTGAGAACAAAGTTTTTTTTATTTGAATAGAAAGTTAGTCTTTTTTTTAAGACAACAATTTCCACTGTTCCTATTTTCAGTCATAAAGCAAAAATAACTTATTTTGATAATTAAAAAAACATGTATTCTTATATTAAAGATAATTCTGAAATTCTAACTGAATACCAATTTGATCAACATACGGATCTGTTTTTTAAACAGCATCCTAAATAAACAAACAGATAAACAGTATATTGTATGAAACTAAAATTGACTCATTTTGAAAGTCCGTGGAGTTTGCTTATGTGCTTTGTCTATATGTCATTTTGTTTTTCTTTGTTGACATTATAGTGATTAAGATTATAACACAATGTTGACTGCGGTACCCCTATTTTTGGCATTTTTACCTATTATGTCTGTTTTTTTTCGTTCACACATTGTTGTGAATATAATGGAATTTTATGCGACTGTCATACAAGTCAGTGAGAGGTTTAGCCAGTATAAAACCAGGTTTAATCCACCATTTTCTAAATAAAGAAATGCCTGTACCAAGTCAGGAATATGACAGTTGCTTTCCATTCGTTTGATGTGTTTGAGCTTTTAATTTTGCCATTTGAAAAGGGACTTTCCGTTTTGAATTTTCCTTGGAGTTCAGTATTTTTGTTATTTTACTTTTTGAAAGGATAATAGAGACGAAAATCAGTTTATTGTGAATAGAAAAGAACACTAGATGGCACAATATTTAAATGAATAGTAAGAAACTTCTACGTCACTTGGTCTCTGGAGGAGAGTTGTCTTATTGGTAATCATACCACATCTTATTTTTATATCATAATAAGCTTTAAATAATTATAAGAAAAATGGTGTCACCATACATTTTCCTAGCTTTAATACAAAATCGAAAAATGTACTGTACATTTTTCATAAGATTAAATTTTCTAAGTTATCCCCCTTAAAGGCATACGATACAGTTTTGATCCTACGTTGAATTTTTAAGAACATTTGCATACAAGCTATTTTTCACCTCGATAATTTAAATATGTACAATAAATCTAAACCTTCATGACAAGTGCTACTATAAGAGATAAATTTGGTCGAAATTTTAAATATTTACAGGACATTTCCATCCTTTGAAAAGACACACCTAACTGTTTTGTTTCAAAAGATAAACGCAATTAGAATTTTGTAAAAGCATTTGAAATATCTTCTTTCATACGCATGTTCTAAATTTGTGTAACAATTCTTTGGTAACAATTAATTTTTATCAAATTTTTACGATTTTGGAAAAACAAACGGAATTTTTTGTTGTATATTTATCTAACTTATAAAAAATCGTCGATAATTTGTTCTTAAAAAATACTGTCTGATTAATTGATTAATTGATTAATTGGTTAATTGGTTAATTGGTTAATTGATTAATTGATTAATTGATTAATTGATTGACTGATTGACTGATATACTAAACATAGGTTTCGCGACGTGATTTTTTTAAGTATGTTTATATGCATATATTTAGACAAAAAGACATCGTCTCACAACTGTTTATATTATATAGTAAACGTGTCGTTGACTGACTCGAGCAGCCAGCCTGGGACTATTATACTTATTAATATAGTCCCAGAGTCAACCAAATTACAAAAAATTATCGATGAATGAACTGGCAACGAATTTTAAAATAGATGATCAGAACAAAGAAAAAGTTTAATTTTATCAATTTGTGTGACTGATATAAATATTTGTTTCAATAAATTTTTATTGTTATTCGGTTCGAGATCGGATTTGCTGAATTCTTTTCTTTTTAAATTCATAATGTATAGGGTCAAGGCCACAGTGCAGTCTTTCATCTGTAGCGTGACCGCAACAAACGATGGGCTGTGAATACCTGCAGCAGTTTCTTAGAATGTATTCAATATATAGACACAAAAAACAGTCAGACAGTTGGAATTGTTGATAGTTTAGATAATAATGGACTGAAATTTCGCATGAAAGGGATCTTATGTTAATTAAGTGTGTGTAAAAGTAACGAAAATGTCTTCTGTTGTGATCAGCTGTTCGCGACTTCCTCTCCTAAGTTTTCGACATCTGTCAGGTTATGCACAGAAAAGATCATGGTCTGATGATGTATATTATAGATCTACTGAATATAGAGAAAGATCAACCTCGGTTACATCTTTTTACAACCAAAGTGAAATAGACAACATTGCAGCAAAGGTATAAATTTACATATTTAACTGTTTCAAAGTTCAGGTTTTCAAAATGTTTTACAAGTTGAACACTGCATATTAATTTAGATTATGAATATTTTAGCACATGATAAACTGTAGTGATGTAGTTTTCATAGTTCAATGATGAGGATTATAAAGGGGGTTTGGTGCATGATGAACGGGGGGAAAATGGCCATTTCACGATAAAAAAAAAAAACCAACCACTTGCACAGTGCTTCTTCATGAATTTGTACAAAACACGGTGAATAATGAGCTTCAAGCATGACAACATGTGAAATAAGAATTGTAAACGTGTTGCACAAAAGTAGCCCTTTACCACCTACATTGATCTTTTGATGTTGGTGCAAAAATATAAAAGTGATTGTGTCACACACAAATACCCCTTATCACTATTTGTCTGCCATAACTGGACATCACAAACATTATGTTCCCGTAAAATTTTTAATGTCTCAAAGGGTCATAGATTCCCAAATATCAATGTGGTCCATTATCATAGCTGCCACAATAATAAATAGTTGAAAAGAAAGACGACTCACATTTGTACAATTTCAGGTAGAGTAGGTTTGACATACGGATCTCATCTCTTCTGATGTCACAATGTTTATGTTATTAAGTCATAGAAAGAGTCCACTATTTAATTAATTCACTTACACCGATTGACCTTTGGTCATGATGGTCATCAGAATAATTCATTTATATTAAAAAGGAACTAGAAATAGGTTTATTAAATTGCCATGATACAAAAATGGAAAATCCCAAATCCACAGCTGTATCTACATGTACATGTTATATTGTAGTTTTGTACATGTACCACCAAGTAAAAAGTGCATGTGTATTCAGTGTGATTCTGTTATCCATGCACAGAGATCCAACAAACATTTTTCGAATTACAGGTAGACAAAACTTAGCATTTTCTCTTGTTTACATTACTTCTATGGTAATATTTTATGTTTGTTTCATGTCATGTGTTTTCTAAAATGACTTGCATGTATAAACCTTTATCGATGTAGCTATCAACATGATCAATGTATCGATCATACATTGAATTGCTGTATAGCAGATAGAGATGAATCACTTCTTTCATCCTTTTGTCTTTTGGTTTTTATGGATACATTTTTTGTAGTTGCGCGATTGGCAATAATACAGCATCTCCTTGCTTTTATATTTACTAGACTAAGCCAGATTCTGTTGCTTGAGACTTTGGATTCATGCAGCACTCATTTTGAAATTTCTACAGAATTATTCTGTGAATGTTTTATTTATAAACATGATAAACATGAAAAAAAGGTAGTCAATTTGAACATTTACTGAATCTGTAATTTATTGTGTATATGGGTTCATTGTACCTTAGACTTGCTACATGTCCCTTCCTTATTGTTTTTTTTCAATTTTGCCCCTTTAACAATTTTACTGCTATAACTAAGAGATTACCATTATAGTGACATCTGCAGAGGAAGATGCAAGGGCAATCAGTATACTGGCAGTTTTCAGTAAACATATAAATTAATAAGAAAGAAATAAAAGAAAGGGAATTGTAGCAAGTCTACATGTACCTGTACATTTAGTAATCCTAATACTTCAATGTACATGTGTATTTGATAATACAGTGTAATTACATGTATGGATGTCCAGTGTATTAAAACTAACAAATGAGTGCAGACTTGATTACACAGGTTTTAAAAGACCACGAAGTACATCAAGTGTAGGAGTTTAATCATCTGTTATACATTTTAATTGTTCACACTTGACATGCTTGGAGGAGTGTTGTTTGAAAATCTGAGGATTAACCATGAAGTCAGCTATCTCTAAGGATTTAAATACCATTTAATTACAATGATTTATAATATGAAAGTTACACAGTATCTTAAGATATTTAAGTTTTAATTTTATCCAAGATTGATATCTTGAAGAGCTAATCAATTTTTACAATTTTATCATTTTATACATGTACATTGTGTGTACACAGGCAAAATTTGTTCACATGAATTTCACATTGAATCTCTCATGAAATTGATGTGAAAAATTTCATGTGAAATTCACCTCAAACGAGCTTATACATGAAACTCACGTGAAAATGTTCATGTGAATTTCATGTGAATTGAATTTCACATGAACTTTCTAAAAAACAATTGGTATTTTTCATGATTTTAATTAAATTTGATAATTTGGAAGTTATTTGAATTACTTTATTAAAAAAATTGTTGGGTATATTGGTTCCTTTCCTCAAGTATTTCACAGTATTCCTGCTTGATTATCACAAGCCCCATTAAGACCACTAAAATTTTCATGAAAAGACTAACTACTAACTTCTTGCAAGCAATATAAATTTAAGACATTTTATGAAGAGCTGAAGTCAAAAACTTTATCGTAAAGACTGATTTCATAAGATTTTTGCCTAATGTACATTTTTGTACATCCAAATTTCCTATAATGATATAATTACATATTTGTAGATGACCTTCAGATGTAGGTCAAACTTTTATCAGAATGAGATCATTGATTGTTTGGATGAATTTATCTGTAACCAAACTTTTATTTATACATATAGAGACAAATAATGACATCAATAGATTTCCAATAGTTGGGCATTGTAATGATTGATTATGGGTTGCAACAGTTTGTCAAAGCCTATATGTACATTGTGTGCACATATTTTAATGATCAATTAACTTATTTGAGAATTTTATATATTAATGTTGAACTTGGCTTTCATTGTGGGAATTTTATTTAGACACTTTGCATATCCTATCACTACATTTGTATATATGCCAGAGTTGAAAAGCCTTATCACACAGTCTGACAGACAAAAAATAAGCTTATGAAATAAACTGTAAATTCCGTCATTGCTTCTAGGAAATAAATGCACCTGCTTTAATACATTTCATGAAGATGCCAGTTTGATTTGTTGCTTTGTGGTTTATAAACTTTTCACTTTTTCAATAGTGGAATTTTGTTTGTATTTGTGATGAACATTTTGGAGTTTTAAGGCAGAAATAGTGTGTACAATATTGGACAAGTATTAAAACATAATTTCAACCATACTTTGGGAAATTCTTTACATATTATGTTTCTTATAAAAATAAGGAGATGTGGTATTATTGACAGTGAGACAACTTAATCCCCCATAGTTCAAATGACTTGGATTTATGTTTCTGTGCCGTCTTCAACGCCTTCAACCACAGTGAACTATGAGAAAAACCCATACTGTTTATTCAGCTATAAAAGTCCTTGACATGAAAAATGTGAAACATGACTTTAATAATAGCAAAAATATGTAGTTCCTTTCACAACTCTTATATATATACTATATTAACACTATTATTTAAACCTACATTCAGATAGCACTTAAATTTGCTGTTTTGACGAAAAAAGAAATAAATTCTGTCTGAAGTGAGTATCACATGCTGTTACATGCATGTACCTGAGAGTAATGACCTTTAAATACTGCAGACAACCAGGCACATGTACTTTATTTATAAACATTATCAACCATATGCACAAAGTATAATTTATCAAGCAGTGTGTCTTTATTATAGAAAATGCAAGACAGTATTTTGGCTTTTCTCCTGTAGCAGCAGTAAATAAATTGGATAAAAAATGTACTTTTTGTGTGCCTGTGACCTAGTCAGTTAGGAACACACGTATGATGTAATTTGTCATAATATGACATGAATAGTTTGTTGTATGGGCTGTAACTTTTGTTGAAATGTACTTCAAACAGCATTCTTCTGTACATGTATAAATACATGTATATATATGACCTGCTTTTCATGACAACCTTGTATTGAAATAAAAATACAATGTATTAAATTGTTTTCAAACAACAGAATGGAACTGAAACATTCTACCACTGGTATTTGTAAAAATTATAAGATACATGTATCTAGTTGGAGTTAGAAACAATGATATATAAAATAATAGCATTTTTGTTTTTGATACTGACTTTTTCAGCAAGAATTGAGCCCGTATGGGCAAGCCTATGAAGTCAGTATCAAAAAATAAAATACCATTATTCTTTTTATCATTGTTATTGGAAATTTGTCTTAACTGTATATTTTTTTGGTTGAGAATATGAAGTAAAATGAAATACAAAATGTAATAAGGAAAACCACTTTTACGAGTACAAAACGTTTGGATAGTTGTTCGGTTGTATGAATGAAGTGCATTTCATTGATAAATTGACACGGATGGACTTGAGCATGTGACGTTGCTGCACTGATACATGACGTCATTGCCTAATATTTTCTATAGTATCAAGTCCTGTCCATGATCTCAAAAAATATTAGGCAGTAAGATCAAAGGGAAAATGTACAAATTGCCGATAAATATATATATAGAATATTAAGATATGTTGATTGTTGCTATTTTTAGACACTATATATAATTATATGTACTGCAATAGACATGATAGATTTGGTTCTGTGTTTTCATTGTTTTGTTGTTTGTTTTCAAAGATGGCCTCAAAATTGGACAAAAATACAATTATTGAAATGGAACTGTTTGTGAATTGAGACTAATTTAACATGTTTAAGCAATGTTTTAAGTATTAGATTCAGCTCCTTTTTTGTTTAATTTAAAATTTCCTGTTTGACTAATCATGAATATAACATAAAATATAAGATTAGAATTCTTGGGAGTTAAGAGCACTACAACACTATTATAAGTCAACTGGAGTATAAATTATATACAACAAAGAGACTGATAATGCAGCTGTTCAAAGCATCTAAACTCTTATTTATCTTTAATTAATGGAAGAAAATTGCCTGATTTTAATTTTTCAGGATGGTTGCTTTAATATTAACAAAAAATTCTGTACCAAAATCTTTTCTAACTACTAGTCTGAAGATTGATATTCCAACATTTTTCTTATGTGCCTAGACAAAGTTTTGCAAATACTTACTAGTCTGATTAAAATTTTACTAGTCTGGGGCATCGGACTAGTGGCTAATGGTGCAGACTGACAAAAGGTTCTTTTATAACACAAAGTGTAAGATAACAATGAGGAAACACTAAAGACGGTGTCATTGACTTTTAAAACGGTATTGTTATAAAATCAAGGACATCAGGCAAGTGTATTATACATGCTATATAGGTTGACACGACCTTGAATTATTAACCTTCCAGGAAGTTTGTAAACAACAATGCAGGGATCTATTGATATTTTATTTTAATTATTTATAAGTGACCGGCCATGCAATATTAGCATGATAAGAACTTTGTCTGTAAATGAGAACTTTTGGTTGTAGTAATAATGTTACATTTATATGGATGTTGGGTATATACGTAGTATTTCTTGATGAAACTTTCTTTGAAAGGTCATTTCAGTGAATTAGTTCAAAACAGCTAGGTGACTCTTATATGAATTGATGCCAATTCCAGTGGTGGACTGTAAACCATACTTGCAAATATGGTAATAGGAACACTGACCTGGGGGGCACTTGAGACTGTCTCATTTACTTACTTTAGTAAATTATTCTTAGTTTGAAAAGGGTCACTCAACCTATCAATAAGATATTTAGGGTCTCCTGTTATGTTATTGTGGGGAAACATAATTAACTGATCAATTATTCATATAATAATTTATGAATAACAAATTTAGTTAAATATATTGATATGCTCTCAAAATTCAAACTGGTAAGTGCAATTATGATAGAAAATAGTTCTCGAAATCTAAGATTTTTGTTTTTATCCCAAAATATCAAGGAGACACTAAAGTATACATGACATACAACAATGAATAGACAAAAGCATTTCATCTGTCATGATTTATTGAAAATCTCCATTCCAACAATAGAAGAGAGGAAAATTGTTTACTCTGCAAAAACAAAGATGTAAGAAGAATTTGTACCTCTAAATGTTTATGTTAAGCAAAGGAAATGTAGTACCGGTATTATTTTAGTGAAAGATATGCATGTAAGATATTACTCACAGGAAGGCAATGACATCCACTTGACTACAGGTTCTTGGCTAAGGGCACTCACATCTAGAATGTGCAGCCTTCTGGACAAAAACGACATTTTTTTCGAAATAAAACTTACTCAACAAAATGTTAAATCAATTATCAGCGTGTTTCTTACTTTTGTCCATTTTCTAATGACTGCTTATTATGTTGTGATTATGAAAAATAGCTTTCAATCAGTTGTACATCAAATGGCTTTGAAAACCTTATAAAAGATTGACAAGAAATTATAAATTGTAAAACAAACAAATAATTAGTTGCCTTTGTCCACGCTTGTAATCAAAAGTTTTAAGTCAACACTTTAACCTACGATGACGAAGCGACGATTATGACAATTCAAACCATTTTCAATGAATTCCTATCTTTTGTTTATTATTATTCAAACACGGATACACGAATTTATATATACATGTACCACAAATTATCTTTTTTTTCCATCCACGAAAATGGATACCCACGAAAATAAACGAATCCACATTATTTAGATTTTCGATATTGGACCATAATAGGTATAATTTTTCAGTTCTTTAACCACATTCATTCTGTGTCAGAAACCTACATGTATGCTATGTTAAATATTTAATCACAATCCAAATTCAGAGCTGTATCAAGCTTGAATGTACAATGTAGTGTCCATACTTGCCCCAACTGTTCATGAATCGACCTCTGCAGTCGTATCAATCTGCATCCAGCGGAGCATTTTATGTTTATTGATTGAAGTCCAGTGGAAAAATATAAGAGGCTTTGAATTTGAGAGCTTATTTTGCTTATGTAAGATGGCATATTTGTGTAATATTCAACCAATAAGATAGAGAATGGAAACAGGGAATGTGTCAAAGACAACAACCTTACCAAAGAGCAGAAAACAGCCCAAGGCCACCAATGTGTCTTCAATGCTGCAAGAATATCCCACACCTTGAGGCAGGCTTCAGCTGGCCCCTAAACAATAATGTATACTAGTTCAGCAAAATGGACTCCACACCACATTCTGAGACATACAAATAAACCAAAATTTAAAAATTACACAAGACTAATAAAGGCTCCTGACTTGGGACAGGCTCAATAAAATTTTATTAACCTCTAGGAGTAAACAAACACACAGCAAAACTCAGTTCAAAAGAAATAGGAGTCTGATGTAAGTAAAGTATCAGAAGAAACTAAGAAAAATGACAATGATAAACACAATTTAACAAAGGACTACTAGCAGTTACTGACATGCCAGCTCAAGACTTCATTAGTACATACATGTATTTTCACGTTTTTATGCTAGTAGATTGAATAAAAAATGAAAGTGCCATTTAGAGTAGATATTTCAAACCCTGAATGATGGCAAATGAACAACTTCATAGTAGTTCGACTTCGTAGTCTTGAAAGAATTAAATAATGATTAACAAAAGTATACTGTGTTTTGGCCATTGTTCAAGAATTATGCATTACAGACCAGTATAATTTCTTGTCTGAAAACATATTTATTATTCCACATTAATTTAACAAATTTAACGGTATATTGTTATTTCAGTCTTCCATACGTCTGACACCTACGACTATCCTGTATGCTGGGAAAAGTCCTGACAACAGTCACCTATTGGTAAGTCTAATTTATGCTCTATGATTTAATTAGAAAATTCCGCTCCTTGTAATGTTCGTTAGGCAGGTTCAGCATTCTTATAAATGAGAACCAGAACATCCAAAACAGTGTTGTGCCAAACACCATGCTGGCATTGCTGCACATCAGGGAGTTATCTTTCTTTACTGAATTTTCACAGTGCATTTCATAAAACTGTATCTCATATGAAAACTGGTTGAGGTAGAAGTTGTACGTAGCTTTCGATATAACTTTGAATTCTGAACTAAATTTCAAGAATAATTCCTTGTACACTTTCCACCCATGAATCATGTTTTGCATGATTTTAAGATGGAACAGTTCTGAAATACAAAGCATGTCTCTATCAAGTGTTGGTAGTTGTTGTTATCTGACACTTCATCATAGATGTTTTTGTTGTTTCTCATTTCATTTGTTCTTGTTTTTTTATTTACAGAAAAGTGCCCAGTACCTGTACAATGAGTTACCTGTCCGTATTGCCCATCGTATTGTGGGATTTAGAGGTCTACCATTTATTGTTGGATGTAACCCTACCATACTTCAAGTTGTAAGTAGTAAAACTAGAATGATAACATCAATTAGATTTGCTATGAAACCCATGGGGACTTAGACTGTCCACCAGCATTTATAATCCCAAATAAAAAATAAAAATATGGAATTTGCAGTATGAGCCAAATAAAATTTAGAATTTGTATTGTTTCAGTTGCTAAAATATCTTAGTGGATTAGCAGCAAAATAGAAGGTATGGTAATAGATTTATGTGGCCTTGTAAATTTACTGAAAGTGAAAATTCCTGTATATCAATGTATATACGTAATACAGAGGATATGTAATACTTCAGAACACAACAACTGTTACATCATGTTATTTTGTATAAATTCTAGAAATAGATGATGTATCCAGCTTAATGATTGATTACGTAATAAATGTCTTTGAATGAGGTAAATAGGTTGCTTTATAGTCTTTGGAAAAGATCTGCTATTACTTGAGCCAAGTTTTATCACTTATTATCTGAATCATAAGACTGTTTAAAGTGTTTTTGTTTCATGCACTGAGGAAAAATATCAATGTAAACAAAACTTATCTTATTAAAAATGTTAAAATAAATAATGTTTTTATCTTCAAAATACATTTCATTGTAAGTTTTCTTTCAGATTGATATGACAAATTAAAGAATTCTTAATGAATATAATTATAACTGTAAATTCCAAAATTTTGTAACGTTTTTATTTATATTATGATGAAATAGGTATCACAAAAATTAAACATTGCATTTAAATTTTGATAGCATTATTTGTTCATTTTTCAGAAATTGCAATAATAATTTCATGCACAAATGTCTTAATTTATAGTATATAGTTGGAATATAGCAAAAACCAGAATATTATGTTATACAGTACAGGGTGAACTACATTGTAGATGCATAAAACAAGTTTCTTTACCCACTTCATGTCCGTTTGTACATAGTTAAGTGGCAATAGCATAATTAATCCAGCTATGAAGCTCCTTTGTAAAACTGCACATCAAAAACAAATTTATTAAACTACAACAGAACATACTATGATTATTAATGATCAGTGATAAATAATGTCTTATATAAATAAGAAGATGTGGTATGATTGCCAATGACACAACTCTCCATCAGAGACCACATGACATAGAAGTTAGAAACTATAGTACACTGTATGGCTTTCAACATTGAGCAACACCCATACAGCATGCTTGTTGATAGTGTTTACACTACAATTGATAGATTTGTGTAGTGCCATAGAGGTCAATATTTGGGATGGTCATATTTAAATAGCTATACTTTGTCATTTAAAAGATATCAAGACAAATGAAGTACTATATTTAAGGAGAGATGGCCCAAAGAATCATTTCCAAATGAGCTGGTATATAAAAACCACCATTACCTGGGGCTGTATGTTTCTCAATGACCATATTTGGATGAAAATCAGGAAAAAATGACACCTTTCATATTTTTAAATTAACCATTTTTAACAAACATTCAGGGGAAAATTCCTCTCCGTTAATTTTGTTCTAGTTTGGCTGAAGTGTCCATGAAGTTTTAAGCCCATCAAATTGATTTCTTATAACAGTAAATGCCCTTTAACAAGTATATCTTAGAAAAAAAGGCTGTCTCTTAGTGGAATAGAAAAATGTTAAAGCATATTATTTTCTATGGAAAAAATGTACTTTAATTGTTATTGTTTTATTTCAGCATGAGATGTACATCAGAGCATTCCACATCCTGTTTAAACATCCACCAGTAAGTTAAAACAAACATGTCTATTTAGTTGGGTTGTACAGCAATAAGACAGCAATCCAGCAAAGTTCAAGGTCACATTTGTAAAACAAATTAAACAAAAAAACAATGGCAAATTAGATTTGATCTTATGTATCAAATTATTACTAGACTGTATCAAAGATTATCAACTCAGATTAATTTCAAAGGCACACAAGTGAAATTCCCCAGTTAATTTGTTATGTGGTTTCTGATAGCATTTCTTGTTTTTCCCTTCTATACATGTACAGATAATTCTCAGATACTTCCTAATAAACTTTTTTATTGGTTATCAGATTCCAAATAATAAATTCTTGTAGTCAATTCCGAATTTATATTATGCATTTTTATGCCCCCGCCGTAGCAGAGGGGGCATTAAGTTTTACCCTTGTCCGTCTGTACGTACGTACGTCCCAAAATTGGTTTCTGTTCTCTAACTTTAGTTTGCCTCAACCAAATGTTATGAAACTTATACACAATGCTTATTACCACAAAACACAGAACAAGCTTGAATTTTGGTGGCGTCATTTTTACCGTTCTAAAGTTATACCCCTTTACAAATGGAAAAATTGCTGAAATATTCGTTTCTGTTCTCTAATTTTAGTTTGCCTCAACCAAATGTTATGAAACTTATAAACAATGCTATTACCACAAAACTCCGATCAAGTACAAATTTGGGTAGCGTCACTTTTACAGTTCTTGAGTAATGCCCCTTTATAACGTTATATGCAAGCGGGGGCATCATCTGACACATTCCCCATTTATTTTTCTTTACTTTTGAATTCTAAATAATTTAATGATTAAATGTGTGATTACAGGTGATGGATTTAAGATCAGAAGAGACATACACAGAAACATTACAACAACTTCTGGACGAGCATAAAGATGTAGTGACATTGTTAGCAGAGGGATTCTCAGAGTGTAGAAAACATTTACAGGTTTATATCTTTAGCAAGAATACCATGTATAGCCTGAATTCATTATTTTCCTGGGGTGCTTATTTTCGTGGATTTTGAGGGTATGGGTGAACCATGAATTCAAGTGTTCAACAAAATGTAAACTTTCTATAGGCTTGTACGTTGAATTTGTTGAAACTACGAAACCAAATATTCATTAAATACAAAACCGTGAAAATTTTACCAACTAAGAACAATGAATCCACCATACATCTAGACGATTGAAGGTTGTTAAAAAAGTATACTTACCTAGAAAGGCAACATAAGAATTCTGTCCTTGTTCCTCTGTATGCTCAGGGCTGTTCTAGAAAATACTATGTCATCCGCTCCCACCACCAATCCCCTGTGACTTTGAAAAAAATATGATCATTTAAATCAAATTTTGAGCTCACATGACTAAAAGTCAGAGTGAGCTTTTACCATCACTGCATCTGTCATCCATCTGTCCATTAACTTTTTGTATTTTAATCTTTATCTGAAACCACTGAACCAAATGGACCTATTTTGTAAGTTTTGCTCACAGGACCTCTAGTTTACAAATGACATTAATGAGGTCTCAATACTTACTGAAGTGGATGTAGTCTTTAATGACCTGTATGGGTATATATTGTCTATAGGTATTGTTGTCAATTTGTGTTGTAAAAAAAATATTTTCATTTGGTTTAATATGAATCATTATTTTTGTAGAATGAAGGAATGATTAAAGCTTTCTTAGACAGAACTTTAAAGTCAAGACTTGGTATACGGATGTTAGCAGAACATCACTTAGCCTTACACAGTGAAAAGGTGGGTTGATGGTCTTATGTTATATGGTTATTAGTTAGATCTTAAGTAAATGGTATATCTTAATACAAACTTGGATGGAGAGTTGTCTCATTGGCACTCATACCACATCTTCTTATATCTATTGATTAATTCAGACAATTTATTTCTATTATTACTATTATTTATTAGTATGGTTATTGTATAGTAATATGGTCAGAAATAGGTTTCTTTATTCAGAATATATATTATTGTATAAAGTATATGTACTGAATAAAGTATGTTCTTTATAAAGTTTAATTTTCTATATACGACTGTCTATCATTTTTCCTGGGACCTCTATATATATGTTTTAGTCTCAGCTTTCTCAAGGTTGGTACAAACCGATGTGAAGTTTACTTTTGTCAAACAATTTAATATGTCAAGATTTTTAATTGACCTCTTTGTCCTGGAAATAGATCATTTTCTGAATCATTTATTTCATGCCACTATTTGTAAAAAAACTAATTACAATTGGTGAAACATCAGTCTGTCCATTAAATACAAATTGAAAAAGTTTGTTTTGATTTTTATTTTTTCGCTGAGACATTACTTGGTTTGAAATTCTTATAAGTAATAATAAGTTAGTAACACACTATATTAAAACCTTGGAAATGAAACCATTAGCCTTGTCAGAATCTAAATGCCATTGTTTGTACCCTAAAAAAAAGATAATGTCACGTCATTGGTTGAGTTTCCATTTTCAAGGACATTGTAAGCCAATCACAACATTTTGGTGTAGGCTTTCAATATATATTACCCAGAATGCATTAGATTCTGAAATGGCGATTTGAAAATGGCAGATTGAAAAAAAAATTCAAATCGAATAGGAAAAATTTGAATAATGACTATTGTAGGGGAGATAACTATTAAACAGATTTAAAAGAATAAAAACTGTAATGCCAGGGGGGATAACTATTAAACAGTTTAAAATTATATATTCAAAAGAATAAAAACTGTAATGCCAGGGTAGATGAGTATAATTCATTCTTGATGTTTAGTTCTTGTTATAGTTTTCATTGAATTTATATTTGTTCAAATTAATTTGGAAAATGTGTTATGACTGTTCCATAAAACATACATGGGCTTTGGATGAGATACTCCCCAATCTTAACTATTAGGGGTTGTATTAGGAACAGTGAAAGTGTAAGAGAAATTCTAAAATTGCCTCTAAGAATTACCCAATTTCAAAGTGCCTTCCCTTGGTACCATGTACGTTTTAATGGAACAGCCTTTAGTTGGAGAATTGATTTATTTTTTGTCCTTGAGAAACAAACTTAATTGTGCCCACTTCATTTTCATACTTCAAATTTCCCAAATATGTATTAAACTTGTTATGTGAATTTTGTTTAAAATATTAAACTACAACTAAGAAATAATGGAAAATTTAATGTTTTATTCATGAATATAAAGATTTAATGAAAACTTCATTGGCAACATTTGTCTTTTTGTAAACTTAAAGCGTATTAGTACCATAGTAATAAATTAAACTGGTTATTTTCAAACTTAAGTGACAAAACTAAACAGTTAATGGAATTTAAGAATATGACAGACTAACAACCTAATTTAGAATAAGCAACATTTAATTCAGTTGCCATCTGTCATTCAGTAATTGTCAGTAGCTTTGAATTTATGGTTTTTATTGACGAAGGGGCATTAAGTGTTACCCTTGTCTGTCTGTATGTCGGTCCTTACTTGCGTCCCAAAATTGGTTTCTGTTTTCTAACTTAAGTTTGCCTCAACCAAATGTTATGAAACTTATATACAATGCCTATTACCACAAAACACAGAACAAGTTCTAATTCAGGTGGCATCACTTTTACCTATCTCGAGTTATGCCCCGTTATAACGTTATATAAAAGCAGGTGCATCATCTGTCCATTTATTTAAATTTGGTGATGACTTAGGGTTAGATAAGAAACGTTTACCAATCGGCTATTGTGTGATGCCTCATCATTGAATATGACTGATTATTTTACCAGCAATAACATTACAGATGTCACTAGTAGAGCAGAAACTGTTTTGTTTCAACTTATTGGTTCTTGATTATCCCTTTGGCTTCTTCTCCATCTTTTTTTATTTAAAAGCATAATTACATGTATCATATTTGAATATATATTGCTAGAACTTACACTTAAAACTCCCGTTAGCACCATGTGTCGCATAGGACCCAAGTATATAGTGTTAGAACGGCTAACTATAAACCAACTTATTTTGCTGATATTTTTTTCCGCTTTTTGCACTTTCTAGCCTACTTTAATAGTAACTATTTATTTTCACATTTTTTATGCCCCCGCAATAGCGGAGGGGGCATTAAGTTTTACCCTTGACCGTCTATATGTCTGTACGTTCATTCGTCTGTACGTCCTAAAATTGGTTTCCGTTCTCTAACTTTAGTTTGCCTCAAACTTATACACAATGTTTATTACAACAAAACACAGATCAAGTTTAAATTTTGGTGGTGTCACTTTTACCGTTCTAGAGTTATGCCCCTTTACAAATGGAAAAATTGCTGAATTTGTCGTTTCCGTTCTCTAACTTTAGTTTGCCTCAACCAAATGTTATGAAACTTATACACAATGCTTATTACCACAAAACACGGATCAAGTTTGAATTTTGATGGTGTCACTTTTACCGTTCTAGAGTTATGCCCCTTTGCAAATGGAAAAATTGCTGAATTTTTTGTTTCTGTTTGTTCTCTAACTTTAGTTTGCCTCAACCAAATAATATGAAACTTATACACAATGCTAATCACCACAACACACAGATAAATTTTGAATTTTAGTGACGTCACTTTTACCGTTCTAGAGTTATGCCTCTTTACAAATGGAAAAATTGCTGAATTTTTCGTTTCCGTTCTCTAACTTTAGTTTGCCTCAATCAAATGTGATGAAACTTATGCACAATGTTAATTACCACAAAACACAGATCAAGTTTTTACCGTTCTAGAGTTATGCACCTTTACAAATGGAAAAATTGCTGAATTTTTTTCGTTTCTGTTCTCTAACTTAAGTTTGCCCCAACTAATTGTTATGAAACTTATAAACAATGCTTATTACCACAAAACTCAGATTAAATACAAATTTGGGTAGCATCACTTTTACAGTTCTTGAGTAATATCCCTTTATAATGTTATATGCAAGCCGGGGCATCATCTGTGTCCCATGGACACATTCCCCATTTATTTTTTAACTTTGTTGATTTATATATATTAGAGAATATCCAATTTGGACCTTTTCTAATTACTTTTCTACTCAGGAAAGTTGCCTTAATATTAATAAATCATCCCTAAGAATTGGTTAGTTTACAGTATTTTGTCATTGAAAAGCAATTTTCGGTTTTAGTATAAATTTCTTTCTGTTTTTGTTCTTGAAGTTTATTAAATGATTCTCATGCAGTTGAATTCTTGTACTCTACTGACGGAAGTTCCACTGCAAATTTAGAAAAACTTGTACTCTACTGACGGAAGTTCCATTGCAAATTTAGAAAAACTTGTACTCTACTGACGGAAGTCCCATTGCAAATTTAGAAAAACTTGTTCTCTACTGACGGAAGTTCCACTGCAAATTTAGAAAAACTTGTACTCTACTGACGGAAGTTCCACTGCAAATTTAGAAAAACTTGTACTCTACTGACGGAAGTCCCATTGCAAATTTAGAAAAACTTGTACTCTACTGACGGAAGTTCCACTGCAAATTTAGAAAAACTTGTACTCTACTGACGGAAGTTTCACTGCACATTTAGATAAACTTGTACTCTACTGATAGAAGTTCCACTGCAAATTTAGAAAAAAAAACACTGTCATGTCCCGATAATTTCTTAACTTGTCATACATTGCCTGTGGTGAAATTTTTCCGAGACTGCATTAGATTTTTAGTTGGTAAACTACAACCTATGAATCCAGGGAACATTTGTATTTCTGAATATCAATATTAAGAATCCGGGGAACATTTGTATTTCTGAATATCAAAATATTGAACATATTTCTTAATCATTTTTTGAAAACTTGAGTACAAAGATGTTATAATTTAATGTGTTGACATCATGCTGAATTTATATTCTATTTATTTTCAATGATAATTTCTGTATGAGATGAAATAAATGTAAAACCACAATGCACAAAGTCAAAGAAAAAAAAATATATATCTAAAAAAAAGGAAAATCTCTATAAATGACAAAAGGTGTTCTAAATCTATTAAGTAAACAGTAGTTTGAAATTTTTAATTTTCAGTATTACAACAGCTGAAAAAAATTATTTGGTATTTCATATATATATATTTAAATGAGGCATTTGTGCATTGAAGATGAGATACATTTATTTCTTCATTGTCCCATTGTATATTTGCACATGTTCCGATACTCTCTACAGCCAAACCATGTTGGGATCGTCACTGCATCGTTCTCACCTCGTTCACTAGTCACACAGAAAGCCGAGTTTGTAAGGTAATGTATATAACATCCTGGTATGTTTGACTTATCTAGATATATATATATGTATATTGTTTATGATATGAAAAATAATTGGCAACAAAATTGAGTAGATTTTGATTATGCAATTGGAACATACTTAATATAATTATCTTCTATAGGTAATAGCTAGGCTATGATGACTGTAGTCCGAAAATCGAACAAAACATGGACTTTTATTGATAGTTTCTCTTCAAGATTGGCACTGAATGCCAACAGGATTATGTCTTAATAAGAAGGGCTACTAAAAACAAACCTTTTCTGATATGGTTAAGAAGATGCAAATAAAGGACTTCCATTCCCTTATTAAAGTATTAGTATCAAAACGCTACTTTTAAAGGCTGTTTCATGTATGACAAATTAATGTCTAGAATATGAGTGTGACTGGCAGAGTATTTAAACCATTACAATCATTGTTTGTCTCAGGAAAATAAAAAAAAAAAAGGCATGAAATTTTGAGGAATATGTTTTTACAACTACAGAATTCTGTAAAGTGCAGTCTTCGGGGATAAAGCATCATATATTGTTGAATCGTTACTATTTGTGGGATACCATTTTTTGTGGATTTCATGGGTATTGGTAAACCGTGAAGAAAATTGTTCTTTTAAATGTATATGTTCTTGAAATCTTCTTACATGTACCAGAATTATGTCTCAGTCGTAAAATCCCCCTAAAAAGTTAGGCTGAAAATAAAAATAGAAAAAGAAAAACTTGGGAACTGACTGTTTCTGTTTTTATGTTTTATTATTATTATTTGATTTGGATATAAATACACATTTTTATGCCCTGCCTCTGGAAGTAAAGGGAAATTATGTTTTCCTGTCTGTGCACCACCCATTAGTTCACCATTCCCGTATTTGGTTCAAGTTTTGGTATAGTGGAATTTACCATTAAATTATGGTCATCACTTAAAAATTTAGTATACATTTTCATTATGATTATAACTTTAAAAATTATAGTTCAAGTTCTTCTTTCCTTGTGTATTTGTTCCTATGTATACAAGAATGCTATTTCATAATGAATTCAAGTGAAATTTATACATTTGTGTGTTGTCAGGAAAAAAAAGGTTCAACAAACCACATTTTTCATTGGACAAAAGGATAGAGCTGTCACAGGGCATCCATTGTCTGAATGTATTTCCTATTTATAAACAAATGTTTTGGACAAATTTTGGAATGAAATAATTTGAAAAATGCCATTCTTTAGCATTTTTCTATTTCTCTATGATTCTGCATGCTTTTGAGTGTTGTTATGCTTTTATTTGATTTTCATACCCTGTTGATATGTGATTTTGACTGAGTGCTTTTTTGTTTTCAGAGATGTTTGTCAAAATAAGTATGGACATGCCCCAGAGTTCAGAGTGACAGGACACGTACATGCTACTTTTCCATACATTGCTCCACCATTAGAATATATATTGGGGGAACTTCTTAAGAATGCATTTAGGTAAATGTTTTATCACAAGTTAGTTAAATATAAAAATAATGCTTTATAAGTTTTGAAACTCCAAGGCAGATACAAATATACTTTTCTATTAATTTGGATACTGCAAGGCATATTCATTTATACTGCTGCAGAAGTTTGGATACTAAAAGGCAGAAAAAATGTACCGCTCTTTAAGTTGGATACTGCCTAGCAGATTAAAAATATACTGTTCTAAATGTTTGAATACTGCAAAGCAGACAAATGAGGGATTTGTTTCTATTCTAAATATTTGTGTTGGTAAGTTGTAAAGTTTTAGAGTTATCTTTCTTTGACTCAAGGTGAAATTTTTTTTTAAATGTAGATATTTTCATGACTTGGTTAGTCTGTTTAATATCATACACTTTTTGACAATATCTAATAGTAGTTCTGCAGACATATGCAATTGTTTTTGTGATAACATATTTTTTGAATATAAAAAGTTCACTTAAATCTCGAAGGAAAGAGAGAAAAAAAGAATTAAACTGATGTTTTGTATGTTTTCAGAGCTGTAGCAGAAAGCCACATGGAAAACAGACATAATCTACCAGATATCAATATCACTATAGCTAATAATGACAGAGACTTCATTATCAGGTGAGAGGTTTTCTCATTTTATAATGTTAATGTTGTAAGATATGGCCATGATGGATATATTAGATACCTGGGCATTGCTTAAATGATTGATTGTTTGTGTTTAACTCCCTTTTTCAGCACATTTGGCTTTTTCATGGTGGCCATTTTTAATTGTTCATAGAAGCCAGAGTCACTAGAGAGATTTATCGACCTTCAGCAAAAAAAGTTCTAAACTTTTGAAGTTTTCAGTTTAGAAAAGCTACATGCTGATTTAACTGTTGTTATCTTTAATTTCTTAATGGTTTTCTGACTTTTTATTGAAGGGTTTATGATTTATTTATTATACTAGAAATGAAATACATTGTATTTCTGCATGAGAATGGTAGAATCAAATACATGTAATGTAAATTCAGAAATTTTAGCGATATTTTTATTGGGTAAATATTCTTAAGACAAAATTAAAGTTAATAATTGTTTTGTCAACTATTCCGTTTTTCAGAAATTCAAAAACAATCTAGTAATTCTTCTACGTCATATAATGTTAATTGGATGGCAGACATAGCAGCATTGGATACACATATTTCTCATGGAAACCCTATCGTAAATCATACTTTCATTATCTTCTTTGATCGTCAGTTTTAACTATTGGTGACAGGAATATTGTTTGGAAGGTCCTTTAAGAAAAATATTCATTAAGTTCTTATTAGATGAAAATTATGGACACCATAGGTAATTCTTGATTCTGATTGGCCAGCTTTCAACCTCTTTTTCTCTGATTTGTTCCTCCTTGGGATCCAAAAAGATCTGATATTTTAATTTGAGGATAAAATGTTTTTTTAACAGTTTTATTTGATGAAAACTAACAGACAAACCTCTGTTTAAACAACTTAAATTAAAGGAGGTGTTCAACACGTTTAAGTCAGATTCAGCTGCCAAAGCACCGTGCTCTTTTTAACATCTTACAGGAACAAAAGTCTGTATTATAAATAACAGGTGAGCAGTACAGGCTCCCCGGAGCCTCTGGATTTAATAAATTAAAAATATTTATACAAAATATGCAAGGGAAAATTAGAAGAGAATGATTTTTGTCCCATATTGTACATCACACAATGTCTGATTTATAAAGAAAAGAATATTGATTGTTACAAAGCCAGTATAATCCTATGGACTCTATGATATTTACAAATGCTGTGAAAACAGAGAATAAAGAACATGCAGAAAGGCTTGATTTGACAAGATTGTATATCATTCAACATTCTAATGTGACATGTTACTACTGATAAATATTGGCAGATGAATTAGACTAAGCTACCATCTTAATTACATGTCAGTCAAACTTTCTTATATTTCAGACAGTATGTATACTGAGTATGAAAAGTTTAGCAAAAAATTTATTGTACTTTATATTTTAAAATTACTGTAAATTCAGAAATTATTGCGAGGTTTTTATTAATGCGAATAATGCGACTGGTTGAGTATCGCAATAATAAGAACTCGCATTCTGATATCTGATACATACATCTGTATAAACATTTTCCAGAAATCGCAATAATTAATCTCGCATTTTTGTCCATTATTTAAAAATCGCAATAATAAATGCACACAATAATTTCTGAATTTACAGTAAACTATAGTTATTAACGTAACAATGAATAAAAAATAGTAACAAAGAAAATAAACCATACGTTGCAATTTTTACTTAAATATGTACCGAATTCAGGCTTGTATAGTCCGCGGTTTTATTCTCCTAAATTGAACTTGCCAGACAGGGGTGCTGTTTATAGAGTATGATGAGCAAGAAATAAGAGAAAAATTCTGATTTCACGAGGTTTGTTTATGTTCCGCCATGTTTGTTATTGAAATTGTAGAGGGCGCTCTATCATTTTCAAAACTAATAATTTAACATATCCATATTAATATGCAATTTTTATTCAATATCAAATATATACCGATAAATTACAAAATTAAATGCTTCATTACAAATTTCTCATTTCTTTTCACTGCATTGCATGAAATAAACTGGAATCCGCTGGAAATTAACGGAACGAAAAAAGTATATAAGTCAGCCGGGAACAAGCTTATGCATAACGATGTATAAACTACAAAACGTAATCTGTTATTCGTTCTCTTTTGGTGTTTCTTACTGACGCATGCATTTTGTTTTAGCTGAATGATCCTTCAAACATTTATGTGATTAGATAGTTTTAGATTAAGAGCTTGACATATTGTTAAGATGCCTATATAACTATTGTTGAAGACTGTATTTAGGTGTGTTTGGTTTGCTGTTTGATTGAAATATACCCGACACCTCCATTTGTTCATATTCTAATCCATCTCATTTGATTTACAAAACTGCCAAAAAAAATTATCTTCCAGTTTGTTATCGAAATTTAAGTTATTTTACAAAGGTTGATATTTAACCCAAGCACTCTTTTTCTTTCTATGATAGAATGACCAGAGAATTGTATAAATGAGACTGTTGTAAAACCCTAATAAACAAAATAGTCTTATTTTCTAAATAAAGTATACATTTTCTATAGGCTTGCATGCAGACTTTGGCACAACCATGAAATCAAATATCCACGAAAATGTAATTTTTCCTCAATCCACGAAAATTGGTAGCCATGAAAATAAAAGGGATTCACAGTAAATCATGCCATTAATATTCTTGTTTGAATCCTTTCACATGTTGTCATGCTGTATATTAGTCTCATTGGAAATTATACCACATCTCTTTATTTAATTATACTAATTGAATTAATGAGACTGTTGTAAAAAGGTCAAGGTCATGGTTCTCTCCGGGCACTGGGGCTTCCTCTACCAATAAAATCTAACCTCCACAATTTAGCCAATAGTGCTGAAATAGGTGTTAAACTCCAACAATCAATCATATTATTTTTTATATTACAAACAAAATAGGCCAAGGAATAAGATTTCATATTTCATATAAATAAGAAGATGTGGTATGAGTGCCAATGAGACAACTCTCCATCCATGTCACAGTGTATAAAAAGTAAATAATTATAGGTCAAAGTACGGCCTTCAACAAGGAGCATATTTCAGTTCATCATGTTCATTTAACTACACCTAATGCATGCATGTCAGCCTTGTAAGTAAATCTTCTTTGATGTTTTTCCCTTCACAATACATTGTCATGAACATTGTCAAATAGGATAAATCCATGATCAACATAAATCTTATTGAATTTGTATTGTTTACCAAAAGTGCGGAGAAGATTATAAAAACATGCAGTATGTATGGATATGATAAGCTGCTAAATACTTTAATAAATTGATCAAACACGACAGATATTTTAGATTGATACACTAATAAATTAATCAAACACGACAGATATTTTAGATTGATGCACTGTCCAACTATAACAAGTTTACAGAAAGTGAGGTATTTTCTCTCACACCGAATATTCAAATGTGGTGACCTTGGAGCTAAGTTGTCTCATTGTTTGTTGACATCTATATAAATAGATCACAGTGGCCTATTTTTGTAACACTTTGCCAGTTTGCAATACAAGTAAATCATCTTGTAAAACCACAATGGGTCAATGTATTACCAATTTTAACCATGACCTTAATTATCTCTTTCCTAATTTTGCCATTAAAGTAAGTTATTTGTACGTGAGATTGCTGTCATTGTCAGCTTGTTTGTAGCTGTTTTGATTCTAAAGTCTTGTCAGGCAATGAATGAAAGAATCTGAAGAAGTCTTCACCACTTTATATGCCTTCAAAGTATCCCTTAAGTCCATGCTAGGGCATCTTGATTTTGCAGTTAGGTGTTTGATTAATTGATAGAGCTTTCAGCATGAATGCTATGTATAAGCCTCCTTTGTTAGGAGCACTGTCATGAAATATATTGCATGAAAAGGTTTTTTGTAAACTTCATGATATGAAGATGGAGTTCCACTAAATAGGATTGGTGGTGTACCTCAAGTACAGTCTCTAGTACCCCTCATGCACCAGTAAAACTGACTGAGGCCACACTTACAAATATTTTGGTTTGCCCAAACCCTACCCAAAGTAAAACTGACTGATATGAAATGGAAGGGTAGTTCATGACAAAAAATCCTGACATCCATTTTTCTAAACCAAGAGCAAAGGAATGTTTACCAAAGAATACACAAACATTTAAATATAAATCCGGTGTTTGAGAAAATAGTTATTACAGCCAGTCCCATAGATGAATATACACTTTTTTGTGTATCGTATGTTCAAATTTCTGTCATTTACGAACTCTTCACTTCTCCTTTTCAAATAGGAATATCAATAAAATTAATGAAAAAGATAATAAACAAAAAAATAGAAAAGAAAGAAGTCACATGGAATGAAAATTAAGTATGGACTTTGAATTCGTTTCCATAAAATAAGGTTTGTATTCGATGTATTAAACATGGTAAATGTTTAATATTAATGATGCTATTTATATTAAACCATGTCTAATGTAAATATATTAATTCAGTTACCATGTATAGATAACATTTTAATGTAAAGAATACAATGAATAATGAAGTTCTTATCTTCGTAGAACTAAGCTTTAAATATGTAAGTTAAAATGATATATTCATCAAAAAAATATAAAGTTCATTTTTTGGCTTTTTTTGTCTTCAATTCAACTATAAATTCTTACAAATTATGATAATCCTCATTCAACTTTTTCTTTTTTCCATAGAAAAGTAAGATAATTCACATATATTCCAGTCATTATTGAGATGGAGTACGTGGAGTAAATGTTTGACCAATCGGTGGTAGTGGCACATTTCTAGGTGTTGGTTTGACAACACTTGTATTTACTCGATAGTCTGCAAAGAAGTCTGCCTCAGTTTCCATTCTTTCTCTTGTATAATCCAATTGATTTAAAGTTGGGTCATCTTCATCTTCCTCTACATCATCTTCTGGTTTACTTTCTTCCAACGCCTTTCCAATGGACGGAAGAACAGGATATTTTTTTTGTGCTATGTCTTGAATTTGTTCTTTGTCGTCACCTAAAATGTCTTTTATTCCCAGTTGAATGGGTGTAGGCACTGGGGCTCCAAAGTGTTCATTACTGTATGGACTTTCTCCCAACATTTCATGTTCAGGATCAAGAGGAATGTGAGATGAATAACAATCTAATTCCCCGTCACCATCACTTAAATCATCTTCATCCCCGACATCGCAGTGTTCACGTGCTAATCTCTCACGTTCCTCATTGTCCAAGTCCACAAGGTCCTCACATCTGTTGTCCATCTGTATAACATAAGTTGTAGATGAATGTCTTCCGTCAGCATTCATTAGGTCCATATCATCAGAATCGCTGGAATCATTAATATGATTATTATCCTCATTAATTGTGTCCAGTTGTAAATTGCGTGGTGTATTTAAGGCATCATTATCACCTTTTAATTTGATATTTTCGTTGTTGTCCAAAGAACTGACCTTGGAATCGGCCATGGTGCACATTGTTAGATGCATAATTTGAAAAAAAGTAAATTGAGGATATATCACATGTTAAAAATCCTTCAGTTTATATAAGTACACTTCAGGCTGTTCGTAAATTTGACAAATATTAGCCCTTAATTGTAGCACAAAAAAAATGTGTTAAATCATTCTATGGATGATGTTAACAACTGCTAAATTGATTTATAAGCTTAAAAATCTTGTCAAGCTTATAAATTAATATTTCCAAATTTAGTTGTGGTTAAAACCGTTAAGATGGTGGTAATTGAGCATGGAAAATATCAAGTTTATTAGTTTGAGGTTTTCGTATGAATATTGCACATTAACACATCCTTTGGAAAAAATTTTTTGTATGATTATTTTACTATTTACGTTAACACATCCTTTGGAAAATATTGTGATATTTTTGTTTTTTGTTGAACCTCAAAAACATGTCATTTTGTGATAAAACAAAATTCCTTTGATTCTGTCACTTAATCCAATTAGCGTTTTGCAATTATATTCTTCACTGTGAAAGCACCTGTTTCAGAAGTCCCAGGTCAGCCATTCAATAACAACCTGAAATTAAAATAATTAGCACATAAATAATTGATGATCAGCTGTTTACTTGTGGATAGTTACAATGGATAGTGACACTCGATAAACAAATTAATACCTGAGATCTGATCAATAGGGTTATAGCTTAGGTAATCGAGATAGTTAATGTTTCCGTTACATACCTTTTATTGTTTGGTTCACTTTCCCCCCCCGACTCATTGTCATTTATCGACAAGGTCTTATAAATCTTTTTAGAGAGTGAAATGTGTCATATTTTATAGCTTGAATGGTAAACTTTTGAATTGTAGATTGTTAAACTTTTTATGTTCTTATTTGTCAAGTTTGAGGGATTTTATGAAAGGTAAAATGTGTTTATCAAATGTTTATTTGAATATTTTCTTTGAACAAATATTTTGCAATATTTTAAAATCAATGCCATGAAAAAATATCACAATGAAATAATTTTTTTTAACCCAAAATAATTTGTGATTTTGTCATATTTCTGTAATCTGATTTGTATTTTTGCATTATAATGAGTAGAGAATCTTTTGAAAGACATAAAAGTTATTATCAACATTTTATTACTTATACTACACCTGAGAGTCCAATTTATATCCTAAAAACACTTGATTTCATGTTAACCTATTGTAAATTGTCAACTTAAGATTACTTAAGAGATGGTAATAAAATTATCAAAAGTACTAATATTTTGAAATAGTATTTAAGTGACTATTAAAAAAAAACATGATTTCCTACCTTCAATTTAATAAAATGAACAAGTACAATGTCATGGTGCGCAGTTTATACCATGTTAAATCTTATCGCTAAAGCTTATTTTGGAACTTGTCCTAAAGACTACAGATACAAGTTTAAGTCTTTAGAAAAGTTTTATCATGATAAATAAGTATGTGCTAACATATTCTTTGTACAGATTTTTTACTGATATTTGATCAATGATATCCTTTGACTTGGTAAAGTTTGAGTCATTTAGGTTTTAAATAGAGGCTCTACAATAAAATGCTTCAAACTTCTGTGTATTCATTATTATTTGTTGATTTCATGGGTACATGTGTACCACAAATTTAAATGTTCAACAAAGTACAAATTTTCTATAGGCTAATGTATGCAGACTTTTGTAAACCAGGAAATCAAATATCCATAAAAAATACGATTTTCCTTACTCCACGAAAATTGGTACCCACGAAAATAAATGAATACACAAAATACATATAATTTATTGACAAAGCCATGCAGGTATTTTTTAAAGTAACTATCAGACAATCTGCGAGTTCTCTTTTGTTGGTTTTATTCTTGGGGCTCTAATCAGAAAGTCTTAGGTCAAAACCTTCTTGACTTTCTGATGGATCCTTTAGAAAAAAAAGTAAATAAATGATTGGTCCATAGTTAATGATTAAGGTACCTGTTGCTCACCAGATCAAGAAAGTGTTTATGAATAAGAAGAATTTTGGTAGGTATACATTCAATAATGACCTTTTTAAGATGCCAAGAGATGATGACCACCCTGAGTTGATTCTTATAATGCTAAGAGATGGGGGATATACAAAATGTAAGCTTAAGAAGGATTAACATATGTACTCGGTCAGAAAACCTTATTGTGGTGTAAAACTCTTGAGCCTCTTCTTAAAGGACACATTTTAATTGTTGCCATTTCAATTAACAATGACGTCCGTAATTATCTGTAAATGATTGTCTTTTTTGTTTGATCTTATAAAGTGAGGAAAGGAAGATTTAATTAAAACCATGTGTAGTCACAGTATACAGGTAAAATACAGGTAGTCAAAGTTTAAAAGTTTATATGAACTATATAATTATGCAATTTTAAATGTTTAATAAGATGGAGGTAAACATAACAATTTAATCTTATAAACCTGTATGTGGACCTGTTTAATTTGTGGGATACAAAAATTAGTTTTTTTTTATATCCTTAATTGCATCTAAAGGGCTAGTGAGCTATTGTAACTTCATGGCATATATCATGCCATATCTATATAAAAAAAACCTTTGAAATCACATGCAATCAAACTGACCACAATAATCTGTCCGGTAATACCCATTTCTGTGTCAGGTATTCACGCCTATGACTCTTTGTGGAATGAAAATCGTTAATAAGAGTACAGAAAAAAGATAGTCCAGTTAAGAAAAACTCTTAATCCCCTTGAGGGTGTTTTATTTTTATTATGTTGATGACAATATAACTGTCATCTCGCATTGGTGAAACCATAACTTGAAAATAAAAAAAATTGTTATCCAAGAATGCAGTGTTCTCCACACAAAGAAGAAATTCATGTAGGGTTGTTATACTTCAGTAATTTTCATGACAATTTGAAGATAATATGTAAATATATCTGACAAATGCAAAGTCATATGTAAAGATGTGCAGACAAAAGCTGTATACTTGACATTTGTAATTTGGCCTGTTTGATACAATTAATAAAACATGAAACAAATGATTAAATCGTCAACTTTACCGTATGATTTTCTCGTTCCATAAATATAACATTTGGCTTTTTCCATAATTTCTGTCTATGTGAATATCAAAATAGATAGGTTTTGTTCATTGTTGAAGGTTGTATGATGACCGACAGTTGCTAGCTTCTACATCTTAATTCTATGTCATTTGGTCTCTGGTGAAAAAGTTGTTGGCAATTATAACACATCTTCTTATTTTTAAACTCAATACTTGGAGGCTATCAACATTGTCAAAAACAAAAAAGAAATAGAAAAAAATGTCCAATTTATATTAATTGCATATTGTAGATTGTAAATTTTGGTATTTAGACATGATATTAGAAAATCATTTTTTTGCATAAAATTTAGACCTTCCTGGCCCTTCTACTTTCATATATCATATACCTGATTAACAGGTTTTTAAATACCATCTTGTTACTAGAAATTTTTGCGTCATATTTGAAAGACAATCTATAAGAAAATCATTTTACCCAATCTAATTCATGTAATACAGCATCACATTACCATGATACTAAAAAGCCTATAGGAGAGAACACTGCAAGATGACCATGTGTACTAACTGTTATGTGGTATGCAATAAACTATCTGTTTGAATCAAAATCTTTAAAAAATGACCATGCGAGAAACTCACAATATTGAATACTTACACAGTGTCATGATAATCCAAATATATCCACAATAAGAGAATTTATGGTCAGCATTTTTAATTGATAGTTTCTGGAACAATCATATCATTGACATTCCAACATGTTTATCAAAAACTATTGATCTCTTCAAAATCCTTTCTAATTTTACACCAACAATGACCAATAGTGGATTAGAACTAATGCCTAACTTTTTCTACCAGCTTTCCGACTGATTAGACACATACAAATAAATACCCCTGAAGTAAATCTCGTCACCTTTTAAATGTTATGTTAGTTTTAAGAACTGTTTGACTATCCAGTGCACAAATAACTAACTACGCGTGTTAAAGAAATGGTTCTGTTATGGGGAATATTAGCATAAGTTTTTTTTCAGATGTGAATATTATGTAATATTTTAAATGTCTTCAGAAATGGTTTAATTACCATAGGAATACTTGAATAATTCATAGTTTGTTCTGCATGTTGGTTATTCTTTCAAATAAGGATATGTCAGACTAAAATTATTTTTATGTTTTACAATTTTGAAATGAATAACCAATGTAGATTTCTAGAAAGTTCTTTATAATCTTTAAGTTTATCATGCTCCCCACTAGCAAAGCTCAGGTTTGTGTATAATGATCATCTTGTACGACTGAATATTTTTTGGTTTAATATAATTGCTTTTGTGGAAAACTAGGCAGAAGCAATTAAAAAATGTCTGGTAGTTCGATGTTTGAATCATTGCAAATAGTCAGTGCGATAAATTTTATCCTGACCTCTATATTGTCAGTTCAAACTCAACTTCAATATTAGTTCAAACTCATTTTTTAAAAGTTTCTTAAGAAGATACTTTTAACTTAAAACACAAATTTTTACCACTTTTTATTCAACTCTTTCAAGTATATTTGAGGATAGGAAATAAATTCTTTAAAAACATAGTTAAGGTACATTCTTAATCTTGTGTGAAATTTTTTTTAACCTCTTATGTAACAAAAAATTACTAATATATTTATGTAATAATTGATATAACATTAAACTTAAACTGGCCTTGACTTTTGATAAAGCATTAAAATACAGTGGATTAAATTGACTCAAATTGGAACAAGAAAAACTTTTTTTTTTCTGTTTCTTTTGGTGATCAGAACGGTTTCTTAGACTTTGATAATTTATTATATACTCATTAGAAAATACAAGTAAATTGTTTGTGTAATACAATTAATGACAATCGTTCTGTATCAGCCTCCCGTTATGATATCAATATCAGTCACTGTTGCAACATTTTATCAAACCCCTTATCTCTATTACGTCGTGTCACACCTGCTTGAGATATATAATAATGTGTATATAATATGGCTTTTTCAATATCAAACACCATATCAACCCTCAACTAATATAATTCCTTGAGCAGAACTCTTGGGATAACAAATGTAATTTGGTGACTTGGGTTGATACGGATGGGATATGGAAAAAGTAATAATGATAACAATAGTAGCAGTGTCAGATCCAGAAATTTTCATAAGGGGGGCCCACTGACTGCCATAAGAGGGGGCCCGCTCCAGTCATGCTTCAGTGGTCCTTAAATAATCAACCAAATTTTTCTCACAAAAGGCCCCCTAAATCCGCCTCTGAATAACTGAAAAAGGTGTATGCTATATGATATTCTCTATGTACAGCTTCTCTATGCAAAGTGGTCTAGATACCTATCTTACACATTACTACAACCTATGGTAATAATCACATCAATTGTCACTTAATAAGAAAATAAGGAGATATGGTATGATTGCTAGTGAGACAAGTATCCATTAAACAATAAGGAACAAAAATGTAAACTTTGGCATGACACGGGTTATGTTCTTCTCATATATTTTATGACGGTATAATACTAAACCCCTAACAGGAGGGATTGTGCCTGATATTCATATGATGAAGACATAATCTTTCAATCAGTTTAATTGAGGTCTGGAGCTGGCATGTCAGTAACTGCTAGTAGTTTGTTGTTATTTATGTATTATTGTCATTTTTGTCGAGCCTGCGACTTTTGTCGCAGAAAGCTCGACATAGGGATAGTGATCCGGCGGCGGCAGCGGCGGCTACGGCGGCGGCGTTAGCTAACTTCTTAAAAGCTTTATATTTTAGAAGGTGGAAGGTCTGGATGCTTCATACTTTGTATATGGATGCCTCATTTTACGAAGTTTCCGTCAGTCACATGTCCAATGTCCTTGACCTCATTTTCATGGTTCAGTGACTACTTGAAAAAAAAGTTCAGATTTTTTGTAATGTTAGATTCTCTCTTATTATAAGTAATAGGATAACTATATTTGGTATGTGCGTACCTTGCAAGGTCCTCATGCCCGTCAGACAGTTTTCACTTGACCTCAACCTCATTTCATGGATCAGTGAACAAGGTTAAGTTTTGGTGGTCAAGTCCATATACTATAAGCAATAGGTCTTGTATATTCGGTGTATGGAAGGACTGTAAGGTGTACATGTCCAACTGGCAGGTGTCAAGTGACCTTGACCTCATTTTCATGGTTCAGTGGTTATAGTTAAGTTTTTGTGTTTTGGTCTGTTTTTCTTATACTGTATGCCATAGGTCTACTTTATTTGGTGTATGGAATGATTGTAAGGTGTACATGTCTAGCGGGCAGGTGTCATCTGACCTTGACCTCATTTTCATGGTTCAGTGGTCAAAGTTAAGTTTTTGAGTTTTGGTCTTTTTTTCTAATACTATATGCAATAGTTCAACTATATTTGGTATGTGCGAACCTTGCAAGGTCCTCATGCCCGTCAGACAGTTTTCACTTGACCTCGACCTCATTTTATGGATCAGTGAACAAGGTTAAGTTTTGGTGGTCAAGTCCATATCTCAGATACTAAAAGCAATAGGTCTAGTATATTCGGTGTATGGAAGGACTGTAAGGTGAACATGTCCAACTGGCAGGTGTCATCTGACCTTGACCTCATTTTCATGGTTCAGTGGTTATAGTTAAGTTTTTGTGTTTTGGTCTGTTTTTCTTATACTGTATGCCATAGGTCTACTTTATTTGGTGTATGGAATGATTGTAAGGTGTACATGTTTAGCGGGCAGGTGTCATCTGACCTTGACCTCATTTTCATGGTTCAGTGGTCAAAGTTAAGTTTTTGAGTTTTGGTCTTTTTTTCTAATACTATATGCAATAGTTCAACTATATTTGGTATGTGCGTACCTTGCAAGGTCCTCATGCCCGTCAGACAGTTTTCACTTGACCTCGACCTCATTTTATGTACATGTCTAGCGGGCAGGTGTCATCTGACCTTGACCTCATTTTCATGGTTCAGTGGTCAAAGTTAAGTTTTTGAGTTTTGGTCTTTTTTTCTAATACTATATGCAATAGTTCAACTATATTTGGTATGTGCGTACCTTGCAAGGTCCTCATGCCCGTCAGACAGTTTTCACTTGACCTCGACCTCATTTTATGGATCAGTGAACAAGGTTAAGTTTTGGTGGTCAAGTCCATATCTCAGATACTATAAGCAATTGGTCTTGTATATTCGGTGAATGGAAGGACTGTAAGGTGTACATGTCCAACTGGCAGGTGTCATCTGACCTTGACCTCATTTTCATGGTTCAGTGGTTATAGTTAAGTTTTTGTGTTTTGGTCTGTTTTTCTTATACTGTATGCCATAGGTCTACTATATTTGGTGTATGGATGATTGTAAGGTGTACATGTCTAGCGGGCAGGTGTCATCTGACCATGACCTCATTTTCATGGTTCAGTGGTCAAAGTTAAGTTTTTTGAGTTTTGGTCTTTTTTTCTAATACTATATGCAATAGTTCAACTATATTTGGTGTATGGAAATATTTTATGATCTATTTGGCAGTCACGCAGGTTTTATTTGATCTTGACCTCATTTTCAAGGTTCATTGCTCAGTGTTAAGTTTTTGTGTTTTGGTCTGTTTTTCTTAAACTATAAGCAATAGGTCAACTATATTTGTTGTATGGAAGAATTGTTAGCTGTACATGCCTGCCTAGCATGGTTCATCTGACCTTGACCTCATTTTCATGGTTCATTGGTCAATGTTTAGTTTACTTGGTTTATGTTAAGTTTATGTGACAGTTGTAATAAAGCTTTATATTTAGGACTATCAACATAATATCAATGATTAGTAAAGAAGGCGAGACATTTCAGCGTGTGCACTCTTGTGTTTATTTTCTTTTGTTTCCTATTCTGACATCGGACTCGGACTTCTCTTAAACTGAGTTTTACTGTGCGTACTGTTGTACGTTTGTTTTTTCTACATTGGCTAGAGGTATAGGGGGAGGGTTGAGATCTCAAAAAACATGTTTAACCCCGCCGCATTTTTGCGCCTGTCCCAAGTCAGGAGCCTCTGGCCTTTGTTAGTCTTGTATCATTTTTAATTTTAGTTTCTTGTGTATAATTTGGAGTTTAGTATGACGTCCATTATCACTGAACTAGTATACATATTTGTTTAGGAGCCAGCTGAAGGACGCCTCGGGGTGCAGGAGTTTCTCGCTGCATTGAAGACCCATTGGTGGCCTTCGGCTGTTGTCTGCTCTATGGTCGGGTTGTTGTCTCTTTGACACATTTCCCATTTCCATTCTCAATTTTATTGTCGAGCCTGCGACTTTTGTCGCAGAAAGCTCGACATAGGGATAGCGATCCGGCGGCGGCGGCGGCGGCGGCGGCTACGGCGGCGGCGGCGGCGGCGTTAGCTAACTTCTTAAAAGCTTTATATTTTAGAAGGTGGAAGGTCTGGATGCTTCATACTTTGTATATGGATGCCTCATGTTACGAAGTTTCCGTCAGTCACATGTCCAATGTCCTTGACCTCATTTTCATGGTTCAGTGACTACTTGAAAAAAAAGTTCAGATTTTTTGTAATGTTAGATTCTCTCTTATTATAAGTAATAAGATAACTATATTTGGTATGTGCGTACCTTGCAAGGTCCTCATGCCCGTCAGACAGTTTTCACTTGACCTCGACCTCATTTCATGGATCAGTGAACAAGGTTAAGTTTTGGTGGTCAAGTCCATATCTCAGATACTATAAGCAATAGGTCTAGTATATTCGGTGTATGGAAGGACTGTAAGGTGTACATGTCCAACTGGCAGGTGTCATCTGACCTTGACCTCATTTTCATGGTTCAGTGGTTATAGTTAAGTTTTTGTGTTTTGGTCTGTATTTCTTATACTGTATGCCATAGGTCTACTATATTTGGTGTATGGAATGAGTGTAATGTGTACATGTCTAGCGGGCAGGTGTCATCTGACCTTGACCTCATTT